TAATCCAAAATTTATAATAAATTAAGTCAACAAATTAGACCAGTAAATTAGATCTCAATAGTCTGCTCCTTTTAAAAGAAGCTATTCTCGAGGCCATGGCCCAATTGTTGGGCTCAAGTAAGAGAACTTTGGAATTATCTCACAGCCCACAATTATCTCATCACTTTTGGATTTCGGCCATTAATTTCTAAGTGTTACAATTACGATTATTTTAAGAAAAAATTGAAATTTTTATTTTTAATTTTATTTTAATAAATGATACAACAGAATATAAATTTTAATTCTAAAATTTAAAATATTTGATATTTTATTTTTGATTGAAATATTTTTTGTATAAGTATAATATTTTAAATTTAAAGAGTTTAAATAATATATATTTACAAACTTCAGAGAATTTAGATATAATTTATTAACGTATATATTTACAGCATGGATCTAAGTGTAATGCACGTACAAAATTTAGGAGATTTGTGTGTAATATTTTAAATGTTAGGAGGTCTAAGTAATTAAGTGACAAATTTCAGAGAGCCTAGGTGTAATTCTCTCAAAATTATATGTTAAATTCTTCTTTTTTTTTTTCTTTTTTTAGTATTATAGTTAGAGATTTGAGCTAGTTTATGTTTAACTCAATTAATTTTCTTTCCGATTAGTCAAAGACAGATTATTCATATCGAGACTATAAAACTTATGAAAAATAAATTTCACCTGATCTGATTTTAAATAAATTGTTAAATTTCAAACTCAGAATTTTGAGTTTACAATTCATCAATCTGTCGTGTTCTCTTGGCCTTTTAAAAATATAAAAGTTATACCTATAATTAGCCTTGTTTAGAGGAGTTGTAGGTGCAATTTACAAAAGAAAGGGTAAATTATATTCACATTCCCTAACATTTAGTTTTATTACATGAACACCCCTTCACATTTCAAAAATTAAACCGAGACTCCACTAGTTAGACGGAGTTATATTTCTTAATAAAAAGATTATTTTAGCCCTCTCTTTAATACAAACTCAAACTCAAACTCCAAGCCCTATCCCTAACCCCAATCCCTAAGTCCTATCCCAAACCATAATCTTTGTCGTCCTATTCACCAGGGATTTCTCTCTCTCTCTCGGAGAAGAACCAATTCGAAATCATCAGACTTCTCTCTGTCTCTCTCAGCCTATCTATCTCTGTGTGTGTATATATATATGTACACACATCGCCCCCTCCCCACAACATGTTATCCCACCCAGCTGCCGCCACCACCATTCCAAACCCACTACTCCCAATCCCTTAAATCATAATTATTATGAGAAATAGTTAATACAAATCTATTATATTGAGTAACTTAAAATATTTTTTAAATCATAATTATTATGAGAATTGGTGGGTTTGAATTATGAGTTTAAACTTTTTTGAATAGATAGGTATTAGTACAATTAGGAAATTAAAAATTAATTGTTAAAATAAATGAGGGATAAATTTCTAGTGTAAGAAAAATATATATTTAAATTCTCAAATTTAATTTTAGAGGTTATTTTTGGTATTCTAAAAATTATTATTGATGACACCAGTTTTGACTGTTAACTGTTCTAACGTCTATTAGTTGGAGGGAATGTGACTATTACAAATTATAAATGTCAAGAGAGATTGATGATATTTTTAAAATATGAGGGGGTGTTTATATAATAAAATTAAATATTAGGGAGTGTGAGCGATATTTACTCTAAGAGAAATACCAAAATTCGGAAGTGTTTGACTTGGTTGCCCCAAGGATACGTTTGGGGAGCTCAAAAAGAGACAATAAAATTACACAGTAATGTATTAAAAATATAAATGTTTCTGTCTGCTACTAAAAAGTCACCGGCGTCAAATGTCGTGACTTGTGACTCGAAATCCAAAATTTTGACTTTGTCTATTCTTCCCAAGTCTTCACTACGTATCAAAAGAATGCTATATTGTATGTATGACAGTACCGATTATTTTTGTCTTTTTTAGATGCATTTTGCTCCTCCATTCCATACACCCCACGACAAATTGATATGCTGTTTTTGATAGGTAGTAATAAAATATGTAAATAAAATAATTATTATTTAATAATGTTCATTTTAATTTTTGAAATATAGTAATTAATTGACTGGGTCCAAGTTTAGGGTTAGGTTTGTTTGTGACCAAGTCAGAGTTTAGTGATAGGTTCAGAATCCGAGATTGGGATCAAATAGAGTCCGAGTCCAAGAATTATCCAACTTTTAAGTGAATTTTTAATTATATTCCAACATTTGATCCTTGTCAAACATTGGAATGATAATTCATTCTATTTCATTCTCACATTTATTCGATTTGTTAAAAACTTTATCATGTATCAAACGCAGTGTAATACTTTTATCGCGTATGTATTTTCATGTACATTGGTTGAATTATAAAGTGTCTGGATTACAAAAGATTATATGAAAATTGTACACCATATACAAAAAAAAAAAAATCGATGTAACTTTTCTAAATTTATGAATTCTTTGTGTATGTAGTGTCTTGAAATTGTAAATTATTATTATTATATAAATTCTTGGATCTAAATGATCTGAATCATTGGTATACTTTTCTAATTGAAGAGTTTAAACAATTCAACGAGAAGACTCTATTTTTTTAGTATAAATTTTCAAATATAATAATTGAATGAATTTTAACTTCGATCAAATTATAATCACTATCAACGAGGAGAAAGTTTCTGACTACGATTTGTCTTCCACACTATCTCTGGATTATATTTTAGTGAACATGCATTGCACAGATCTTAGTGTTAATGACTCATTTTTTTTATTATTTATCTTCGATTATTGGCGGGGTGGGATGCAAGCTACCTGTTTCCGATGACCATTTCAAATTGTTACGGATTTCTTAACTGACCTAACCTCTGCTTTTGAAAACAACTTATTCTGTTCAATTCTTGAAACCCATTCTCTCTCTCTCTCTCTCTCTCTCTCTCTCTCTCTCTCTCTCTCTCTCTCTCTCTCTCTCTCTTGAGTATTAAATTTGGGTGGTATTAGAAATTATTTTTATTCCACTCCTATCTAATGGTATATTATATCCGGTCTTAAACTATAATCTCATTCTTCCCCTTGTTTGTTTGTCACAAACATTATCTATGTAATATCTACTTAAAAAAAATCAACAATTACAACTATGAGTGATAAAAAGACAATTATAACCTTGTAATCTTAAAAAGATAATTGTACATGAGGGCATTTGTGTCATTTTAGTCTCTTATACCGTCTTTTCATTTATACCAAAACGATAATATCACCTAGTATGGTATTCAATAGCACCGTATACAAGACATTTAAGTCACTGTTCATGTCAGGTCGGTATTACGACTCGAAAAATAGTACCAATGATAAAACATCAAACAAACAATATATAAGATGGACCCTATGTACTATTTCCCTAATATCATCCATTTGTACCACTCTAATACTTCAAACAAACAACCCCTAGAGGTATAAAAATATAACACAATTTGTTAACACAACATGAATTTAGAGAGTTTCAATCTTTCTTAACTCGTCAGTTTTATAAACCAGTGGACCCAACATGACATAATTAATAAACAAATTAGATATGAATAAAACCAATCAAAAGAAATACACGACATTACTTGTGTATAACCGACACGATAAATACACAACACAAATCAGATATGATTCAATTCATTTGACACGAATTTGTTAAGACTTGACACGAATCTATTGAAACTCAACACGAATCTGCTAAGACTCGAAACCAACCTGTCTCACTTGTCACGATTGACAAGTCTACTAGATATACAACAATGCATTGACAACTTTTTCACTGAAATATTATTATCTCAATTCAATATTGTCACTAAATTAATAAGTCTTAATATTAAATAAGATACGTATCAATGGACCTTTGATTTAATGGTACTTCTTGTCTTATAAAGATTTTGTCTTTTTAAAGTCAAGAATTTAAGTCTCCCGTCCCCATCCCCATCCCCCAAAAAAAAATTTAAAAAAAAAATAATAATAATAAGATTCATCAATTTGGGTGTTTAAAAAGCCTTATAACATATTATGTAAGTAATAGTAACGGTTTACAACTTCTGCCAGCTTGCAATTTAATTGGCGGCCCAGTCTAATTCCAGCCCAACGTTTAAAAGATCTATGATAGACGAAGCTTAAAGGGGATAAACAAGTCTACGCCTTTTAAAAGAACCTATTCTCCGGGCCATGGCCCAATTGTTGGGCTTAACAAAGACAACTTTGGAATTATCTCACAGCCCACTGTTATCCCATCACTTTTGGATTTCGGCCATTAATTTCCGAGCGATACGTGTCACAAAATCAGCTAAAAATCAATAAATCGTAACAAACAAGCTGTGAAATAAAAGGGGAGAAACAATCCAAGTTTGAGGCTCTTTCATCCCTTTTTTTTACTATAGGATTTCCAATAGAATAATATTATTTAAATTTAATTTATTGATATATTTTATTATATATATATATATATATATATATATATATGTTGAATTGATAATGAAAATCATATACTATTTTGAAATTCTACTAATTAAATGAATGCAAAAAATTAAGTAAATTAAACCAACAAATTAGATCGGACATCTAATAAATTATGATGCGTTCATGGATAAAGGAAACCAAATTATATTTCAATAAACTGTCAAAGATTCAACGAACTGCAAAGGAAGCATAGATCCACAGAGAAAGCATTGAAGGTGGGGAAAAAGAAAAATAAAACTGAATTCTTAGCAAGAAAACAATTGACAAACCTTAGTTGTAAGAATTATACAGGAATTGAATCAAATGACTAGTTCGTCTCAAAGTCAATTTCACACAATAAATGAACAAGCTTTCAGTAAACCTAGACCAACATGAACACATAAGGATCAGCTTCCAAAACCAGCAGTTGTGATATTACATAAAGAAAAGGACAGGAGATAAAGTAGAAAAAGAATGAAATCAATCAACCTTTACAATGAATGAGTCACTCATCAGAATCTGATAATACCTTAACCATAATCTGCATGACTCTCACTCTCATTTGTAAGGACAAAATGTAATCAGCTGTCTCCCTGAAGAGCCCATCCAAACCCATGGACTCGCCGTCTGGAATTAGCTTCTTCAGGGTTTTAACTTTTTTCTCGACCGCGCTTCTAGGCCTTCTAGATCCATTTTGAGAACAACCCCTCCTCTTCATCGCAATCTTTCTGACCCTTTTACCATTGATGTGTCCTCTTATGCGACTAGTCATGACCCTTTGTTTCTTCATTAGCCATCTTCTCTTGGCTTGAACTTCCAGAACTTTGCTCCATGAAGGATTAGTTGAGTTGCACCTTCTTTTAGTTAGGATATCAAGAACATCAAGAAGCTGTTTTGGAGAACCACCCATGATTTGAGACCTAAAACTAAACCCAATGGTTCCTCAAGTGCGCACAATGAGGATGTTTATAGGTCATTTGGGGTATGAGTTGGTGGCTATTGAGGATAATGTAGAATTTCTATGGCGGCAAAGTGGTGGGTCCAAAAGACAATTGCATACAAGCCTTCCAACGGAGCAGGATCAAGGAACGTGGGAGAGCCAAGTGTACCTAGCTAGGTGGGTTTTCCTTCTTGTTGCTTTGGGCATGTTCTCCAACTCAATATTGCACATGCACCCACATGATTTTTTTCTTCACTACCCAACCTCGTAAACCATCCACCATGGCACCACCATGATCTTTTATCAACTCCATCTCATCAAAACACCCTGGATTATTCCTTCCCACTCTCCAAATTCAATGCATATACAATGTGAATTGAGGTCTTTAATTTCCTCATTCCAGCTCAATCAACATGGCTTGGCACACCTATACATTTCTAGGGTTCACGGTGGTTAGCTCCATGTTCCCAAACATTTAATATATTTATTGGAAAGCCTAGGAGGATGGATGCCGTCAATGTTTGTGCAAACAAAAAATTAGAGTCTAGATCTTTATGTTGGAGACGATCTTCTGACATTCATGAACCACATTCGACTTTGAAATATTAGTTTTGGTGAGTTATGTTTTGACATGTCTGGTTCAAAGTTCGAGATTGATACTTAGTTAGTCCTCGAGACAGTCTTGTACACAAACATGCATGCACATACTCTCTGCTAAGGCTATGAAGGAGATTCTGAAGCATTACATGGTGGAATCTCTAGTACTACTTTCTTTTACTCAGTATCTGCACCACCAGAAAAACCTGGTGAATGCACATCTTCTCTGGTAAGGCTATGAAGGAGATTCTGAAGCATTACACGGTGGAATCTCTAGTACTTTCTTTTACTCAGTTTCTGCACCACCAGAAAAACCTTGTGAATTTTACTACTGTAGTTAAGTGGTTAGTGATCATGAGTGGAGGTGTTTGATCAAAGCAAAATCTATCAGAGTGGACATCACATCACGAGTTGGACCAACAAAAAGAACAATATATAGGATAGATCAAAATGCATTTATATTGAGTAAATTTTTACTACTTCCTCTATGACAATGTTGTGCGGTGTACACACCTAATGAGAGGCTATCGCAAAAATTGTTTATAGGACACACAAGTTAATTTTTTTTTTCTAAAAATCATTGACAAGTAAATAGGTGTTAGACATTCATTGGATATAGACAATTTTTTATAATGTATATTGTTATGTGGTGTGTTAAATTCACTGAAAAATTTATATAATAAAGTAGCTTATAATTCAAATTTCAAAAATAAACAAAATGACTTTTACTATTCGCGATGAGATTGTTTTAAATTTTACTTTCAAGTTCTAACAGCTAATATTAATACTCTAAATTTAATAGGAAAAATAGGCCTCTAAGAATATGTTTGGAGTGATTTTTTAAAAGTACTTGTAAAAATTATTTCTCATAAATAATTTTAAAAAATAGTGTTTAAAACCACTCCGTCACTACCTTTACCACCACCACCACCACCACTATCACCACCACCACCACTACTGCCACTGCCCCCACAACCATGGCCACCGTCACCGCCACAATCGTCGCTCGCCACCACCATCGCAGTCGCAGTCACAGTCACCACCACCATTACCCACGTTGTCGCCGTCACCACCACCCCCGCCAACCCCACCACTGTTGTCGTCACTACCACCATCATCGCCGCCACCCCCACCCCCTCCACCACAACCATTACCGTCTCTTACCACCACCACTGTTGCCCACTATCTCTCATCTTTACTACAAATTGATGCTTAAATTCTTTTATTTCTTCTCTATATTTGTAATTTTACTTTAAATATGACTACAAATATACTTATTGTTTCATATTTTTTATTATTCTGTACTTTTAAGCACAAACAATAACTACTATTTTTTTTAATGTTACTATATATGTGTGTGTGTGTCTATGTATATAGATTTATATTTATATAATAAAATAGTTTACAATTCAAATTTCAAAAGATAAACAAAATGACTTTTATTTTTTACAGTTCAGATCGCTTTAAATTTTACTTTAAAGTTAATCTAACGACTAATATTAACACCTTAAAATTAATAGAAAAAATAGGCCCATAAGGGTGTGTTTGAAGTGACTTTTTAAAATACTTATAGAAATTATTTCTCATAAGTACTTTAAAAAAAAAAGTGTTTGAAACCGTCCTACCATTATCTCTACCACTCCCACCCCCACTACCTCTATCACCATCGCCGCCATCACCACCACTGCCACCGCTACCACCACGGCTGTCGCCGCCACAATCACCGCCACTATTACCATTACCATCGCCGCCACGGTCATTGCCACCCACCATAACCATCACCATCTCTTCCCACCACCTCTCATTCTCATTACAACCGATGCTTAAATTCATTCATCTCTCTTTTATATTTGTGATTTGATTTTGAATATGAATATAAATATGTTTATTATTTATTATTTTTTATTACTCTACGCCTTCAGGCACATGCAATAACTAGTTTCTTATATTGCATGAAATTTTTTTTGAGTCGTTTCAAATGCCAAGTGGTGTATATAATTAATAAAAATTATACATTCTATAGAATTGTTTTCATTCATCAATTCTATTTTTAAAAAAAAAGTCAATTTGTATGTGTTACAAATCTCTATTGTCACAACTTCTTTTTGAGTGTGCATATCACTTGACCCTATCAATTAGTGTGTTAAACCCGTTGAAAATTTTGTGGTGAACATGATGTCATGTCAATTGAACATTAATTTTTTTTTGCCTAAACAGGTCAATTATACAGAGAAATTCTTAACTAACACAGCAAGTTACAAGTACAATGGCAAGAGAACTCTCTGAGATCTGCTAAACCACAACAACCAGGCAATTGTTGACTGAGTGAGGGTCCAGACAGCAATTACCTGGGTGTTATGGTCTAGTGGGTCCCAGAGAGTTCTCTTGCAACTTGTCATGTTAGTTGAGAATTTCTTTGTGTGACTGATCTTGTGTCTGTTTAGGAAAAAAACTATTCCCCATCGAGCACCGCAGGGAGAGGTTAAGAGTAATTGAACATTAATTAGTGAATGGAGCCATGAAAAAGAAAGGCTACCGTCAGTCATCGCGGATGGAGTGGATCACCGTCATAGTTGTAGGACATTTATTAACTCATGAATACGTAATAACCACTACAAACTAATACATTTATTGCTTACCTTTTACGTCCCAAAACTAAGATTACTCCAAGAAATGCATGCACATGCCTTTATAGTGTATGGTCACTCATTAAAGGCAACAAATAGTAGAAATCTATCTGTCAAGAACCGAAGAGATATAGAACGAATTGTTTCTAAATATGCCATCGTGGCGGATTGCAAACCGTAAGACATCTTTCTTTTTTTGGTCCCCTACGTAACAGCTTTGCTTGTTTCATTTGTGCTGTGCTTGTGCGGCATCTGTAATGAGCAGGTAGGAAACAATGTGGCATACCCTCTTTCTGGTGGTGTGATTTCATTGCTTGTCTTTCTTTACGTTTACGGAGCAAACTAAATAAAAAAATATCATATATATACATATACTAGTTATTGTCTGTGCCTAAAAATACAAAGTAATAAAAAATAGTAAACAATAAATATATTCGTATTCATATTCAAAATCAAATCACAAACATAGAGAAGAGATAAAAAATTTAAGCATCGATTTGTAGTGGGAGTGAGAGGTGGTGATAGGAGACGGTGATGGTTATGGTGGGTGACAACGACCTTGGTGGCGACGGTGGTGGTGGCGGTGGTGACGGCGGCAACTGTGGTGGTGGTGGTGGTGACGGCGACGACGATGGTAGCGGCAGTGGTAGTGGTGGTGGTAGCGGTGACAATAATGGTTACGATGACGGGGGTGGCGGTGGTGGTAGGAATGGCGGTGGAGGCGGTGGGGGGGGGGGGGGCAGCAACGACGATGGTGATGGTGGTGACGGCGGTGGTGGCGGTAGTGGTAGGGGTGACAGTGGGGGAGGTGGTGGTGGGGGCGACAACGGCGATAGTGACGACGGTAGTAGTGGTAGCGGTGGCGGGGACGACGGTAGTGATGATAGTAGAGGTAGTGGTGAAGCGGTTTCAAACACTATTTTTTTTAAATATTTATGAGAAATAATTTCTAAAAATACTTTTAAAAAATCATTCAAAATACATCTTTAGGGCCTATTTTTTTTATTAAATTTAGGGAGTTAATATTAGCCGTTAGATTAATTTTAAAGTAAAATTTAAAACGATTTCAATCGCGAATGGTAAAAATTATTTTGTTTATTTTTTAAAATTTGAATTATAAATTACATTATTATATAGATATATATGACGGCTGTGGCACATGGGTTACTCCCCTAGGATGACATTCATTTTGTAGGCACATGTTTATGCTAATGTGTAGTACATTTTGTTGTTATGAATCCGTAAGGATAGCTAGGATGAAAATCATGCTTAATAATTTCATATTGAAGTTTTGTAAGAGACGTTTTGGTTAATTCGATGCACGTAGTTTGTACATATCGTTAGTTCATATTGTTGCCCAGAAATCAATTTGGTATGTACTAACATTAGAATCTTCAGTGAGATCAAAGTTGTGGTTATCATTTTTCTATCAAATTTTAGTTTAATTTTCAAGGTTATGGTATTCTTTCTCGGATCTATTGTCCGAGGAAAAAAATATTGAACGTAACGGTGATACTACGTTATCATTGTCATAGAATATTACCATCAAATTAATAAAAACATATTATAGTAACCATCCAAATAGTTTTATTTTACCTATTTATAAGTTTATTATTAAATGTTAACATCATATGTGAATAATAATATAATATTATCGTTGCACCCAGTATTTACTCTCATCGGAAGACTCAAACCCAAAGATCATATAACTTGGACGACTCTTAGGTTTGAAAAAAAAAAAAAGATGGTTAGGAGATAATAAATTGAAAGACGAGAAGCTCCACTTTTTCTAAGATGAACCGTAACATGTATTCCTATGATGCTCACCGTTAGGGTAAATGAGATACTAAAATGGGCCATCACCATGTGCTAGGCATTGAGCCGTAATGGATGATAAAACCCATTGTCGATTACTAATTGTTATACCCACGAGGTAATGGACCCCTTTCACAACCTCCCATTTCCGCTGCAATCGATACCAAAGCCATGTTCTCCATGTGGGTAAGCTGTTTCATAAAATAGTAGTTTAATCCGAGAGAGAGAAAGAGACATTTCTTTCCTTCCTTCGAGAGTGTGTGTTTCTCATTTATATACATCTATACTTATACTTCTATACACAATCCTTTTGTTTATTTTTGTATTGCCGTACGTTGTGCAGGGGCTTTAAGGGACAAACAGAGTATATGCCAATAGGGCTGCCAAACACGTAGGCACATCAAAGAGGGTCTTAATATCCACGTGTACACGTTATGATGGCGTGGTCACATTCACCAAATGCAAATATTAATTTTTGCCTTTATTTGTGGAATAATAATAATGCTGTAAATATTAAAAATTTTATTAAATTTTGGATATCAAATGATATGCTGTGCTGCCCAACAATCATGGATGATTAGTGAAAGTCAATTGTATTTATTAATCCAACCACCCAACTTGATTTTTAATTTGATGAATCTGGCAGGAATTTTGGTAAGTCCTCCTACCATTGCTTTTCAAATTTACAATTAATCTTATTTAGTGATATGATAAATCATAACTATTGAATTAATAATAAAATTTACTGTCAATCTAACTCCAAAAAATAATAAAATTAGTAATTAAAATCACTAAATAAGTTTATATAACATAGTCCTTTCGGTTGGAGTCTAGTCGGCCAACAGCCCAAAGGGCTAATGGAAAGCCTGGCCCAGTTCATGTAAGGGCCCATGTAGCCAGAAATGATCATTCTCATTGGTCAATTTTGCTTTCCCATTTTTAGCACTACCCAAAGTTGGAAAGCACGAGAGTGAACGGAAATAGTTGATTCCAGCAACTAACCATTTCTGGAGCATTACATTGGCCCTTTTCACATTATTGGAACAAGGAATAGAGTGAATCGCACTTTGCATTCTAAAAAAATGACTTTTTTGTACTACCTTCTAAATGTATTTAAAGCAACAATTTTGATAAATCGAGGGGTACGATATAAAAAATTTAATTTTAAAAGTATAAATTAAAATAATTTCAAATTTATTGGGGTGTGAAGTGTAATTCTCCCAAAGGAATATTTATATAAAGTTTCTAGGGTTTTGGTACAACAAGAAGGGACAGCCGATAAGCTTTTAGCCTTCAATATCTTAGCATCATCTTCTGTAGGCCGATCTAGATTTCGATCTTACGAAGCACCGTGAGCATGAGAACTGAGAAGAGGCATATTTCAGGTTTGTGCGTGAATTTAACAACCTTAGCCATCCTTTTATCCTTATATGGGAAAAGCTCATTCATACATGTTTATGTTAGATTCACGCACAAACTCGTAATCTGTCTTTTCATCATCTGAACTACTTACGAGTTACGTCTTCCTTCGCCCTTCTCTCCGATAATTTTCAAACTACGGAGAAATCGAAAAGCTCGGAACAGTTTCCGATTCGAAAGAGGCTGTTGCCGACGAATTTCTTGAATCAGGTTCGTTTCACAACTCCTAAACTTCTCTTTGAATCTTCCATCTGTTCTTTTTTTTTTTTTAATGTTATTGTGTTCTTGCACTCCGTTCAGTTTTGTTGCAACAACATGAATTCTAATTTTGGTTTTCAGAATTATTTATTTCAAACTAGATTTAGCTTGTCCGATTCCCTGTAAGCCTGCGTTCCAGAAATTAGCTTCAAAACACTTGTCTTTGGCTTTTTTCAAATTTAGATTTGTGGATAATTCAGCACTAGTCCAATACAGGAGACTTGAGTGCCTTAGAAAGTTAATTGAGCTAAAATATTATCAAGATTTGTGGATTAGAGGCTGACTTTGCTCTCAAAACCTTGATCTAAAGGAAAATGGGGGATGGTAAGATTGTTAATAGCGTTTTCTTTTTGAATTCAATGTTAGCTCCGAAAATTTTTGACTGTTCATCGGATCATAAATTAGGAACCAGACCAAACAGTTTTTAAGATTTTGTTTCAGTGATGTAGGAGAAATTAGAAATAGAGCTCTGTGCTTCAGTTTGCTAGGCACAGCCAAACAAATTTTCGGATGTGGGAATATTCCACAGGTCCAAGAAAAAAAAAATCCAAATATTAAAAATTACTTATTTGTTTCAGAACTCAAAGTGCGTAGCACATTAGTCACTAGTCCACAGATTCGAAAAAAGAAAAGCAACATCAAAGTTCAAGGTCAATTTGCCATCTGGTGACACACTGCTCAAAGCCAACTACAGCACCATTGAGGCAGCTCTTCCTTGGTGACACACAGTTTAGTATGCTAAGAAGTTCCATCTTATCATTAAATCAAATTTTAGTTGTTGTGTGCTTAATCTGCATAAACAGCTTGTACAATGATTTGGAGCCTAAATTTCAATGATACCATGAAAAGAAGCTTATTTTAGGGAGTTTAAAAAACTCAGAAATTACGTGTTGCAATTCAAAGCTACAAATAGCTCTGTTTGTTGCTTACTTGCATGTAATCTAACCCTGATGGTTTTCTGGGCTGGGAAGAATTATAAATGGGATTTATAAGTTTCTAAAAAAAGGACGACAAGTATAAATACACATTGAAACAGCATGGAGAAAGATCTATCTATTCCATTTTTCATCTCTTCATCTTTCTATTATTTCGTTATTTCATTACATAGGTTGCTTATGATTGCAGCAATGGATAAGATACACTTCTTAAACACTGATGACATTCATTTACATTCAATTCTACTCTGTGTCATCAATGAGTTTTGAGACTAAATTCCACCACCAACACCTCCACCAGAACCACCACCAAATCCTCCACCAGATCCACCTCCACCACCTTTTCCACCTCCGAATCCGCCACCAGCACCCCCTCCAAATCCTCCTCCAGCACCACCACCACCTATGCCACCTCCAACACCACCACCTATGCCACCTCCACTGCCTCCACCTGCACCACCTCCAATGCCACCACCTTTACCACCCCCAGCTCCTCCGCCTCCACCAATACCTCCACCTGCACCACCCCCAGCTCCTCCGCCTCCTCCAATACCTCCACCTACACCACCCCCAGCACCTCCGCCTGCACCACCTCCAATGCCACCACCTGCACCACCCCCAGCTCCTCCACCTACACCACCTCCAATGCCACCCCCTGCACCACCCCCAGCTCCTCCACCTGCACCACCTCCAATGCCACCACCTATCCCACCCCACCACCCCAGCTCCTCCGCCTCCACCAATACCTCCACCTGCACCACCTCCAATGCCACCACCTTTGCCACCTGCACCACCACCTCCACCTGCACCACCCCCAGCTCCTCCACCTTTGCCACCGCCTGCACCACCCCCACCGCCTAGACCACCACCTCCACCTGCACCACCTCCAATGCCACCACCTATCCCACCCCCTTTACCACCCCCAGCTCCTCCGCCTCCACCAATACCTCCACCTGCACCACCTCCAATGCCACCACCTTTGCCACCCCCTGCACCACCACCTCCACCTGCACCACCCCCAGCTCCTCCACCTTTGCCACCGCCTAGACCACCACCTCCACCTGCACCACCTCCAATGCCACCACCTATCCCACCCCCTTTACCACCCCCAGCTCCTCCGCCTCCACCAATACCTCCACCAGCACCACCCCCAGCTCCTCCACCTCCTCCAATACCTCCACCTGCACCACCCCCAGCTCCACCGCCTCCGCCTGCACCACCTCCAATGCCACCACCTGCCCCACCGCCTTTACCACCCCCAGCTCCTCCGCCTGCACCACCTCCAACACCTCCGCCTCCACCAATGCCTCCACCTACTCCGCCACCAGAACCTATACCACCACCTTTTCCACCTCCAATTCCTCCACCTCCACCTCCACCTCCACCTCCACCTCCACCTATACCTCCTCCTGTGCCACCACCAACTCCTCCGCCTCCACCTGCACCACCCCCTATACCACCCCCAACTCCACCACCTGCACCGCCTCCTATGCCACCACCTACCCCACCTCCAAAGCCTCCACCTCCTCCAACACCACCAATAGTCTCTTCCTCAATTCTTCGACCTTCTGCAATGCCCACCACCAACACAACCATTAACGTCGTCACAGTGAATACACCAACATACTCTAAAATCTTCCCCATCTCTACTCAATGTGTAAAAAGGGAAACAAAGTAGCAACTGCTTGCTCTGCTTTTTAACTTCAGTCGGCATTGGTACTTATAGGGAAGAGTAGGAGGGTGGCATAAATGCATGCAGTTGAAATAGCAGCTTTTGTTCCTCTCTTTGAGCTAAATGCCGGAAAATTGTCAAACTCAACTTGACCTGGGATGTTCAAATCCGGTGCACATTTTATTGCATCTTCCAACTCTCAACCAACTTAATGACCCCCCACCGTCCGTACGTCATGTTCGTTCAAAGTGCATACTCTGTCCTCCTAAATGTGCAAGTCCAGAATTAGTTAATGCAAAGACAATTCTTTCACTATACTCACAATTACTGATTGTAATTATCAAGTCTAATTTTTAAGTCCTTGTAACATTGCTCTTAAAGATAAGTAATTTTTTTTTAACAAATGACGTAAATCAGTTAAATTTCTGATTTTATACGACTATACAGAATACGAAATATACCTGCAATACAAATGGATAAAATCAACAGCTCTATATTTCTGTCACTGCTAGACACAAGTTTTTGCATGTGGAAGCATATGAAATATACCTGCAAAAAAGTTGGAGAGAGACTTCAAACTCTCATTTATTTCACACACCAAGATCTCAACTGCTCACTCTTCAACATTTTTCTAGCGTTTTAAATTTTGCTAAACCTGAGGAGACGTTTGCGCACAGAAATTAAATGCTCAGTTGAACTATCAACTTGGTTTTGAGTTGTTACTGTATCGAGGTCCTTGCCCAATGACCAAATCTTAATAGGAGCACATGTAATGTCTCGGGGAAAACAAAAAAAAAATCCATTTTTCTGAATTTTAGATGATATAAACCCTCACTATTGGTGTATCATATTGTTCATTAGATTTTTAGATTAGTGCAATTCCCTGGCATTTAAAGGGGCTACCTGTGTGAATATAGAGTTAATTATATTTTATGCCCCTAAATTATTATGTTTGTTTCACTTTGTACCCTCAATTATAAAATTTCTCATATTACACCATAAAGTTTTAATTTTGTTTCATATCACTCTAATAGATAACAAAAAACTTGAAAACCCGTCAAAAGAGAGAAAGAAACCCCAAAGAGTTTCCTCCAAGTGCCTAGAAGCACTTTGTTTACCTCTTTTGCAACAACATGGTTGGGAAGAAAAATCAGGTCAGTGAGAAGAAGAAAATTTAGAAGTTTAGGAATGGCAAAGTCATGGATATGTATTTTTTTTTATTTTTTTATCTGTACATGTGCAATAATCAGTTGTTTATTGACAGTATAAACCACTCACATGCGCATTTATCTTAAAAAAATTGACAGTCGTTATCTATTGGAGTAATATAGAACAAAATTAATATTTTAAGGTACAATGTGAGAAATTTATAGTTGAGGGTATAAAGTAAAACAAATGTAATAATTTACCCTTGAATATACTTGTCACTTGATCAAGCCAATATAAAATAATTACTGTATTATTAAAAAAAATTTGGATATAATAATACTGTAGAGGTGAATAAAATACGAGATTAAGTATAGGATAATAATACTTTTTATTCTATCCTGCATTCGGTATGATATTAAATTATGATCTAGATAACATTTATCTACATTTACGTGTCCTGTGATATTAATGTCACATTGGCCAAAATCCCTTCAACTTAATCCAGTCTAATCTTTTAACTGTTGTTTTACTTAAAATAAGATCTATGTATTAAATTTTACAACCAAAAGTCTCAATAACACTAAAACAGTGAAGAACTTTTTTTATAATTAATTAATAGAGCACATCCATGAGACTAATGTTCCATTTGCTAGGATGAAAAAAATGAAATAATGTAAAGTTGGAAGGATAGAAAGTTAAAGGGATAGGTAAAATATTATGTTTTGTAAGAAAGAAAAATAGGAAAGATAAAAAAATAAATTGATGAGCAATCATTCAAGTCACCAAAATTAATCCCTCCAAAATTGAAGGAATGTGAATAAAACGTTAATTATTTGTGTTGAAATGTATCTTATTTATACACTAGTCATAACTCGTGCCTGAAGCCACGATAAATTATAAAAAATAAATGCTCAAAAAAAATTATTCCATTATATTAAATAACAAATTTTCTTCGTTTATCCATTATTTTTTTTTAAATATTAACAAAATTTTTCAACATATGTATATTATAGTACATAGATAATGTGATATAAAAATTATATTAAACTATAAATTAATCAAATATTAAAATAATTGAGCATGCGATAGAAATTGGTGACGTGATTTTTTTGGAAGAAAAATGAATAAGGAATAAAATTTAACTTGTGAGCAATCTTATTATATAGATATATCCTTGATATATACATATATTTTGTATATATTAATTTCATATATAAATAAAATAACAAAATATGTATTAAAATTAACAATTAAAAAAAATTCCATCTTATCAAGCACAAAAAAAATTAATTATTTTTATTTTTTATTCATCCTACCAAATCCAAAAGAATGAAAATATATCATTTCTATTTTCCTTCCTTAGAGGATAAAAATTATATTTCTTTTACTTTTTATCCTTCCTACCAAATGGAACATAAATAATTGAGTTTAAAATATACTTTGCAATAATTTTTTAAATTATAATACCACCTCTTAAATAGTATTAAAATTGACTTAATAGCATTAGTAGAGAGTATTACAAAATATACAATATATAGTTAGCATATGTATTTCATTTAGTACCATACAAAATACCGAGTGACTTTTGTCATTCAAATATTGTATAAATCAAGATTAAAATATTTTAATCCTTTATGACTCTTTAGTACCCTTTCTAATATGGCAGCCAAATTAGCCCAAATGTTATAATGAACCAGAGAGGAATTTCACAACGGTTCTCAATCAATGTGTTTGATCTCGTGACCGAAATTGAGTTCTACAAAAAGCCAACCCCATAGGCCGATACCACAAGACATTTATAACATACATATTTTAACATAAAAATTTACCCATTCTCTCTCTTAAGTACACTATTCAAATTCCTCACGCAAAAAGGAGAAAAGGACTAGAACATTTGTCAGCATTGATTTTGACACGATGTACTAGAGTTTTCAATACACCAGTTGCGCAATCACTCCCTCAGAATATGAAGGAGAAATGAAAAGATAGGAGTGTGAAATTCATGTGATGGTAGTGATAAATTCTAATAAAAACGCTGATGGTGACACAAAATTTGCATATTGTCACATGCTTTGCAGCAAATAAATGGATGGGAATATAGAATTACATATAAGTGCAAGTCAAAAGTAAAATACCACTATATCGGTGGACCAAACATTGCTACGATCACAACCCTGAATCTCCGCCAGTGCAAAGTGAACTCACTCAACATGACCAGTGTAACTGAATAAAAGAAAGTTGCACGTGATAATCTGTATTCCTGACCATCAGAAGTAGCCCTCGATGTTGTGCCAATAAAAAAAATAGAGCCAAAATTTGAAATCGAGAATTTAGAATTAGGTGTGGTGTAAATCGTAACTGGTCTCTACTCTTCTACAACAGAGTTTTTTTTCTCCCAATGAACTCTCTCATTTGTTTGCAGTTGCAGTGGGTCTGTAATAGATACTCCCAATTAAGACTACCCATAAAGGAGCCTTCAGAAAGTCTTCTTTCTCACAGCTAACTTTCTCACTTCTTTCTTTGCAGTTAGAGTGGATCCTGAAATTGAGCCTCCCACTGTGACTTGGTATAGATCCTTTAATCTACAAAGGAAAGTTGCATTGAAGTACATAAAACTATAGTATCTCCACTGAATGGGAGTGAGAAAGGGAAAATATCTTTAATGAAAACTAAAAACAAGGAAAAAAAAGATTTCAGCTACCTTGGCATACTAATAAAAAGGGCAATCACTGAAACTCCAGCAATAAGAGGATATACAGGTGCTGAAGTCAATTCCTGCAAGCCATGGGAGAGGAGAAGAACATTTTATTGCGTTATTAATCATTATCCTCCTTGATTGCTCCTCAGCAGACAAAGGGTTGCTCAATAAAATATTCGCATATTACCATTGTTTTAAAATGTCACAAGGCCTTCTAGCACATTGTTCACACATTGTTTTATAATTAAGTTAGCAGAAAAAACAGACAAATAAATTATTCACATATTACCATACCTAACGTCCCATGATTATCATTAACGCAAAACTAGACAACAAACCTGTTTCTGGTGATCCTCCTGAAACTTGTATCTGAGTGGACCCACATGAATTTGGGTATTTTTCTCTAAGTCGATCTCAATAACTTCAGACTCAAATCTGTAAGTACTTGATGGGATGGTTGATCGAAGTTGCAGAAGGTGCTTGCTTTTAGGCAAGTCCTTCACCTGGAAGAAGTTTGACAAGGGCAGCGGGAAGACAGATTCAAGCTTAGATGGGTCACTAGCTGATTTGATTTCTACCTGGAGGTGTGGCTGAAACTCTTTGATTCTCTTCCCCTCAACATGGCCACTTAAAATGGTCATTTCTGGCTGTTCAAATACCAAAAAATCCAATCCCCTGACATCCTCAGATCCAACCTACATAATATATTCAACCAAGCACAAATCAGAGTATAGATCAAAATTGACAATAATCCAAAAACAGTTTAGCTAATGCTAAAAATCAACCGAATGACCCCCACCAAACCCCGAAAAAAAAAGAGAAGAAAAGATTATAGCCATTATCAAATAATAGTTCTGCGTAGATGTTTCACCAGGTAAAAAGATGAGAAAACCTCTGTCCGTGTCCGAAAAGAAGGTTTCTACCAAAAAGCGGCCTCAGAATAGCTCAACTAAAGAAGGCTGAATATTCAATACTAATACTTATCAGTTAGGGGAGAATAGAAAGGTATGTTCCAGGTGAAAATAGAACTAGACTTCCATTCGGTAATCACTGAATTTGCTTTTGCAAGAACAAAGCAACAGGTAGATAACTGCCGTTGGAAACAAAATATTGCTCTTTCCTCATGTCACATGCATCAAAATCGCCCAACCAGCTGACCAGCAGCAACAACATATCCACCACTGTGGCTGCTAACAATGCCACAAACTATACATACTGACATGAACCATGCAGAATTGTTAGAAACTCCTCCTACATTTATGTGTGCGCCACAAACTATACATATTGATGTCTACTATGCAGAATTGTTAGAAACTCCTGTAACATTTATATACAAAAGCTCAGGACTCACAATTTTCTTTGCATTTTTCTCTCACTTAAACAAAAAGGGTAAAAAGACATCAATGAAACTAACATAGAGAAGCAGGATTGACATGAACAGTCTGAAGTAGACAGATTTTCCCTCTTCTACACCATTTTATGAAAACTGAAAATCAACTGTTATCCAAGTGACAGTGCCACAGGTCCCTTCACTAGGACGGTACTGAGTAGGTCAAATAATATAGGTGACACACATATACCATTATAGAGGTGAACTTGATGAGAATAAATCATCTGCTAAAAGACTACGATCTCAATATCAAGAGCTACAGAAGCATGCACTTAATGACAAGAAAACTAACTACAAGTATAACTCACCTGAACAGCAGTAGATTCGGGAGATGCACGTTCAATTGGATTGCTATCAAAGTCACCCTTTTTTGCAACTTTGATTATATAGGTAGTATCAGGCAGGAGTCCCCGCAGACGATAACTTCCTGCTGAATCTGTCAGTGTCTCCTCATAAAAGCCTTTTGATTCTGACCGAGCTTCTACTGCAACACCTTCTTTTGGCTGGCCAGACAAGAGAGTAACCATACCCATGGCACTGTAAAGAGGTTAAACATCAGAGAGTAATTGAGATTTAGAGATAAACATCCATGAGAACAGTTAAAATTGACGTTTTTGTATTCTGATCCAAACACTAGCATTCTACCGGAACTGCAAGTAAAATAAAAGTATAACACCAGCGAAAACAACATTTTTACATTATCTAAGCAATAGTGTCCTCTTTTTTTTCCCTAAAATGAGACAAACCAATTCTAAGCAAACTATGCAATTCAAGTGCAATTTTGCTAGCTAGAATATATGCTGAGACAGTTTAGTGTAGCATAGTTTAACTTCAGGTCACATTTCCGCTTGGAGTGATAAAAGTGTTGGTTAACAACAGGAGGTTATGGACTCGAATCTGAGAGCAATTAACCCAAAAATCCATAAAAAGGGAAAGCAAATACCTCTTATTTGTTTACCATTTTTGTACTTAACAAAAACAACGGCTATAGTGATAAATGGGATTATGTATATCATAAAAGAGAAAAATATAAAATAATCTGAAGAGATGAGCAAATCTATAAAAAAAGGACATGCAAAGATTGTTTCATAACCCCATAATCCATGGGGAATAGTTTTGATACTTTTATTTGCATTCGTTTGAGATTATATTCAGCTAACATGTGAAACAATGGCGGAAAATGTACCCCAACCTCCTAAAATTTTCTGAGGCATATACCATTGAAATTATCATTAGTGTAATATATTACATATTATAAATGGTTGTAATAAGTGTACCCTCGAAGGATACACTCGTCTATTATGTTTTTGTGGATACCTATAAATATAAGTTGAGAATGTGAAGAAATGGATTATTCTATGGCTCTGCCTCCTCTCATATTATCTTCTTCCCCAAGTCTCTTTAGTAAACTTAACATGGTATTAAAGTCTGGCTCTAGAATTTGATCTTGGCAGTGCAGCTGACTTCATTTCTCTTGCGTCTCCTACCTTCTTATTGTACTATTTTTCTGTTCTTTTTTTCTTCTTCTCCTACGGTGTAGACAAAAAATCAGATTTCCTTACTTCATAATATAAATGACCAAACTACCCCTAATACTAATATGCTAGAATACTCTGACAGTTAAAACCAATCTACATCAATTGCAGACCAGTGCAGATCTGGTTCTGGTGTCTTTCCTCTTGATTTCTATTGTTCCTTCAATTTCCTAGTCAGTTCAGCCCCAATAATCAGTATTAGTTTCGATTCAGTGGCTTTAAGTACCAGCTCAACAAGTTTCTACACAATTTTATGGATGTGTGCACTGGTTCAGCCTCTCTTTGACCAGTTCAGGTCAGGTTCAGCAAGTCACAGACTGTTTTCTCCTTTCTCAGCATCTGTTCATCCCTTCACAGAGGCGGATCAGGCTCTTTGGAGACTGTTTACAATCCATTTGACCCGATTCACCTCCTTTCATCTCGATTTGGACCTGATTCAGTGGTATTGATTATTCTCCATGGTTGGAATGGATTCTAAAACAGATACTCGTAACTCTTTCGCAAAATCTGCCACCAGACCTTTCCCTAACTTTCTTTAATGCTCCCGACTTTGGTCAAGCTCAATTAGAATAATAATGTCTTATGGCCTCGGTCTGTTGAGGTAATCCCAAAAGAGGAGGACCTTGTAAGCGTCTAGTAGATGATAAACCGAAGGAAAGTGACCAAGTTTGCTTAGTGGGAACAAGAGGCTACACGTTGAATAGTATTGAGCCTTGTATCAACTATACATTGCTCTATCTAGATTCTACAAAGCAAATATGGCATTGCTTACCACTATATATTTCAGCACTGGTAATATTACCCATGTTTATGAGGTATGCAAACAATATTTCAACCTTGAATAGGACAATCAGAGTTTAGAAGAATATTCCTCCGAAATCACTGGGTTTGCGAGGACCTAAAGATACATCAACCAATTACCACAAATGCCGAAGGTATGCAACAACCTGAAGATTCCAATGTTGTTTGCCTTTTATTGGTTTAATGACCAACTATGAGTCCATTCGTACACAGAGTTTGGGGAGTCTAATCCTGCCTTCTCTCATTGACATATTATCCGTCTTACAACATGTTATCTTGTTGAATGATCATTTTACTTCGAGTATCATGGTTATAATGTTGACTGCTTAGCTTTGAAGTGTCTCTAATAATGGTAATATTAGTTCCTGGGACAGACGTGGCTAGGGGGGTCAATTTCACCCATTGACGTGAACATGACAAGAAACCGATATGACTAATTAACATGAATAATAAATTGGTCAGATTAAAGTTAGATACGATTAACTGATATTGTAAGCAAAAAATATATATTTTATAATTTTTGTAATCTCTTTACATAGTATCATGAGTTGTATTAGAATTAAATATATTTTCATTGATACGGACATGATACAAACCGAAATGACACGACCTAAAAATCACATGACTCGATATGACATGACACAAATTGACACCCTTAGACGTGGCAGTCTAAGAAGCAAAGATATTGAAATAGATACAACATGAACACGACGACATTTCTCAAAAAATATGACACAAATACGTCAGATACACGTTTCAAATAATTACATTTTATGTGCAAATTATATAATTTTTATAAGCATAAATATAAGGATAGTACTATTCATAGGAAATTCAGTATTAAATGGCAACTAAATCTTATGTTCAATCATCTAGTATGAATATTTAAACTAAAATATCATAGTAGTCAATAATCGCTAAATTTTTTCTACATTATTCGTAGCTAACATATATAACTACAATAATTGATCCCATCTTAATTACTCATTTTTAGTAGTACTTTTATGCATCTTGTTCTTTTATTAGTCAATTTTTAGTAAAACTTTAACATTATTAGTCTAAACATATATTTTTTCCTCATTGGACACAGATAAAAGAGAATCGAATAAATGTATAAGAGTGTGCAAGTAGTGTTCGTATTCTACACGGATACGACACCTTCTTCAAATATTGTCTATCATGGTTTTAGTTATTGGTCAAATCCGATACGACTCAGCCATTCCCGAGAAAATAATGCTATATGATGCACAGAAATCGCAAGTCGCAACAGTATTGGCGATATCTCAGCTAGACTCGGACGTATCGTGAAAACTCAGAGCCATCTCGATAAAAATTGGACGATTCTTTTGTAAATTCCCTAAAATCTTGAACAAATAACAAAAATGCAAAGAAAACAAAAAAATGGTGAAAAAGAATATTGTCATGATTTGCAAGACACCGGTAGATCAGAGAAATTTCCACACATCCATACAACTTCATCTTCTTTTTCCTCTTTTTCTAGTATTTGTCTTCTGATCTTCTTCGCCGCAAAATACGTACCAATCACCATAGGCTGAGTGGTAGACTATAGAATCCCAACAACTCTAACCCCAGCCTTCTTCCGATGATCGAGTGTCAGTGGGTAGTTCAAATCCTTTCTCAAAATGTGCTCTCTCTCTCCCCCTCGACTGAGATGCTCAAAGCGTCTGACGGACGCAAGGAGCAAACCGAGTCTTTTAAAACTATGTCCTTTGGTCCCCAAATCCCAACGAAGAGACTCCAATTTTTGTTTTATGTTCTTTTCATTTTCTTATTTTGTTTTATTGTGTAGTTTATTTTAATCGGAGTAAAGTTACTCTTTGATAAATTATTCATTCTGAAAAAGAGTTACTCTTTGATAAATTATTAAAAAAATCTAATATAATTATTAGATACATCAATATTTTTCAACAATAAAAATATCAATATTTTTTAATAATAAAAAACATCAATATTTTATAAATGTAATGTAATAATTAGATAAATCAGTATTTTTCAATATTAGATTATTAAAACTAAATGTTATAACTAAATTACATATTCAGATTACTTATGTATTTCCGATAGCGCCCTTATACTTTATTTTAAATGTGTTTAATGTATTTTATGTATTTCTGGTAACGTCCTTATGCAGTGTTGTGAAAAGTTCGCCTAGGCGAGAAGCGAGAGGCGAGGCGAGGCGAGCGTATCTCGCGAGAAAAAGCGAAAAAGCGTTCGCTTTATTATAAAAAGCGAAAAATGTTTGATTTTTAATTTGAACTGTTGGATTGGGCGATTGAAAAAAAAAATTATAAGATGAAATACACCGAATTATCCCCTTATCTAATAAATAAAACCATAAACCTTAATTTATCCCATAATTTATGCCCTTAGCTGCTCGTTGCTCAAGAGGAGGACTACACAGAAGCTCGAAGCTCGTTGCTCGCTGCTACATAGAAGCTCATTGCTCGCTGGACTCGATCGACAGAGGCTCTCTGTCGCTGCTCGCTGGACTCAATCGATTGACAGAGCCTCTGTCGCTGCTTGCTGGACTCGATCGATCGACAGAAGCTCGTTGCTCGCTGCTCCTACAGGATCGACAGGTTAGTCTTCTTCTTCTCTTTTTTTCTTCTGTCTGTTAGTCTCCTTCCTCATCGATTCTGCTATTTTTTTTTTTCTGATCACATGTTCTGTCTTTTGCTCCTTCCTCACCAATGTTTTTTTTTTTTTTTAATTTTTCTAATCACATTTTTTTTTTCTGATATGCAATGCTCCGAACAATATTTCTTTTTTTCCTTGTATTGTTGTCTAGTCCATATGAAGATCCCACACAAAAGTTATGTGAATGTGAACAATATTACTTTTTTTTTAAGCACAACTTCTTGCTCGCTGGATTGATTTCTAAGTCCTTGAGATAGTTTATTTAGTTGTTTGAATTGTGTCTCTTATGTTTTTAAATATTAGGATTTGGGATATTATTAGTGTTTGTTTGAATTTAAATGTTTAAGCTATGACTGTTATTAAGATTTGAGATATTATTAGTGTTTATTTTAATTTAAATATTTATGATTTTACTTGCATTTAAATATTTAGTATATATAAAATTAGAACTTAGATGTGTATAAGTAATTAAACTAAAATATTTATTTATTTTTTTAACTGTTCGTTTCGCTTCGGTAAATCGTTTTGCTTCGCTTTTCGCTTAGGCGTTAGGAGCCTTGGTCGCTTCGGTTCGCTTTACGCCTTAAATAACACTGCTCTTACACTTCATTTTAAATGTGTTTAATGTATTTTTAGATATATTGTGGACATATAATGTGTGGATGATGATGTTTATTTTTTTTAGAATTTTTTAAAAAAAATTTGGAGTTTCTACCTGGTCTTTTGAGCGTATCAGCTGATACCGCGCCACAATCGATGTGTATCACTGTCATCCGAATCAATGCTGATACTGCGACTTTGAACCATGTTGTCTATGTTTTTTAGGTGACAATAGAGGCGGACATAAAGATGATCGCAAGTCTAGAGATCATTAACTTCATATATGCACTTTATTGCAATTGTAATACTCATTATGAAACACAGTTGGGATTTGCATGGCAAGCCATTTGGGATGCCAATCAAGTCTCCCATCAAGATGATACCAATCCATCGTTTGTACCACCATTTCGTTCAACTTTATCTAAGTCAAAGTTTATTACTATCACATGAGAGGAGTATGCCCAACCCATGCCTTAGAAATCGATAGTCCCCTGTCTCCTCCACTACTATATTAGCTTAGTCAGGTGTTACTTCTACTCGTTGAGTGTCCACCCACAGTTCCTGAACCATACACCCTTGAAGCTTCCAATCACTTCACTAGTCCGTCTAATTTCTTCTCTAATTATTGTTCTGTCATTCTCTCTCAAAATGTAATTCGTGCTAACAGTACCAAGGTTAAATGGATTATGGGTTGCTTGAGTATGTGGTATGGGTACGCGGTACAACACTTTCTTAGGTACACGATACAATAGGAATAGGTTTAACTAGTACGCTAGTATGGGTGACAATTCGTTTTAGAACTCTTATCTAGATTGTTTTCACTAATATACAACATTATATGTTACAAAACATCTATAAATACTAAGTCAGTTACCATTTATCTGATATTTGTGCTTGATTTTCTATTTTCTAAAACCATATATAATTATAAACTATATATATGTAGTCAATTAATATGTATTTTATATTTGTACTACATATTAGAATGCGAATTGATTTAAGATTAGTATTACAATTTGGGATCGTACATTTTAGTAATCTAGACCGCGAACTCATCCCGTTTGGGATCGATGTACTTAAATCGTGAGTCATCACGGATTTAATGAATTTTGGTAACCATGAACGGTACATCATCTACAGTTTCAGATTTGTGGATTACTCAACTAAGTACTACTATTTTTTAGCATCTATCATATTCGTTCTATAATTTTTTTTAAGTTTAATACCCATCAACAAAATTACTAAATCACTAAATTGTTTGGCCACCTTTATCCATTTTCTTGTGTGATTCAGGATCTCAAGAAGAGCATGAAGTTGGTGACCTTTGTTTCTTCAATTGGAATCCATCCACTTTGTCTTCATTGATGTGTTTTTATACAAGTCTTTCTGTTGTTTTGAACTCCTTGCCTATAGCCCTTCGTAAAGGTACTCAATCTTATGTTACTAACCATCCTATTAATATTAATTTCTTATAATGCCTTCTCCCCTAGTCTCTCCTATTTTGTCTCTCTCTTATCTACTATTTTCACCCTAAGGCATTGCAAGAAGTGATCTAATTTGGGTTAGAGGAAAGCTATGGAAGTCTGCCTTACATCATAACCAAACTTAGGATCTTGGTCCGATACCCCATGGAAAAACAACAGCTGGTTGTAGGTGGATTTATACAGTCAATCCTTATGGCAATGCCGAACATTTGAAAATTCAACTTTTAGCTAAGGGCTTTACTTAAAGCATATGACATTTGATTGTGAGGAATTCTTTTTTCTAGTTGCTTAGGTTTTCTATGTTAGTGTGTTGATTTCTTTGACTGTAAACTTTGATGGACTTTTGTCTCAGTTGGATGTCAAAACGAATTGTTACAAGAAAACCAGACTAAGAAGGTTTACATGGAGCAACCACATGGATTGGTTGCTGTGATAGAGTATCATGAAGAGTGTATCGGCTAAAGAAGTTCCTATATGGTCTGGAGTAGTCACTAAGAGTGTAGCTTAGTAGGTTTTCAAACAGAATTTTAGAGTTTTGATCTTCTCAGATGTCCACAAACATATTGGTGCAGGTTACTCGTTACATTGTACTTGTTTATGCGGATGATATTGTCATTAATTGAGATGATTATGAGGGTAATGCAAAAATGCAAGTTTTCCTGCAATAAAAATTTCATACTACCGACTTAGGCGAACACTGGTATCGAAAATTGGGTATCGATACACATTTTGAGTATCAAAAATCAAAATCTAAATAGGAAATTAGTTTGTCTGCGAAGAAATATCTATATAATAAAGTACAATGCAATTCAAATCTTAAAAGATAAACAAAATGACTTTTGCTTTTCACGGTTGAGATCTCTTAAATTTTACTTTAAAATTAATCCGACGGCTAATATTAACACTCCAAATTTAATAAGAAAAGTAGACCCTTAAAGGTGTATTTGGAATAACTTTTTAAAAATTCTTCTAAAACTTATAATTTTTCATAAATACTTTAAAAAAAAAAAGTAATATTTGGAACTGCACCATCACCACCGCCCCACCACCATCACCACACCACCACCACCGCCCCACCACCATCACCACACCACCACGATCGCCACCACCACTATCGCCGCCACCACTACACCACCCCACCACCACCATCCCAACTACCACCACTCTCACTACCACCACTCCCACCACCACCACCGTTGTTGTCACCTTATAACCACCACTGCCCCATCACCACCACCACCACCACCACCTCCATCGCCCCACCACTACCACCACCAATGTTATCACCCCACCACCACCTCTTCCACAACAACGACCACCACCACAACCCCACTACCACCACCGTCGTCGTCATCCCACCACTACCCCACCACCACCATCCCCACTACCATCACCTCCACCACCTTACCACCACTGTCACTGTCCCACCATCACCACCACCACCACCACCATTACCATTACCACCCACGTCTACCACCATCAGAATCGATCGGTGTCATCCATTACAACCATCACTGTCTTCCACCACCACCACTAGCCCCCACTACAACTGGTGCTTAAATTCCTTTCTCTTTCTTCTATCTTTGTAATTTGATTTTGGATGTGAATACAAATATGCTTATTATTAACCAATTTTTTTATTACTCCGTACCTTCAGGCACAGAAAATAACTAGTATGTTTGATATGCTACAAGAAATGGGTTTACTAGGAGGCATACCAATCAATGTTCCTATGGATACTAATCAGAAATATTTAGCGGATGCCAGTGCACTGTTTGATAATCTAAGTATCGTATGTTGGTTGAAAAGTCATCTAGCTATTTCTCAAACTTAATGTGGTCCACTACTTTATGTAATATCCCAGAGTACCGCATTGGGAAGCAATTTTTCGTATTTTATGATATCTCAAACAAGCTCCTGAACTTGGGTTTTTATATTGAGCCAATGGACTTTGTACTACTTCTCTAGCAAATCCAAGATTAACTACTGGATATTGTATTTTCTTAGGAAAAAACTTGATTACATGGAAAAGTAATAACCAAACGTAATAGCACAATCCTGCAGATAGACCAAGTATAACGTTATGGCGCATACTGGATTAACACGCAAACTTTCTACAAGAAACTGTCCTATAGCTCGACTCCACTTACATTTGTTTTGTGAAATGATAGGACCAAATATATTGAAGCTAATTGTCACTTCATTCAGGAAAAGACATTAAGTGTAGACATTACAAAAATATTTTGTGACTTGAGGATCAACTCGTAGATACATTCATCAAAGGATTGAGTCATACAAGTCTTACTCCCATTTGTTCTAAGCTTGGATTATATCATCTATCTACTCCATCTTGATGAAGAGTGTTGAGAACTTATATGGCTGTAGCAAGTGTACCCTAATACTCGCCCTTTATGTTTTTTTGGATTAGACATATAAGTAGACAGTAGGAGATATGGCATGGGCATTATTCTACTCATCTACCTCCTCTTATATTATTCTTCTTCCGCCATTTATCTTCTGTTAAATTTGACATATACATCTTAATTGCTCCATTATTCATGCCAAGTATGACACACTAAAATCTGATGACATATTAATGGGCAAAAACTGCACAATGTGGAAATGGTGATGTTTCAGTCTAACAGACAGTAAGTAAAATTTTGGTCTGTCAACCACAAACTTTTGTGCTAGGTGAGTTTAATGAAACTGAAGCACAATTATTGTACACTTTATATAGACCCTGATAGCAACATAAATAATGGAAGCAATTACAAATGAAAGAGACTAGAAAATACAGACAAACCTGTAAGCAACACGAGTGGCCTCGAAGATGACTTCCCTAGATTCCCCAGAACCAAGTTCAATTGCCTGTGCTGGAGGTGAGAAAGCATACTCCTGCAAGGAAAAGAAATTGTTCCTTACAGTGGTAAACAATTTAGAACAATGTAACATTCCTAAATGTCCTTTTAGGAGGGTAGCCTAGCATGAGTAACTTGCTCACTCCAACATATCATTGACAATCAAGAGGAAGCACAACAATCTGGAAAGGCCGAAACTTAAAAGTATATGCAACAAAAATTCAAATATTTGATCACTAGTGATTTAAACTGTAAGTGCCTACTTACAGTTTCTAATAGATGATAATTTCTTGGGAAATGAGATTTCAATTTGACTAGGAATAAATAAGCAATAACATACTGACAATCAAACACCGGAATTTTGGAGTACCTTTAGCAAAGGACGTAGATAAAAACTCCCAGGGAATAAGTTATCAAATAGGAAAACTCCACCAGCACCAGTTACTGAGTTATTCCTGTAACCGTCATCGCCACTCAATGATAATAGAACAGAAGGAAAAGGTTCTTTCGCATCTTCTTTAGAATATATATGTACAGAAATTTGACTAAGCTTCTGACAAGAAAAGGAATGAGGTCCAACTGGTTTTACATGATAGCCAGGCTGCAAGAAATAAGACAGACGTCAGACAATCAACCTGCAATTGCAGCAGGGAAAACTACAAAAGCTATAATAAATGCACATTCCACTAGTGAAACTTCCTCCTTGCTTAAAACTTTACAAGCTGGCTAGTACGAATATAATAAACATACAGACAAAACAGACCTCTGTCTACAGCCTAATCATCTACTTCATGAATATCGTTTATTGGGTCCAATGGCTACACTACACAACAAGAGTAGGCCTTGCAACCAGGATGAAGGCGTGAGCTGTCGCAATCCAGATGAAGGCGGGATTTTATCTTTAGGTTATTGGTACAATTATCTGCTAGAGACTTTACCAGCGAGGTTAGCTAGCACCTTCCGTAACTTACAAAACATAGACGTGTCTGACATTTAATGCATAAATATGACTAATAAAAACAGAGGTAGCAATTACACGATATCAGCAGTTTTTCTGCAAAATAACATCTTGCTACCGAGGAAAAAAAAAGTGAAGAGAGCATCAGACTAAGGTGGAAGAAACCTCAGAAATGAGAATAGGCTGTTCATAATCCGACATTCACAGGCTAGTGCCAGAGCTGCAACTTGTAGGAATCAATTAGAAGAACACTAGCTGAACCCAGACTGCCAGTCAGCAAAGCAGCCGAAAGCATTCACGTGAGCTTTGCCTAAAAAAACATCACATCAAACTCAATTCATGATGGACATGGGTTGAGGTTCTGTGTTTCAGCCAAATCCAATCCTAAAGAACCCCAACTCATGGTATAATATACAGCATACTACCCTTGAATTATATGACCTGCTAGGTCATCTCTCTCTTTCCAATTACTTGCTGACTAGCAGTTTCTGTAACCAGTGTAGAAACTAGATATTTCTATTTTTCCACAGAATTTTATTTTCTTACATTATTTAGCCTATTCATTTTCTCATAAGAGGTAAGCAAAAAAGGCCGAAACCCTAATTGCTGCAGCCTTTTCAACTAGGTTGCCGGAAATCACTCCTTGCTCGCGAGATTGAGCACTAGCTCGCCAAAATCAATCCAAGCCAGCGAAGTCATCAACTTCATTGCTCCCATTTGGTTACAAAGTTTTAATGTGTTTTAGAAACAACATAATGAACACCTTATACTCTCTGAAGTACAAGTTCTTTCTGTGCGGTTCTGATTATACAAGATTCACTTTTCCCCTCCATTTTTTCAGGAAAAATTCTTTGCTCGCTAAGAAAAAGAGGAAAACAGAAAGAACAAAAGAATTTACCCACTAACCAGGACACCCAAAACTCATCAATGCCTCATAATTCAATATCAGTTTAGGTTTGAGTCGGGGTTGACCATAACAGGGTAAAGGTATCCTCCTACTTCTTATTTGGGAGTCATAGAAACATACGAACTGCTTTCGCTTTAAAGCCCTACCATTGTATTTAGGTTCTCGGGCATTATGAATGGGAAGATGATAAGTTTATGGATGGTACAAGTTTTGAAACGGAAGTGATTCAGGCCCAATTTTTTTACAGGAAACAAAACTTCCATTTTATTCCATAAGAATAGCCTTGGAAAAAAAGAGCTTGTATTTACTGGCTAGTAGGAACAGACCAAGAAAAAGTTTGGGTTCACTAATAAAGAGTGGTAACCATGATTGTTATAAAATGAGAAATAGAGTTTTTTCTGTTCTTTTTTTTCCTTTTTTTTTTAGTAAAGGTATGATCAGACTTATTTACCACTAAATATGTTATATGGCTTGTGTTTTACTTATAACTTTTTCTAGAGACCACCTGAGGACCAGGGTTACTGCCTAAACCAGCAGGGCCATGACCTAAAGGTCCAAAACTATATCTTGACGTGTAAGCAATTTAATACATTAAATACTGCCATACATGAGTAGCTTAGGGGGATAACCCAGTAAACACTATTGTACATTCAAACCGCAGGATAAACTTACCAAAAAAAGAACAGAAAAAAGAACACTGAACCTTCAATGGACAGCAAGATTGGAATTAACGCAACATCATGCAGATGAATTTACGAATCAAATGTGAAGAACCATAAACATATTTACGGTGATGTTTCTAATAATATGATCTAGAAACACCACCTCCATTTCCTAGATAAAAGAAGCACACCACTTAATTAAATTGCTTAAGAATATATAATATCAATGAGATTCTTCCATTGTAAAAAGTTCAAACCTTTGAAGCCTCAATTTTGTAAGTTATATCATCATAAAGAGGCCCCCCACAAAGATACCTTCTGCCCCCGTGGTAGTTTCAAGTGCCAATTCACCTTTCTTAAGAGGAGCACTGTGACTATCTTCCCCAGCAATGATTCTAATTTGAACATCAGAGAGAGGGGGAGAAACTGATCCTTCAATGTACAAGCCCAATCGACCAGAAAATGGAGGAATTGAAGCTTGGCAGCCATCTTGCATCACTGAGACCTAATCAGGCAGATGAAAGATTTAAAAACCAAAATTTATGAATAGAAGACAATTGTAAGTATGAAACTTCCGGTGATGCTTACATGCTGTTGTCTAGGATAAAATAAGATTTTCTTTTCCCCATTATTCCTGTAACACGTCACGAAGAGGTTAACAGCGCATACACAATATTAGCAACACAAACTAGCATAAGACAAGTATCTGAGCAATCAACATAAAGATAAACAATTATGTAAAAATATAGATAAAAGGAGACAAGCCAAGACAATTCTAATGCACAGGTAGAGATGTTCAATGCTAAAAAAAACCGAATCGTTCATTATCATGACAGGAAATAAAGCCTTGTCATCACCAATACTAAGGTGGAGGATTGGAATTGGAAAACTAAAATTTTTGTCCTACAAGTCCAGCACACATAACAACCACACAAATGGAATTGATAATGACCCTTTGAATCCTTCTCTTAACAAATTTAGTGGAACATAAACAGAATCTCATAAAAATGAAAATGTAATTGGACTCCTGCTATAATTTTTAACTCTTTTGAGTGACAACCTATTTACAAAATTCAGTCACCTCTCAGGGACTTTCACTTGATCTTATATCAGAAAACATAAACTCTTTCTATCAAAGTGTGATGGCAACTCTTCTTGGATATCACATCCATATGCTAAATAAAGGATTTAATGAGGGACTGGGGAAAGGAATGGAGGTATATGCATATGGTTGGTGCAACTGAACTTCTAGAAAGTAAACAGCTGTCTCAAAAAAGAACAATATTGCAAATTTTCTACCCTGCCCAATGTCAATGATCTAAATACATCCAATTATCTGTCAATTAAGTTTAGGGAATTCCTCAACGTTAAACAAAAAATAAGTAATTTACTATGTCCAAATGCAAAGCCAATTGCATATTGGTTCTTCAAAATTCAAAATCACATGCCTGTAAATTAAGTTTGTGGAATTGCTTGGTATAAGGCATAGACAGCACATACAAATGAATAAATCTTACAGGTAAGGCAAATGCATAAATGACCCGTTGTTTGGTTGTCTTAAGACAAATATACATCTTACCAACAATGGAGGCAATGAAACAGACAATGACACAAAGTTATCATGCAACTGAACTGCAAAATGTGTACCGGGAGTCCTGAGGAACAAATGTAAGCTTTTCTTCAGGATTAGCCCATATTGAGTATTCATACACAGCAGCACTAGATAAATCTTTTCCAAGAGTTGTGAGTGTGGCAGTAGTAATGTCAACAACCGTATCCTCATTGCTTACGATGTCTACAAATATATTCTCAGATAACTTATCCACAACATTGGCTGAGCTTGATTCAACATGGATTTGTCCTTTGACAAGATATTTCTGTCCTTTTAGGTAAACAGGCTGCACAAATAAGGCAAAAATGAGAGAAAAAGTAAAAGAAAACGCAAATACAAGCAGTAGTCAAATCAAACCCACAAGTAAGAGCAAGAAAAATAACATGAAATACCGATGGGTTGGATGTATCAATAATCAAAGACGAGCTTCCAAAGAAAATACATGAGTTTACAAAGTGAAGTTCATGCACTCCAGGAGATTCTACACAAACGTGCTGCAAACCTTTCTGCAGTTCCAATGAAACAAATAAGTCAAAAAAAAAAGAGCTTCACAAGAAAGTGACTATTGTGTCCAGTAGTAGTAATGCGAGTTTTAAAGAGATTCAATATTTCTTAGTGAATCAAGTATGACCTTAATTTTCAAATTCACATGAGAACCATCTTGTTGAGTTAGGTAAGTATCTACGTCGTGGGTGGAAATAACATCAACCCAATAACCCTTTTGGACAAATACAATCCCTTTTACATCCTCAGTTCCAACATTGACATTAATAAAACTCTGCTCCCAGCACCATTTATCTTCTCCCGAAAAGGCACCTGGAAATTTGGTCTTGACCTAAAACGAGCACAACCAGTTGAGCAGATATTTAGAAGTTATCGAATATACATTCTGGCGAGAGAAATAACGCTTCCTAAGAAATCAAAAACAGAAGAATTTCTGAGGAGCTATGAGATGTGGAGATAAACATAATAGGCATATGGGCATCACCTGTACATTCTAGCACAACAGTATAGTAATGGCAACGATGTCATAATATACATATGCATAATATATATCTATATATATTGCTATAGGATGCATGCGTACATATATCTATATATGTTATTCTATTACATATGTGTGTTTCTCACCGTAACCAAGCTTGTCAATGCATGTGAAAGAACAGTAGAATGTTGGGTGGAAAGGAAAGTAACAAATTGTCAAGTAGATGCAACTTAAATAAAAAAAAGGACAAACATATGATAACCTTACACCAATTTCTCTGCACAGAGATTGAGTAAATAAAAAGGGACTCTTTCATAAGCATCCAAACTTGCATCAGAGATGGGCCGACATTACTTTCCTGTCTACAAGTTCTTAGGGCAAACTATACTGATATTCCTTGAGGTTTCCTAAAAATATGCTCCGCCCTTTGGGGTTTTAGAAACGACAGTCAACTCCCCCGTCAGTTTTTTTTTTTTTTTGGTCAGCTGACATCACTGCCCTCTTCCTAATTATGGCAGACACTTGAGTCCCCATTATGGCGCCCCTAACCTGTAACACAAAAGCAACTCCATCCCTGGCAATCCCCAACCACAAATCAGAAGCAACTCTCGCCCAAACTGTTCCCCCAACAACCCCCCCCCCCCTCCCCAAAAAAAAAAAAAAAAGAAAAAAAAAACCAACAACCCTCCACTCGGCAGCTGCTACCATCAACCATGGTTGTCAAAACGCGTATTAGAAGATGTATCATTGGCCAAAAAATATTGTATCATGTGTTGTAACGTATCATGCATCATAAGATACACGCAATTTTTAACCATTTACTAATAAAATATATATACCCTTGAAGAAAAGTGATAATACCATATCATTTCATATTTTCATTAATATTCCACCAACTATTAAAGTTTCGAACATAGTTCATTAATATCATTAATTTGCTAAAGCAGTACTTACATTTGGATTTATGGGTCTGTGTTGTAGGTAGAGAAGCTAGAGGAATGAGAGGAGACGAACAAGAAGAGGCTGAAATTGCCTAACCAGTGGATGCAACGATGAAGAGAGGAGAGCAGAGAAGAAAGCCTAGGGCTTTCTGGTTTGATGTCTTCTTGCGCAACAGAGAAAGGAGAGGACAATCGAGGGTTTCTCAAATCTGATCAGCTTTTTTTTTTAATGCCCTAGTCAATTCATTGACAAGGGCTTAAAAAATAAAAGTCCAGGTCAAAACAACATCGTTTCAACAACAAAAATCCAAAAATAAAAAACAGCAGCTTAGCTTTTCGTTTGTATCGACGATACGCACCGTGTATCACTTACTATATGGGTGATACTGTGTAAAAACGGTACAAATATGCAATATGTATCGTTTTTTCTCGTAAACATATCGTATCGTACGATACTAATAACCTTGCTACCAACTAAACGAAGTACAATCCCCGCCATCCTTCATCACTCCCTCTTGGCAACACACCCATCCACCGTCAAACCCCCACCATTCCTCACCTCTCTCCGACACACAAAAACTTACATAGATCCATCCATCGCCATCTTCTTCCACCTCTCTCCCACACACAAGCACATACAATCTTCAATTTGGCCTGCCTGTGATGGGCTTTGAAAATAGGGCCAGTTTGAATTTTAAGGGTTTTAGGATTATGGTAAGGGTATGGAATTTAGGTTCACATTAAGTCTAGGCTAAGGCAGAGTTTGGATCTGGTGGTGGTTTGTGAAGGCGGTGGTGTGACGATTTGGGCTCTGCGTTTGATTTGGATTGAGTCTACAAATTTGGTCTGTGGTGGTGGTGATCCAGATTTGGGTTCGAGATGGTGGTTTCAGTTGACTAGTTAAGCTTACAGTTTATGGTACAAATTCGGATATGACAGAGGGGAGAAGAATATGGAAGAGAATTGCAGGCTTTTTTCTTGCAACTCCGGGTAAAAAACCTAGCCTCTGGATCTTCTTCCTCTTCTCTTCACTCGTTATGATATTCCAATTTGTCCTTCTCTTCTCCCCTCCTTTATGATGATATCCAAATTTGGACCATTGCTGCAACCCTATATTGTCAACTGAAATCACCACCGCATACCCAAAGCTGGACCCTCTTCGCCCGCAATGGGGATTCTTTCCAACAAGTGCAACTGAATGTATGGATCACTTGTTTTTACATTGCCCGTTTGTCTCATAGGTGAGCCATAGACTTTTGGTTGTTGTCGGAGTCCCTTAGGTCATTCCGCAATGCTACGGCTTGGTTTTTGTTGTTTCATTACGAGGGTTTTGGCTCAAGCAACAAAGCTATGACCATATGGAGATGTGCGCTTGTTGGCATTGATTTGGGTGGTATGGTTAGGAGATTTGAAATTTCGAAATTCCACCAAAAGTCTACTGCACATATGAAATTTTCTTCACTCTTTATTATTAGTTATTATATACTTTGCTATACTATCAACAAAATGAAATGGAAATCTAAATTTTTACAAGCAGACAAGTCAAAATTAACAGTAAATTTTACTTTTAACACAAATATATTAGGTATTTGAAGAAAGTTGTTCATGACATCAACTAAACCTGGTTAGTTAAGTAATGGTCTGGGCTGACGGTAATCCAATTCCAAACCTCAAGGAGTTTGTTGGTACCACAAGGATCAGAGTCTATTAAATGAACCTCAAGGGTGTAGGTGTAATTTGCCTACGAAATATCGTTGAATTAGTAATCAGTTTCAAAAACCTACATAACACAGCTTTGAGTGTGAATTGGCTGAATCAGCTAAACTAATCACTGGAGAAGTATATTTTATGTAGCTTGAATAGAACGGGAAACAATATTACCGCAAACTTAGTAATGCATCTCCCCTGGCAGAGTACAAATGCAAGGTACAGGGGAAAAAATACATCGATGAAAGTTCTTTCCAAATAAATGCCCTTTCATCAATCACCATCAACTTTTGTTTACAAAAAAAAGAAAGAAAAGATAAAAACTTGAAATACGCAATATTTCATAATAATAATACAAGGAAAAAGACAGAGACAGTACCTCAAGTCTGTATTTCCCAGGGAGGACAGTAGGAAACAAAAATTCACCACTGTGATCAGTCAAATTGACTGTTTTTCTATCTTCTTTACTTTTTCCATCCGACCTTACAAGTGAAACAGAAACAGAGGAGCCGCATTCCTCTTTGCAAGCCACTGAGCCAGATACACTCACTTGTACCTACTCATGAAGAAACACTTTAGATGTGATATTATAAAGCTCAATTCTGGCATACAGAGATTCCATATAGAGCACTATGGCCTGCAATCCACACCAAAAATCCCATAATCCTGAGGCAAAAAGCAATTTGAGAGAAAATAATAATTGAAAACAATGTCATCTGAGTTGATGAATCACTCGACACCAGTTTGTTTTCCTTTTTTGGATAACAAAGACTATATTAATAGAACAAAATGGATGTAGTACAATAGGAAAGGTAGACAAGAAGTCCAGCCAAAAAACAAACAAAAGCACTACATCAAAATCAGGAAAAAAAAAAACACAGAAAAAAACAGCAAGTTATACAACATCAATACCACAAACAGCCGTCCAACTAGCCAAGATTCCAAAAAAAAAGACATATTAGCAAAATCCTTTGTTACCAATCACTTGACACCAGTCAACAACCGATTTTGACAACTCATTGTTAACGTAATGCAAGAGACTTATAAATGAAAAAAAAAATGGTACTAAGAACTTCCCTTAATGTAAAAAGGCAGAAGTGAATAAACTGGAATGGATAAATGAAAGCAACTTTCATGTCTACTAAATCAGAGAAAAAAAATCACCTGATAGAATTCTACATTCAGCAATGGACTGTTGACTCTGACATCAACATAAGATGGAGAAAACAGAAGTTCTGGAGCACTCTCAGGTGTAGCTGCAAAAGCAGACAATCGATATTCACCTGGGGGAACCTGAAACAAGTTGATATTAACTCAAAGTGATACAACTGATCAATCCTCGGTAACAGGCGTTCTACCCATCCCATTAGAAAAAAAAGATTTCATATTAAATATTAGTAGAGTATATGGCACCATAACTTCTGTTCTGGAAAATAACATCTCACAGAAAGTTCAACTGTCACAATTTTATAAAGACTTCAAATAATCCCCAACAAAAGCTTCATATTATTCAATCAAATCCACAGAGACCAAATAAATATACATGCTTACACACTTGATAAACAAATTGGCCTATTCAAGCCTATCGAGGACTAACATATCATCACAACATATGGTTAAATGTCCCATTCCCCGTACTCAAATACTGCCTAGTGTATGTCTTAAAGGCTTTTTAACTAGTCAAAAAGATGTACAATAAGCTAGCTCTTTTAAATTACACATACACCAAAAATGTAAAGAATTATGTTAGTTGAACAACCTATAGAGGGTTTTATTGATTCATCACATTTCCAACCCCAATACTATCAAGAGGATAAGAGTATATGATCGAAAAATACCAATAAACTTAAACACCTCAAATTCATGCTTCTCACTCATTGAAGTATTTCTTATGAGGTTATCGCAATAGCAGAAGTAGGTAGGTACTAAAACAGCAGCGACAAAAGTGGCATTGATTTATGCTAACATACCTCAAAGCAGAAAGTACCACCATCACTGGTCTGTGTCGCCTGAGGCTTAACATTCTCCGGTCCATGAGTCAAAGCCACCTATTATTCACCAATTTTGTAAGTATAATAATACAGTAAAGCATGATTGTATTACAGATTTTTAATACGCAATGGCCCTACATGGTTCCTGTTATAGAATAAATGAGACAATTAACAACTCGGGCCAATGTGTCCTGCACAAATTTCTAAAACAGTAATATAAAAGGAAACACTACATTCCAGCAGAGGGAGGGGGCCTCAAATTCAATTGCAGTTCCAGGGTTGCTCAAAACTGAAGCAATTGATGCCAGTCCACAACACCCACCCAACACACCGCTCTTGCAAACACCACTACAATTACCAGCACCACAACCATAAGTACCATAGAACCTCCGCATTCACATACATGAGACCACCACTGCCATAACCGTCACTGCCGCCAAACATCAAATTTTTGAACCACTGGTCCACTACCACCATTTCTAAACACAAGCACTTTGACCAACCTTACCACCAATTTAGAAACACCTCCTTGCAGCTGCCACCTCCACTGTCAACAACCACCCTCCCAAAGTGCATCAAAAGCTCCTTATCCACTGTGGCCATAAGTATATGTATGATTATATGCATACTTGAAGAATCAAAGTCAAATTCTAAACTCACCTTTGCCTTGTAATCTGAACCAACCATCAGTATCCTGCCACAGACATCATAGGAGACTGCTTTGATATCACCAACTGAAGCCATGTTTGGCAAAACCTAAAACAAACATCAAATATACATTTGGGGGGGTAAAAAAAGTAAGTTGATAAATTGATCCTCTCGAAAGAAGCCAATCATGTTAAAGGTCCAAATACCTCAATGTTGAAAATATTTCCCTTACCAAAAAGTCTTTCAGTTTATCAAACTTGTAATGCTCCTTTTTTGCTTCTATCATATAGCGTTTAGACGTAACCTAGAATCATTGAACAATTTTGTTGGTCAAAACAAAGTTCTTAAACAACCAAGAGCATAAGATTTATTGTTTCTGTTAATTAGCACTAGATATATGATATATCATTGTACCAAAAACAAAATCATATGTATTAAGGTCCTCAAAGACTATAATAAAATAGAAATCCAGTAACTGAAAACCAGATAAGACAGACAAATAGTCAAATTGAAAGTAAACAAAATAGGTCATAAACATAATAACCGGATGGTGAAAGCGAAGGGGTACTACTGATTCCGAAATTGACTTCTTTTAGGCATACCATCTTTCAAGAATCTCGAGACCCTACAAACGCACGCATACATATATGTTTAATGAAAAGAGCAGTAGGTCAAGAATCCCACGTGTAGAGTTTGGGCATATGAAACACTAAATTCTTCCCGCAAATTCATATGTGCAGAAGATTGGTAAGCTAGGAAATGAAGGAATGAATTTATACAGATTCAAAAGAAGCAAAAGGTTGCACCAACTGAGAAAAAGATGAGCAGTTTGTTTCAGATTGATCATCTGCACGGGAAAAAATGAAGGAAAAAAAACCGCAGAAGGAAAAGAGGTTCTATTAATGTAGGTGTAACAAAAGTAAAAGAGGAAGAACAAAAAGAATGACAGTTCCATACTAGCTGATGACTTCAAACCCGCCCCACCCCCAGGTGGGGAGAGAAATGATCCTAAATAGAGCTAAATGACATCTTCATCTACTATTGACTAGTTGGGACAGAAGGCTTAGCCGAGAAAAAGTTGAGTTCAAAAGAAATAAAGCATATAAATGAAAGATTTTGGGAAAAAAAAAAAACAAAGCCAACATCATATATAAAGCTGAGATATCTCTTGAAGTAGCCAATGAGCAAAACCAGGAAGGGTTTTTAAACAATTACACAAATATGCACAAATGCGAAAGAAATTTAAAGTTGGCATATCTTATCCTGAAAGAAATGAAATGTTTGGCTGCTGCGAGCATAAAAACAATTTACCTGGTCAAGTTTGTAATATCCTTCATTGTCGGTGATATACCTTTCATGTCCATCCACTAAAACTTTTGCACCATCTACTCCCATGCCATTTCCATCAACAACACGGCCCCCAACAGAAAATCCAGTGACCTAGTCAAAATTATGTGGCAGAGGATCCTAATGAATTTGAAAATACACAAAAAAAAAAAAAAAAACAAAAGGAGGTGTAGCAAAAAGTTATTGAAAGAGCACTTGCAAGAGCAAAGGAGCTTAAGTAAATCACAAGACTCGTTAGTTTGAATTCAATATTTTTTAAAAGAGGAAAAAATTAAAACTATAAGTCTATAACAAAACCAAGCCAAATAATTGGCATGGATTCCCTGCCTTATGATTAAGTTTATATCCATGCTTATCTTACACTAAGGGAAATCAAAATCAGTAAAAACAATCATTCACCAGCAACAAAGGACTTCTACACAAACACTGACAAGAAGTGTTGTAACTAGTTCTGTTATCAAACACTTAAATAGAATCAAAACTTTTCAAGTTTAATGAAATGAAGTACAAGCTGCAACTTTCATTGGAAGACAGGAAATGATCACTACAATTCAAAAAAACGAAAAAAAAAAATCGCAAAAGTTCAGAATAACACCAAAATTAAACTTCAGAATTTGGAATCACCACTAGATTAATTAAAGAAAATGAAAAACAATCCTCCTCTTAAGTGGAGCTTCAGTTAGTGGCACCATCCCAGGTGAGCTCACACCAACCATCAATGCACACCACAGATGCCTGCAATCACAAACACGTTCATCCACAACTTCCTTTCCCCCCCCCCCCCCAAAAAAAAAAAAATACACAGATGCACACAAAAAGGTTTCTACAACCCTCCTCTATAAAATCCTCTCTATCTTCCCTAGAAATATGTCCTGTATTTTAAGGTTGGCAATGTCCTTTGACAAATAAAACAACATAAACTTGTTCACTCTTCTTTCAGGCAAGGGGGTGAAATCGAAACAACTTATCTATTGTTTTCTCACAATCTCAAACCACTATTCTTTTTTATTTTTTCATTTTGGCCGCAATTTGTACATGAATGATATCAAATTGTCTAGGACTATGGTATTTATTATGTCCTCCCACTGGATGAGACTGAAATCCTTTTTTTTGGATAAAACGATAAAAAGGAAATTACAAACACATAATGGAACCATTCAAATCATTCACAGATCCAACAATAGACTAAGCAAAACTGATAAAGCTTAGCTTTGGGTTGTCGACATGCTCATGGTTCAATAAAGCATATGAATATATCAGACTGCACCTGTACAAAATCAACTATTTTTGAAAAGATTGCACATGATGCAAGATCAACTTCTGAAAGAGATTTGATGTGCCCGATATAGTTCACACCACACTAGCAATACCAAGGCATCCTAATTACAGTTCACCGTACTAAAGCAATTAGCGTTCTCAGAACATCATCAGGGGTACTGCAGGATGGATGTAGCACTAAAGTGAATTATAATATCATTTGGATTTAATATATAAAAGTTTTCGAATTTAAAAAAACTCTTTGCATGAACTCATGAAATGTAAATCTAGAATCATACATGCCAAAAAAAACAGATATCTAAAGTAATAGGATGCTTGCATCAAAGAGTTGGCAGACAGTCGCAGACAGTCACAGACACATATCCTGAATGGTGGAAAAACCCAATCTCGAACCATACAAAAGCCAATACCATACCTGAAACTTTTGGGGTACTGTTGCATGATCATGCTGAACAGACACTGACATGAAGGGAGGTGACACATCAAACACTGTATTCTCTCCTTTGTAGAAAGGTACAAGCTCGAAAACCCCTATAGGAGTACCACAAACCCATCAAAGTGGTATCAACAGATCCAACGAATTTGTCAAAACAAATAATGCAACATTTCTAAAGAAGCCCAACACAGCAAAAGTTTTATAGCCACCCCTCTTCCAATAATTGTCTAAGTAGAACCTCAACAAACTAAACATATACAAATAACCAGTGAAGTTCAAGACACTTCTAATTTGTAATTCCAATGGCCAGCTAAAAAATCCAAAGTGGGTTTATTAACAAAGCTCATTGTCTCCATAGACAAAATCGAACATGGATTTCGCATCCTATGACATAAAACAATTAATAAGAAAAAGACATATCAGAAATTTTAGTTCAACATTAAATCAAACTAGAAAAAACTATGCAGGAGCCTAAGCCAAGTTGATCTCACTGAAGATCCAATACAATCCCACTATCTTGGTCACCAAAAATGAAATCAATTATGTATATGCTAACTGTGCAATACCAAGTGGGGCTCAATCAGCTTAGTTTGCCAGAGCAAGTTCTGTCAAGATTTGAGCATAAAACCAAGTCAAATGGTAAGGACACAAATTATTGAATGGCATATTCAAACTGAGAATTAATGTACAACCAAAAGATAAGCTCCAATGCAAAAGTTCAAATATGGAGACCCTTCACCACTCAAAGGTCATTCTGTTACAATATGGAGACCCTTCAGCACTCAAAGGTCATGTTCCAATTTGCATGAAGGAACAAATCCTATTAAAATCAGGAAACATCCTTATGCACTTCAAAGTATGTAAATGATTTTGGAAAACCAAGACGGGATATAAGAGAACAAACAAAACTTTGTGTTTGCCAACCAAATGCAAAAATCTGCACAGACAAGAATAGGGGGTTATACCGCAGGGTATCGATCTAAATGTGAACATTCCATCAGCATCAGATACAGCATGACAGAGTGCTTTTCTTTGTCCAGGCGTGTTACCAGATCCCTGGGGGCAGTCTACCTCCAAGACATCCTCCGAGTATAAATAAATGTGAACCCCCAATATGGGATTTCCCTATCAAAACAGCGCAATGGATCATGGATCGGCTTTATTAATTTACACACCAAACAGCAGATTACCACAATCAATTATTTCCAAACATCTAAAAGTCCACAAATGGAAATACACACACACACACCCAAACACAGGATGCGTGTACCTTCATTCAAAATTTAACCATCTTATTGCCAACTGTGAATTGTCATCACCATATCACTAGACAATAAAGTGCAGTCTAAAAGATGAGGGTGAAGTTTACTACTTTTAAGTAATTCTTGGTGGCGTCAATGTTCACAGCCATATTGCAAGCCATGCAGTGCAATTTCTGAAGCTAAAATTTCTTGGAAGGAACTGTGCCAACCAGAACTCAGAAGTCAAAACACACAGAAAACCAAACCACCCAATACCAAAATTTTACTCTTGGCATCAAACGTGTATCCATAAGCATAATATGCATACAAGGTAAAAGAGCAGCAAAACAGAGTTAACCTCTACGACTGCATAGCAGAAATTATACATGGGTGCATACTCCCATAATCCCTTATTCCAAAATTTTCAATTAACTTACAGAGAAAGAACAGTTCCATTAATTAGAGATGATAGACTATTGCATGTCAAATAGAGGAGAAGAGCAACGGCATCTGTTGGAGGGGGAGGGAAATCTTGAAGACCGTGATACACCATTACTAGCTCCAGAAAAGTGCAATCCTCTTGGGCCCAAGAGGATTGCAGCCAGTATGCACCCATGCAATCCTCTTGCAGTGAGTATGCACCCTTGCAATCCTCTTGGGCGACAAAAACTCTTTAATTAGATAAACACTAACTGTAAAAAATCTGCTAAGATAAATCTTAATAATAACTTGCATGTCCAGGTAATTTTCACAAATTCACTACATCAAAAACCAGTTAAGAATCACATATTCGAGACCAGATTAACACAAAGATGGACACATCACCAGAAATCACCCCTCTCCCTGCTCCAACCTCCACACACATATAATCTAAGTTTCTAATTAGGTGGCATGAGATGCCATAAGCAAATCTCTTAGATACCTTATCTCTCAGATCCAGTTGGGTTAACAAATTCGCACAAAAGACCAATAATTAAAGTAAAAAACAAAAGATTTAAATATTATTATTGGCCTTTCAAGCCCTATCTCCTACTAACCATGTGGATAATTTGATATGGCTGTACACACAGTGTTTCATATAGAAAGAAGCACAAGAAATAATTGTTACTCAGGAAAGTTCACCTGAGCGACCACATATCCACGAATATCATATCCAGGGGCAAAGAAAATGTCATCAATTAAGCTATTTCCAAACCCCAATTCCACCTGCAAGAAGTGAATATATGAGATGAATGACCTGTCTGAAGCATTTGCATTTCAACTGCAAGGAGAACAAGAGCTTCCACGAGAAGGGGGGGGGGGGGGGGGGAAGGAAGATAGAGAGAACTAAACAAAAATTGGAAGACAGGGTACACTAACAATTTGAATCAACATAAATTAAAAAGGCATGTAACCTCAGTGGAACCTCTAACTTCAATTTGCAAATCATGGTGTGAAGCACGTAATTTGTATTTTCCTACATCCAAGAATGGTTATCTTCAGAACAACAGATCCATCCCGCCAAGAATACTGAGACAATAATTACTAAAATAGATTTTTTTTTCTTTTTTGATAAGAAACGAAGCATTTGTATTAATAAGAAATTGAAAAATACATCAAAAAGGTTGGATAAGAAATCCAACTGAATGCAAAAACATGGAAACCAAAATCACAAATTACTGAAATAGAATTACAAGGTAAATCTTGAAAGAAGGTTTAAAATAACAAAATACAGAAAATGAATGATGTTAAGATTTATCTCTCTTTTTTCCTTTCTTAAATAGTTAGCTAATGTATTCACCTATTCATCTCCCAATAGTATGCATGATATAACCTCCAGTACTAATTGAATGACTTCTTCATGGATCAAAAAAATACATTCTCAAAAGTCCAAAAGTACGAACTCAATGTCATTCCATCAATCAAGTGGCAAGGAAACTTCAAACCTGGAATAATGTTAGCAAATGAGTAACTTCCTGCTGATGATGTCAGAACAGAAGAGACAAGATCACCCATGGAAGACAAAAGCTCAATGTTCACATTAGATGGACCTCCATTCTTATGTGAACAGCTCCCTCCACCAACAGCTCCCACAACTCTCCCAGATGTGGAGAATCTGTAAAACCAATTAAAGAAGCTATGTACAATTAGTTATCAACAGAAAAAGAATCTCAAAACAAGAGAGTCTAGAGCATACACAAGACCAGAAACCATGTCACACGCAATACAAATAGAATTGACAACATGAATCATTAACACAAAATTTGTAATATAAAAACATTTTTTCATAAAATCAATCCCTTTGGACAAACCCTGTAAATCGAAAATTTATGTCTTCATTGGCATTGCAACCGTTGTTATCAACAACAATAGGAACCTACAACAAAAGTTATTTTTTGTCAGATGTTATGGAAAGTACTCTTACATAGAACGTCAAACAAGTCACTTGTTAATAAGGGAGAAAAAGATCACTATATGAAAATAAAATAACATAAAAAAAACCACAAGGTACTTAACTTGATGTGGGTCCCATGACCATCCTTCTGGTCCCTTAATTTTAATCGCAAAAGAACCCTGCAAACAGAAGGAGTACTTGCATTCTCAAACAGGTCTAAAACCAACACAAGCCGAGTTTGAAGTGCCCATACTGGGCCTTCTATTTGACTGGAAGTAGGTCCCCCTGGGCCCTCTATTACACCCTTGCAAACAGAAGGAGTACTTGCATTCTCAAACAGGTCTAAAACCAACACAAGCCAAGTTTGAAGTGCCCATACTGGACCCTCTATTCAACTGGAAGTAGGTCCCCCTGTCTGCACAATTTTATCCCTGAACATCATGTCTCTTCTGCCACTCTCCAGAAAATGGTCAAGCAAAACAAACCCACCAACTTAATTGGTTCAAATGACCCTTCCTCATTAGCACAAACTTTTCAATTAACTGTGTATAGGCTTCACTATCTAGTTCGTTCAGCATGTAAAACAATGGTGTCTAAAGAAATACCTTGTCATAAACTGGAATGAAGTAGTAACCATTTGGAGCACACTGTGTTCTTTCCTTCACCAATCCATCCAATGTGCGAAGCTCAACCTACAGTTTGACAACAGACATACTTGTCAGATTAGAAACAGTACAGTTGCTTCATGAGCATCAACGCAGAATTCTACAACATATAAATTTGAGCAAAACATAGCAATGTCTAGCATAATGAACCAAACAAGAAGCGTTTGCTTATAAGGCCTAAACCAATATGCCTCATAACAGAAACATGTCAGCGCAAGCATACTACACAGTCCTCTTTCCAACAAGTTACAGCATGCTGTGGCTTTGCCGCTTTGGAGATCCCCATGTCAATGATGGGGCTCCCATGCCATTGCTATCATGCCCTGAACCATGCAATATGACCCCCCTTAAACTCTAGTTTCCAGGACTGTGCCTTACCCAAGTGATAAAGGTGAGAGTACTAAGGAATGACCACCATGGTCAAATTCCATTTACCACTTAACATTCAAAAGTCTAGATACCAGAGTAAAAGACCGGTAGGCCTAATATTCAACTTCACTGGTTCGAAAAAGGTGAAAGCATCCAAAAATGTATAGATTCCATAAAAGGGACTGTCTGAGTTACCTGCGGTATATAGAAAAATAAGCCCCAGTATCGTATCCCAACTACCCAAAGAAAGTCAAATTTTCAGTTGATAAATTAGATTAACCCAAAGAACAAAACAAACTAATTGCCAAGGATGAAACCACAATAGTTCCTTTGTCAAATCCTCACAAGAGCAAATTTCAAACCCCACTCATATATTTAACAGAATCAGCGTTTATACAACTTCCAAAAGTATGTTTCTTTAAAAACCTCGATGACATTAGCTACGACACTTCCATAATTACCCTTAACATTAAATAGACCATAATGTCATAAAATACTTACTAAATGACGTAAATTTCATTCTTTAAGAAGACTAAGTTGCCCTTACGAAAGATAAAACGGTGCAAATGGCTTGGTGGTGCATTATGGGGAAATGTGAATTCCAGCAAAATTGTCATTTGTGTGTATTGTTCATTTTCCTCATTTATCCGGTGAAAATTTATTTGCATTTGCATCTTTGGTGTGTCATTCAATGAATAACCATACTTAACTCACAGTGTAAGAGTGCTTAAATAACACTCATTGCCACCACAACACACATTCATCTCATTGCCACTACAACACACATTCATCGTTGTGTTCTCTCTTATCTCTCCTCCATTCATGTACTTTTAATGTGTACATGTGTCTCTCGCTGTTTGTATCATTATTTGTTTGTCAATGTATGTCTCTATGTATCAATTTGCCTATAAATAGAGGTCTGTGCATATAAATGTCTGAGTTACACATATATAACACCAATAAATCGTTTCCAATGATGATGGATGAAGGAGACAATTGCACAACTGAAAAAACTAGTTGTACAGTGTTCGGAAAAATTTCTCATCTCAAACAATGATTCATTCAAGTTAGGCCCCATTAATGACGTTTTCTCATATGTTTGGAAGGGGATATCAATAGAATTTTCAAAAATCGAGAGAATGCCTTTGTAATTAACCCTAGTCACAAGGAAAAGTCTAATTTTTCTCTAATCCATGATATGACGAATCAAGCTCAACCAAAAAATGTTTAAAAATTAAAACAATGGACTATTTAATTAGTTAATTTGGTTATCTTTTTCTTACTACTAGGTTTATCTTGTTAAAAAAAAATTAACATGCAAATGCGAGTTGTGCACTGTTATTATTTTAAAAAACTGTTTAGATAAAAAATGGTGTTTGTCACACTGGTGCATTCAAATGAGTAGACAAATAAAATTTTCCACAAAATATTGACACGCTAGTCAAATAATGAAGAGGGTATCTTTTAAAAAGAAAGAAATACAGAAAGTGAATACAAGGAAAGAACATAAACAATCTCGTCTTACCAGTAACAAAGAAAGATGGAAGACAGAAATTATACCGTAATATGTGAATAATCTAATTTCGCATCAGTGGGCTTCCTTGACTTGATCAATGCTGAACTCGCCTACAGCATGAAAATTCTCCCTTAGAACTCCTTTTTGGTTCACGTCAAAATCAGAAATCAAGAAATGCATCAAATATACATTCAAGGCACAAAACAACAAAATCATATCGCAGACCGCAAACAAGATCCACCAATCTTGTGCAACAGACTTCTTTTCTCTGCACGTAGCAAACAAGAACCACCAATCTTGTACAGTAACTCGCACACCGCGAACAAGAAAGATCCACCAATCTTGCACAATAGACTTTTTTTTCTTTGTTTTGATTCGCATAAAATCAAAGAAAAACAAGTGCTCCGTTTGATTCCAGTGAAAATAAATTTAAGTTTAAGAAAAACTAAGTTTATATTAAAGACTTTTCCCTTTTCCATTCTCCTTAGGCCAAACTCACCAAGCTTCAATGTAAATTAAAAACCACGAATTAAAGATTTACTGGCAAAATATTTTTGAGGAAAATATGATTTAAAGATTTACTGGCGAATAATTGAAACGAAGAATAAATCATGAATCACCTCGATAAATCCACCACAGCCTTGGATCGTATTGGCAGTGGCCGGTGTAGATGCGTAGGTCGTCATGAACAAGCTTATAACGAGATAATATACAATTGTCATTGTTCCTCTGATTTGAAGTTTGAAGAGAGAGTCTCCGTCGTACAGATCTCACAGCCCCTCTTCAACTCCACATGGAAGTGTTTTAGTATAGAATGCTTTCGCTCTCACTCTTATGTCCGAGGGTTTATGGTTTAATGTTTCTTCCACCGATCCGCAGTGTGTTGATTTTTGACGATTAACTAATGGATATTTATAGAGCACCCGATGGCAAAGTGAAGTGGAAAATGGCTCATGTTAGGCTGACAGAGCCGGGCGGTCCGGCCCACCTTTTTGGGCCCATAGCCGGTTATGGACCAAGTCTAACAGGTTTGACTAGTTAATTGGTCGAGTTCAGGTTAGCCCATTAGAAAATACCCAGCCCATGGTCAGAAAAAATTATAAAACATAAAATTGGAATAATAATATCAAAATTAGAAAGAAAAGACTAAATACTAAAATTATCGGACTATCCTTCAATGTGTAACAGTACCCCTTTTTTTTTTTGGTTGAAAATGTGTAAGAGTACACTTATTGTAATTTACGTAGAAAAATTAGGGTTAATCTTATTTTGCACCCTGAAAGATCGTTCGAATCTCAATTTACACCCACAAATATCAAAAATCTCAATTTACACCCTCAAAGATAGAAATTTGTATTAATGTACACCCCCAAAGATCAAAAATCTCAATTTGCACCTTTAAAGATATAAATCTATATCAATGTGCACCTAAAATTAAATTGATAAATTATACCTAGATCCCCTCGTGTTTGTCACTTAATCATTTGAACCCCTTCATATTTAGAATATTACTCCTACATCTCATGACGTTTGTACATGTGTAAACATAACCACTTTTCGTTGATATCTATTAATATAATAGTTAAAAAATATGATTTTATCTTAATAAAAAATTATAATTTCATATTACCCTTTATTTTGTGAATTCGATATACTTTAAAGTTCAAAATCAAGCTTACCATTTGAATGTCTAATAGAATGTAGATATTTATATAAAGAAAAATATGAAAAACATTATATAAATATCTACATTTTATTAGACATTCAAATTGTATACTTGATTTTGAATTTTAGAGTATATTGGACCCATAAAATAAGGGTAATATGAAATTATAATTTTTTATTAGGATAAAATTATATTTTTTAACGGTTATATTAACAGATATCAATGAAAATGAGTTACATGTTGTACGTGCATAAATGTTATGAGATGTAGGAGTAATATTCTAAATGTAAATATGTCTAAATAATTAAGTGACAAACATGAGGAGATCTAGGTATATTTTATCAATTTAGTTTTAAGTGCATAATTATACAAATTTCTATATTTGAGAGTTCAAATTGAGATTTTTTTATCTTTGGGGTGCACATTGATATAAATTTCTATCTTTGAGGGTGTAAATTGAGAATTTTGATCTTTGGGGATGCACATTGATACAAATTTTTATTTTTGAGGGTGTAAATTGAGATTTTTTATTTTTGGGAGTGCACATTGATACAAATTTCTATCTTTGAGGGTGTAAATTGAGATTTTTGCTCTTTGAGGGTGTAAATTGAGATTTTTGCTCTTTGAAGGTGCAAATTGAGATTCGAACGATCTTTCGGGGTGTAAAATGAGATTAACCCGAAAAATTATGGTATCAATATCTTGCCTTGTCAATATAGATCAATCTAAGTTCGTTAACTTTTTTTTATTTCATTTAAGAATTGAATTGATTTATGCTGGACGGAATATTAGTGTTGAAACTTTAGAGTAAACTTCAAATAAATGAAAGATAATTTTATCTTACATTGAGATTTTTAGATAAGAAAAAATGATAGACTTAAGCGTTTTTACCTTATTTGTAGATTTTTTGAAAGGAATTTTTTTGTAGCTAAGTCAAACAATTAGAAGATTTTAGTTATTATCGTTGGGTTTTCGCTTTAACAGTTATTTTTTTGTAAAAAAATGAATATGATGAGTCGTTGGCGGGTAGGCCACAAGGCAGTCCATTGGCCCACCTACTCCCATTACTAACGGATACGAGTAAAATCAATATATGAAAGGGTATGAATCAGATATAACATAATTTATTATATATGAATTAATAAATTAATCGAATATGAGTTGAGTATTTTTTTATATTAATTCACTAAAATTTGATATACACCTGCCTCACTCAATACGATTGACCAACTTACATGACACGTGTGCGGGTTAATAGTTTACCAAAATTTCTTTGAAATAGTATTAATGACGAATTTGTGCAAGTGATTTATGTATCCATTCGGGCAAGAATTTCAATGACCAATTTCTTTAACTCATCGGTGCCCTTAACATGTTTAATTTGTTTAATAATATTTATTGAAATAAAAAATACAAAATAATGAACTAAAAAAAAAAAAAACTTTTTTGCAGTGTACTCATTATTGTTGGTTGAAATTACCACATTTTTCAATGCATGTACAAGCTTGATGGTAAAATACCAATTTTTTTCGTTACTAATAGTTAAACACACCTCAACATAAAACAAAGCCCAAAATACCAACAAATTGTTTTTGAATCTTTTGATCAGCTCTTTTAAACTCGGACTGTCAGGTTGACCCGGCAAAGTAGCAAATCGGATCTTAATCGAGAGGTTCATAAAAAACCGTTTAATCTGGCAAATTTAAACGATTTAACATAAATCGGCCGGATCAATTAAAATGAAATAAAAACCAGTCTTTTGGGCTTTATTTTTGTTTGTGCTAAATCATTTGTGTTTTATGGCGATCATCTGTGTCTCAGCGAGGTCCGATAACTTACTCCTCAATCATCTCCCTCTCTCTCAACCTCTAATCTCTTTCTCTCTTTCTGTATACTCAAAATTGACGTGTCAAAAGACTCAAAGTCAAAGGATCCATCAACGACACAGCACAACACACACATTCGAAGGCCCATCATTTAACTTTCGGTGAAAAATATTTGAGAGTTTTGGGTTGTTTTTCTTCAACTTGTTATAAAATTCTTATTTGATTTGGTGTTGCCCATGAACAGGTTATAGCATAATCTCACCACCCTCAAGTTTGTCATTAACTCATTCTCCGTCTCTTTCTCGTTCGCTCTCATTCTTGTATTCTCAACAGAAATCTGAGTTTTCAATTTAAAATTTGACAAATTTTTGTTGTCTGAATTTTTTAATTTTTATTTGATCTAATATACGTTAAGCATGGTTATTTTTATATTTATTATATTTTTTGGTATATTTATTATTATTAATTTTTTTATTAAATAACTAGTTTGACAAGTAATTAAACCATTGACTTAATTTTTTTGTCGGGTTGATGTTTGGATTGAATTTTAAAATTATATTTTAGATATTTTTCGACCAGTAATAATCATTGACCCGATTTTTTTTGTTGGGTTGATGTTTGGATCGAATTTTAAAACTATGCTTATGATAGGTTTTTTTTTTTTTTTTTTTTGTTTTTTGACCAACGAATCTTCTTATAGTTTGAAGTTCAAACTTCAAATGGTCCAGCCGGGTAGAGCAGGCTACGACGCAGTTTCGTTCGGTAAATAGTCGGGCGAAAAAAAATCTAGAATAACCGTGGGTTTGATGTCTGTGACATTGGTCTTTGTCTTTTACCATCAACGCGTCTCATCAATATTTCCAGATGCAATCACGCCCTACCTGTGGAGAAAATATTCAATAGCTGCGAAGTTTGAACTAGGCACGAACAAGAAATTTGGAAACGGAAAATTGTTAGAACCAGAAAACCCTAACCGGTGGACAGTCTCTGTTGTATCAAAAGGAATAGATAGAGAAAGACTCCAAGCCCTCATCACCATCACGCTATTTTGAAATATTCAGATCAGGTATTATCCCCATCATTAGGTCAAAGCAATTTTCATAGTTTGATTTTCAGAACGTTTAAATTATGGTAATTAATGCAAATCTTCATGATTTTCGCTTTTATTGCTATATGTGTGGTGAATCGGTAGATTTTGGTTAAAAATTTGGAGCAGAATCTTTAACCGAGTGTGGTTCTCAGGCGTGGTGTGTGCGAGATTCTTAGTGTTTGGAATTGAAGCTTATAGGCTTGATGGCGAGGATCAAACCTCAAGCTCTGCTACAACAAAGCAAAAAGAAGAAGGGGCCTAGTCGTATCAGTGTACCTACAATTGTCCTGTATAGCCTAGTTGTTGGTGTGACGGTGTTTTTCCTCTTTGCTACATACAGACACTGGTCTCTAAGGTTTGTTAGCTTTCAGTTGTTAACCATTTTTTTTTTCCTTTTCAATCTCCTCTTAGGATCCAAAGTAACAAGCGATATCAGTTTCCTTCTTCTTCTTCTTCTTCTTCTTCTTTTTTTTTTTTTTTTTGTCTTGGAAAATGAAAGCACTTGAAACAATCATTGCGTTGTAAGCAGATCATCATTTTTCTGATTCATGACTTTTATGTTGCAACCTGTTTTTAGGTCAAGAATTCAAACCGAAGATAGGTTACCACTGGAGGTACAAATTTTTTGGAGATCTACAATTGTTTCCTTTTGGATAGTTGTTGGTCTTATACTTCTTGTATTGTAATTTGTTGATACCGAGTGATAAGTTTTCATTATCTGCATATCTCTCCCTTTCTCCACTATTATGTGATGATGAGTTGCGTTGATAATCAAAATTTATTAAGTTCACCATATCTCCGTGTGCCTCTATGTGTACAAATTTCTGTATCATACGGTGGCAGTATTCTTGCAATTTGAGGCAGTTTTTTTGTGCATCTGTAATTAACTTAAACTTTTATCTGTATTTGTATATTTTTGTGCTACAGGGTGATGACTCCTATGCAGATCTAAAGAAATCTGATATCCCCAGCTATGCTGTAAGTCTCCACACCCACTGCTTCATTAATTAGTAGCTTTCAGTTTACTTGCTTCTTTTATTTTTCAACTCAGTTATCCTCTTTAGCAATGTACTTTTGAGTAGTCTCTGTCTTGGTAATATGCTATTGGGAATTCCTTTTTCTATAGCAAAGGTTGCAAGTTTTAGGTACACTATGATAGTTAGCCGCTGTGTTGTTTAATGAAGTTTGCTTGGTTATCCATTTTTTTGCTGCTTGTTTTTGACAATATCCAGCCGCTCTCCTTTAACAGGTTCTCAATACCTCAAAAGGCTCAATAACAGTGGAACTTTACAAGGAAGCTTCTCCTGAAGTTGTTGATGAATTTATTGACTCATGGTAAGTGTTGGGCTCAGCTCCATCATAGATTGGCTGCTGTGGAGTCTTGGAAAAGCTTTTAATGCAGTTTAACTTGTTAGGTTTCTCAGTTCTTCTTTCTTTGCTACTGTGTTGACTTGGTTTGCTGCAAAGATTTCGATGATGCATTAGTTAGCATATATATGATCAGCAGTCAATTGAGGAAATAATCTTTTGTTTCTCTCCATGATTTTCCACCTTGCCTGTTAGGTATGCAAATAATAATGTAACTCATGTTATCGAAAAAAAAAAACTCGTGTTATCGAACAATTGCATTTCCTGTAGCCTTTATGAATTAGTGGGCATATAAGATGTCTTTCTAAATGGCTTCCTAATATTATGGCTGGCAGCTTGTAAATGATTTTCAATTCCTATTTATAACCTTTCAAGTAGTTTGGTTTATATTGCACATCATTTTTAATAATAAAATGTTTAACAAAATTGCAGCAGGATAGGATTGGCAATAGGGCGAAAGTACAAGTTCAGTGTAGGGCAGTTAAATGAAAGGAGTAACTCAGGCTTAGCTCATTCATTTTCTTATACCAGTAGAATTCTAACAGTTTTTCAATCTCGTTTTGTATCCGAGCCGAACCCAAGCCTAGCCAAGCTATTCTCGTTTCAATCTCATTGGTACCAGAAGGCCATTCGGTGTGTGTTATATGGTGTAGGTTTGTAAGTTTTGTTGTGTCTTTAATTTTTTTGATGTTAGGGTTTGTTTTTAAATTTTGATTTCAGTGATTTTATGTGCAATTTGTAAATTTCAAGTTGAAATTTCTGATTTGGAAATAGTGGATTTGAGAGTTCAGATGTGTGGATTGTGGAGTGAGATTTATTCTTAGGGCTCGATTTTGGCTCGAGCTCAGATTCAGCTTGACCTGAGCTTGAACAAAGCCTTAGCATACAGAAACTCTGAAGGCTCTGCTCGATTAACACCCCTAGCTCCATAAAGCATAGAAATAAGCACCATCTTTTAAATGTTCATCAATGGTCTGGCTGGTATTCTGTATACAGTATAGGGACGTCAATGATAAAGAAATTGTTATACTTGCAGTTATGAATTGAAGTGGACATGCCTTAATTAGCATTATGTATAAAATTCAGAAATGTGTCAATTTTGCAGTCAGAAGGGGCATTTCAAAGGGATGCTCTTTCACCATGTCATAAAACACTTTGTAATTCAAGGAGGTGATTCTAAAACACCTGGAGCTACAGAAGATTGGACTTCAAGAGGAAAGCATTATAGTCAACTCGGTACAAGGTTTGCTCCTCACCCAAGCTCTCATTTCCAAGGTTATAGTTAGTACCACTACAATTCAGTGATGTTTTATTTGTGTTTTCTCCTGGTTACTGAATGTTGTATTTTTTATCTAGCCTGAAGCATGAGGCTTTTATGCTTGGTACTCCTAAGGCAAAAGATAACACAGAAGGATTTGAGCTTTTTATTACAACCGCACCAATACCAGATCTAAATGACAAGCTTAATGTGTTTGGGCGGGTCATTAAAGGAGAAGATGTTGTTCAGGTGATAAAAATATTTGCTGCCCTTTTTTTCTTCTCTATGATATTGTAGAAGTCTGGATTCTGGTAGAGTTACTTGCATAGCGGGAATTCAATTGAGAATTTTGAGCTTCTTTTGAGCACAGGAATTGCCATCATGTTTTCTTGTCCAGCCACTACCATAAAGCAGTTTTTTTTTCTGTCGTAAATCATGCGATAGGATTGAAAAACCAAATTTTAGTGACAGTTTTCAAAAATTCTGAAGTAGGACAATCTAATTTTATGCTTACTGTTGTACTAACATGGACTCATGGAAGGCTGCCGTGTGGACCCCTATATGCTGTGAATGCTAATTTCATCTGTCTGGAGAAAGAGCTGATGGTGACATGTCATTTGTTTAAAACTTTAGCATTATGAATTCTATTCCTTCTTTTGTTTCCTTTGTGCCTTTTTCATAGATGGCACTTCCCCATTTGTTATGCTCTTGATTTCGTTGCTCTGGTATTCTACAACATTTTATTTTCAGGCATACTGAATGCATTGTCTTACAATGTGCTATCTAGGAAATTGAAGAGGTGGACACGGATGAACATTATCGACCCAAATCTCCGATAGGAATCACCAATGTTATACTGAAACAGAAGATTTGAGGCAGCCCTGTTCTGTCAAAAGTTTTTTTCTCAGTTGCATGGTTTCCATAGTCCATACATCCAATGACAGTCAAGAAGATGATTGAGTGAGCGTTTTGCAGACAAGATTGTGCGTTTGGGGCTTCTGGCCTAGGTATTGTTGTTTATGGGTGCGATTTCTTGGATTTAACAGGCCATCACTCTTGGTCATCAGTTGTATTACTGGAAAAAAGGCTTATGTATGCCATTTTTATACCTTTAAAATGCCTTGTATGACAAAAAAAATCATAATTTCTCGTGACATATAGTGATTTTGAGAATGATACACTCAGCTGTTTTCTTTCATTTTATTTTTCTCGTGCTATTTTCTAATGAAATTTTACATCTAGTGATTTTATATTTTAACTGATTTTTACCCAATACAAAGGGAATTGGGTGGTGACGGTGTTTACAAACCCATATCAGAGGAACCAAAAAAAAAAAAGACAATTCATGAGAGTACAGGGCACACCTGGGGCAATATATGCCTAATAACTAATCCTGTTCCAAATGCCCAACAAGATATTCAGGAGATTGAGGGGCATCATTCAACCCATCCAACAAGCGTACAGAAGTTAAATCCAATAACCAATGTCAAATTTGGGAAATTTGGACCTCAATTTATGCAGGGCAAACCCTTTGTAGCAATTCTTCAAGCTCGCAGCTCATTTCAATCCCATGTCCCTCGATCCTTCGACGCATCTCTGGCTCTGTCTTGCCAGCGGCTACGTAAACCTTAAGCAATAATTTGCAGGAATTGGAATCAAGACAATTTACTTCCTTCAAAATCTTGCAGAATTCCTCGGCACCATCAACATCTCTCTCTTCCTCAAAATACTTCAGAAACGAATTTACATGTTCCGGTTTCGGTTGCCATTCATTGTTCTTGACTCCAGATATAACTGCTGTCATGCACTTCAGGGCTGAATCAATTTGATTGTTCTTCAAATAGAAAATGATGAAGAATTCCCAAGCCATGAAGAAGGGTCCAGATGATCTCTCAATGGCGCGATGAAAGACTGATTCAGCTTCTTTGATCATGTCATGTCTTAGGTAAGCACCAATAGCTGTATTTGTTAACCTCATATCATAACTAGAACAACCTGACTCCCATTCCTCAAAGCATTTCTTCAACCCATCAATGTCATTCAGTTTTGCAAGAGCTTGAAGCATGACAAGATAACTCATATTGTTGGTCTTTTCGAAACTTGATTTCAGCGAATTCCAAATCCGGTGGACCTCGCCTAGATTAGATATTCCAGAATACAAGCTTATCAGATAATGGAATGCCTCACGATTACGAGGCCCCATGTTTTCCTCCAGCTCTTTAAGAGCTAACTTGGCTTTTTCATGAAGTCCAGCCTTCACATATACTACAGCCAAATTACTGTACGTTGTCCACTCACACATTTTTCCGTTGTCTTTCTTTATCTCCTCAAAAACCCTTTCCACCCCATCAATGTCATTCATACACGAATAACTCTGCATCAAGATGTTATAAGAAAATGTGTCAAGTGAGATATTCTGATCCTTCATTTTTTGTACCAAGGGAGGTACCTTTTCAGGCTGGCATAATCTCATATATAGAGCCATAAGATTGTTAAAAGCCAAGGGAGAAGAAGCAAAGTTCAACCCATCCATCTCCTCAAAGAGAGTCAATGCCTTGTCTGTCATTTTCTCGACACAATAGCTGTTCAGGAGAGCTCCATAAGTAAATTGGTTCTTGGCATATGGTGGGAGGCCACTAAAGTAATGTTCAGCTGCATCAATACCTTGGGCTTTAGATATAAGATCTAAGCGTATTGCATGGTCACGAAGTGAAAAGTTGACAGCCCTTTTCTCCATCCATTCCATTATCTACATCAGAAAAATCAAGAAATAAATCATTTCTCAACACAAAGTATGTTACTTCGCAGTACACTATTCCATATCTCAAATTCACAAAACTTAAAGAGTTAATGAACTAATATGTGCACAAACATTATATGAAGCATTAACAATTTGAGTTGTAAGGGACATCCACTAAAATTTGAGTTGTAACAGTTAGAGTCAGAATCAGAGACACCAACATTTCCATAAGAAGTGTGTTTATTGTTTACAATGAAAATTACATGTTTTACTTTTACTCCAATGTGCCGCAATTCCTAACAAGCTGTGATTACTCTTGCGCCTTCTTCCAATGAGTTTGAAATAGTCTAGGAAGTGTGTTTATTGTTTACAGTGAAAATTACATTTGTTTTACTTTTACTCCAATGCGCCGTTATTTCTAACAAGCTGTGATTGCTTTTGCACCTTCTTCCAATGAGTTTGATATACTCTAGGAAGCCTTCCAACCTTCCAATTTGGCACACAACCTTTAAACCTGCTTTTGTGCCTTCTTCCAATGAGATTGATATATTCTAGGAAGCCTTCCAACGCCCAATCCAAACTTCCAATTTGAAACACAACCTTTAAATCTCAAGTAGAACCCAAGAAAGCAAGCCAAAAACAGTGTTAAAATAAAGAAATAAGGGATCTGACTGAAGAAAGAGATCCTTCACATAGCTTTGTTGCGAGACGAGTTAAAGATCAAAGACTCAAAGTTTGTCCCTTTTCGTTTTTTCCAACTTTTCCTCAGCAACCAACACCACATTTATGAATTTTCAACGCAAATTGATATTCAAAAAGGAAAGAAATTTCTGCAATTTTATATTTGTACACCTTTACAGGAGAAAAATGGCACAAAAATCAACAAAAACCTCATGGAAATTCCAAATTTTCGCAGAATTGATTACATTTGAAATTCCAAACTGGTTAAAAAAATAAGATCAAACGACAGCAATAATCGGTGCTTGTGTGCTTGTACATCAATTGTGACGGAAATAGAAGCAGATAGGGAGAGAGAGGGAACTGGAAAACCTCGAGGGCATGTTGGTATCTGCCGTACTTTCGGAGTTCCTTGATGCACGTCACGAGCTCATATTTTTTGATGACCCTGCCCTCCCTAACGTAGTTATTTAACGTCGGTGCCACCGTCCCCTTTGTGGCTCCCAATGCCGACAACCTTCGGTAAAGCCTCCCTTCTTTTCCACGCCTCGCCACCGGCGCCACCTCCGCCACCGCCTCCGCCTCCGCCTCGACAGCCGTACTTAGACTTCTAATCAACGACGAGGCTCCGGCCAAGATCCGACGGCTACGATTCACCATCATCATCACCTGCTCTCTCTTTTCGTCTCAGGCCCTTTCAATATGTAGGGTTTTGTCGGGGTTTTCAGACAACAACACTTAAATTATTATTAGAGTAAAAAATTGATTTATTATAAAGGATTTTAACGAACAAATTTAAATTTAAATTTAAATTTAAAGAAAGAGATTAAAAGGAAATAAAGATGATTATTAAATTTTTAAAAATAAAAAAAAATTCATTAAAAATTTAAGTAAAAAAATATATATTTTTTAATTGGTATAAATTTGAGTCGAAAGTTAAAACAAGTTTTTTAAATTTTTTTATTTAAATTTAAATTTAAGTAAGAATCAAAAATGCCCTAACTTTGCACATTTGAGCCCCATCAATATCATTCGAGGTCGTGGGCCAGTAATACGACTTCGTTTGACATGGCCAAAAATAAAAACGACTTCGTTTGGGTAAAAGGTATTTAGGTCTTTAAAGAACAAGAGGGTGTTTTCATTTGAAAAAATTGTGAAAAAGTATCCCATGTAATACTTAATTGTGGAAAAGTATCTCCATATAAAATATTTGTGTATAAATACCTTTGTATGTAAATGTTTGATGAGTAGGTACACTTCTGTTGAATTGTAATTTTTTATCTTATAAAATTGTCTTTTTCTTTTATTAATTGAATACAAATATAACAGTTATATTTTAGATTCAATTTTCCTTTTTTTATGCTATATCATTTTTAAATTTTGAATTTCCTCTTCCTCATTCATTTAGCAGACTATTTTCTTATCCATTATTTAACCCATGCTTTATACAGTCTCTAAAAGTTGTATTTAAATATCCATATGTTAGTCTGCTTAAGTTAATTGCATATTTCTTAACAGGTTTGCTTTGGCTTCCATAACGTTACCGGGTTTTGACACATCTTCCACACACTTGCAGTAGAAGACGTGTGTCAGGTATGTCTTCCACACTGTTGTAATTTTTTTTAAAAAAAAAAATAAATTGTAATGACAAATATATGTTCTACATTATTTTTTTTCACAGAATTTTAATGGAGGATATGATCATTTTGTTATGCCGTTACGAGAATGAGTCGTTAATTATCTGCATTTCAAGGTCTTCACCGTTTGAAAATGTGTTAAATCAAGTGTGTGATACATGAGAGTTGTTGTGGAATTTGCTAGTACAGTTGTCATATTAATTCCCTGAACTTTCAAATTATTTTTTGAAGAATGATGAAAACTTCAAAAATATGTTTGAAATGTCATATTCTAGTAACGTCAATCATGTTCTTGTAACGATAACCGTTATTGATGTTGACTCAAATAAGGGTCCGATAAATAATTCAATTAAAGATTTGCATAATCCAGATAATGATTTCGATTCAGTGGATGATTTGCTGCTTCGTTATAGCCAACATAACGAAAAAGTTCTATTAACATTTGGGTGGATTAATGAAATCAGACATGTAGGACAAAATTTTGAAGGAGGTGTGTTGCAGTTTCGTAATGCTCTTTGCAAACACTCGATTGAGTGCGGTTTCAAATTCACTATATTAAGAATTACAAATATCGGGTTTATGGCTAAGTGTGCGGTAAAATATTAAACAGGTTGTGAGTAGAAGGTGAATGCAAGTATTCAAAAGGTAAATGAGTTTTTCTACATACGGAAACTTCAAAATGAACATGCACGTGATGAAGCACTACGTACAACAGAAAACAGGAGGATGAGTTCTAGTTTAATTACAGATTTAATTGTTCATGTACGGGAAAAAAATACTACTCGTCCCACTGAAGTTGTCAGTAAATTTCTGTTGGATTACAGTCTTACAATTTTCATACGATCGAGCATGGATGACAGTTAAGAAAGCGAGAGGGAAGATCTTTGAGAATCACTCGTTGTCGTACCAGCAAATACAATGGTATGTTGATGCTGCAATTACAAACAATCCTGACAACTACATTGTTCTAGATTGTGATGACGATACTAACCAGTTCTAGAGATTTTTCTTGTCATTTAAGGCCTTTATTGATGAGTTTAATTATTGTCGTTCTTTGTTGTTCATTGGTGGAATATTTTTGAAAAACAAGTATAAAGATAACATCATTTCGACAATTGGCAAATATGACAATCAAGGTATTTTATATAAGGGATCAAATTATGTCAGATATATAAATGTCACATTTTAATGTTTTTGGTGTTATTGATTGTTGTCTGGTGAGTTGGTTAATATTTTTTTTTTTAGGTTTATACCCATTAGCATTTGCTGTCGTTGATTATGAAAATAAGACAAATTGAAATTGGTTTGTACAACAGTTGACCCATATTGTGGATCATGGTCGTGATATTACTTTTGTGTCCGATCGGAATGTGGGTTTTTTTAGAAGCAATGCCAAAGTTTTTTTCAAATGCTCATCATGCATTTTGCAATGGTTCATTTTCATCTGCACAATGTAACAACTATAAAACAAACAAAAAGGTAGAGTGATATTGAAATAAAAAAAAAAAAAAAAAAGAGTACCCATCGATACTGTAATGGACAATCCTATCATCAAATTAACCAATATAGATACAGAGCAACATAAAAAATCAAAATTTGCTAATCACCCGCAATCAATTTGATCAAAACATCACAAATCATATAAAATAATAATTGAAAATAAAAAAAAAAATTTAGAAAAACATACCACAAATGTGTTAAACAGAACGACAAAACTATTTTGAACAGTGAACACAAAAAAAAATGAAAATGGGTTGAACAAAAAAACTCATTTTGAACATCATGTCTTGAACAGAAGTTTTTAACATTGTTAAAGTGAACTCATCCAAATTAAACAGTTAACACATAAAAAAAAATCAAAAATGGGTTGAACGAAAAATCAATTTTGAACATCAGGTCTTGAACGGAAGTTTTCAACATTGTTAAAGTGAACCCATCAAAATTGAACAGTGAACAGAAAAAAAAAATTAGAATGGGTTGAACGAAAAAACCCTTTTTTGAACATTTTTGTCTCAAAAAGAAGACGGTTTAAAAAGTTTTCACATACCTTTATCTCCACAATGAAAGCCTTTCTTCATTGATTCGTTCTTCACCGTCCATTAGTTCCCTTTCACCAACCCAGAGAGAAACCCATCCAAAGAACAATAAAAAAAAATAAAATTGATTTTGAACATTCTCTTTTGAAAAGAACGGAGGTTTTATAAAATTATGTCGTCAATTTTTGAAGAGCCTACATTTTCGGCAATATTGAAGGAGCTATGGGTAACAGTCCATTCCCGTTGTTTCGGCTTTAGAGGAAAAAATTTAGGGGACTGTTCAACTTCTTTCGAAGGGACTATTTTAGACATTTGTTATGTATTGTATATTTTTTGACAAATATTTTTAAAAGTGATACTTATTGTCCTATAATTACTAAAAAAGTTACGGGCTCCTTAAATCTCCTTTTTTTTTGTTGCTTGAAATACATCAAAAAACACAAAATCAACAAAAAAACCCAAATGTATGAAACGGGGACAAAAATCGAAGGCCTGTTTGGTTTGCGTTTCAAAAAAGAGTATCTGAAAATAATTTTTGAGAAGAGTTTTAAAAAATGGTTTTGATATTTTTTGAAATAAAAAACTTGTTTGGTTAGATGATTTTAAAAACAATTTTACAATATAGAAAAAAATAAAACCTGTTTGGACAGTTTAAATATATATTTAAACAGTAATTCAAACAGTAATTCAAACATTAATCAAAAAATATAAAAAAAATATTTTTATATTGACAATTTCATAATATATATATATATATATATTTATACGTATATATATAAATATATACGTACAAATATATATATCAATTAATATACCCATATTTGAACATTTAAAATTATCCTCCTTATTTTTAAAATTTAAAAAAAAACTTTGAAAATAAGTGTAACTTGTTTTCTATTTATATGACTCAAATTTTATATTTTTTTAAAAATTTAGAGAATAAAAATACTAAATAAATAAATTTTAGGTGTTTTCTAAATTTTAAGAACAAAAAATAATTTTCCAAAACTAAACCCAGCTCGGGCTTCAACCAAAACCGAGAGAGAGGTTTATTATCCAATAGACCCGCTAGATTTTTAGGTAATGAAGCCAAAAGCTTCAGCGAAGCCTATGGCTCTCTTTCTTCCTCGCTCTCTCACCTTCTCTTCTCCTAGGCTTCGTTATCTATCACCTTCACAGCGCAAACATCAAACTCAGAACCCTAGTTTTCGTGTCTCGTGTTCCTCTACTCGAGAACCGGTGTGTTTTTATTTTCAAAGATTGATTGATTATGTATTGTTCTACATGAAATCCTGTCATCTTGTTCTTGGATTTGTTTATTGTACTCTGGTTCGTTGCATTTCAGGTGATAAAAGCTGCAGAAACAGACTCGAGACCTGACTACAAGTCCGGATTCTTGGATGACCTGTTCCTCCATCTTTTCCGAAACAAAATGGCCCAGGTCAGTGCTACTATTCCATTTCCTCTTTTCGATCTGTTTCAGGAACTATAGGCATGTTTTAGCTCCCAATAAAAATAAAAAGAAGAATTTAAAACTCACCTTGGCATTGCAGATAGTGGGATTTTTAAAATTCATTATCTTAGTTTCCATTTTTTTGCTGCACTTGATTAGCAGGCGAATAAAGGGTGCAGTGTTCCGTGTTGAATTCATGAGGCGGCCTTGCAATATGTTATCTTCATAGTTTTCATTGATTAATACTTTTTTATGGGCCATTGACAGGAAGTTGGGTGGGACTCGGAGAAGCCTGGGTATGATGGACTAATTGAAGTTGCAAATCATCTGATGATTGGCCGAACCAACTCTGAAACCAAAGAAGCTGCGGTATCTCAATTTTTTCTTTTTCTCAGTCAGAGTGAATTCTGACTGCTCTTTCTTCTTATTTGATAGAAGTCAATGAAGACATTTATTAGTAGCTAGTTAAAGAAAGAACGGCAAAAAAAGAAAAGAATAAAAGAATGAAGAATTTCTTGGATCAATAGCTCTCAGGCAATTACACATACTTCTACAGTTCTACTCATCACTAGCTTTTTTCCTCCCCTCAATTGGCCATACTACAGGTGCGGATATTAAGATCCCTGTTTCCTCCACTATTGTTAGAGCTTTACCGAATGCTAATTGCTCCTCTAGGAGGGGGAAAAGTGGCTGCCATGATGGTTGGTGAGTAGATTATTCTTCCGGCCATTCCATAGGCTGATTTTGTGTTACATTATTTTGATATTATTATGTTTACTTTGGTTCCAGAGTGTCCAATTGTCACTTAATCTGCTTTAAATTTCTATAAATCACCTAATTTATCACTTTTTTCGAAGCAAGGGTGACTGCAGTAACTTGTCAATGGCTCATGGGTCCATGCACTGTTAACTCTGTGGATCTTCCTAATGGAACCTCATGGAAAAGTGGGGTAATTATTTTAACTTCTGAATATGTCTCCTGATTTGTGTGGCCCAGGCTTCCGGTGTGAGTGTGGATTACCCAGTCTTCTGAGTATGCGATCCTGATTCTCATTCTGTGGTTTGAGATTCATGTAGGTGTTTGTCGAAAGATGCAAGTATTTGGAGGAGAGCAAATGTGTTGGAATTTGTATTAATACGTGTAAGCTTCCCACACAGGTTAGTGATTATCCACCTTAAGTCGATGACGGTGTATGCATCTTGCCCCATCCTGTCACCCCAAATGATAGTGATAATAATGCTGATACCCGTCTGATAAACAATCCCTATTATCAACTAATTGAAGATCATTGAGCTATAATCTTTTCTTCCAAACGGCCTTTCATTATCCAAGTGTTTTGGGATGCCAAATAGGAATGAGACTTCCATGTTACCATGTACTTCTTGCAGCAGCATATGTCCACAGAACATCTCAACAAGTCTGAGTTGGCTTCACAAGTATTAGATGGTAGGCCATGCAATTCTCTTCATGATGGACAGGAGTTTGGGAAGACATTGACATAGTATGTAACATATAATTGGCAGAAGGATTGCTAGACTGCATCTTGCAAAACCATTGCAGTTAGGTAAAATAAGTCAGGAATCGATTTACACTTGGAACAAAATTTGTTTACTGGACAGTGAGTTTAAATTGAATGTGTTTTGGAACTGCCACATATCTTCGTAAGGATGGGGGTCACGACTACTTGTTTGTGTGTCATGGAAGAATGCTTTTTGCCCCCTGGACCGAACTGCTGTGCTGATTTTATGAAGTAATGAATTACTGTGTAAAATATCACTACAATTTGTATCAATTACAAATAAATCACTCTGTTCATTTTTAAAGTTGGTAGTTTTATTTATGGATATACACCAAATTTGAGTTGAAAATAGTAATTTTTTCACCATGGTTTCTGTTTTAGACTTTCTTCAAGGATGGCATGGGAGTTCCTCTCCTGATGGAACCAAACTTCAGTGATTATAGCTGCCAGGTAAGATAGTCTGCTTGCCAGGTGACAAAAGTAGGTGATATATGAACTATATTTCCACTATTGCACACTTTTTGGCCAAGGATCTAGTGCATGCAGATCTGTTCATTATAAATGACTTTTCTTCTAAATGAAGATCGTAGAATCCATGCTGCCAAAGTTGTAACGTATTTTGAGCTTTGGATGTGGAGGAATTATGCTCCAGAGGCAATTGGCTCATGGTACTTTGTTTCTTCAACTTGATTGTTGAAGTCACATGGAATAGAATAGCTCTCCTCTACACAAATGAAGGGGAAAATGAGGGTCATGTTTCGTTTGTGATCCGGAAATAATTTTTTGTTCTCAAAATTTCAAAAACACCTAAAAACTGTTTGTTTAGTATTTTTATTCTCAAAATTTTGGAAAAAAATGAGATTTGAGTGAAAGAAACAAAAAACAAGTGTAACTTGTTTTCAGGGTTTTCTTTAAAAATTTTGGAAACAAGGAGAATAATTTTAGACTTTAACGAGGTCTGTCATTCGAGTCCTTTTAGTAGTAGTAAATTTCTTCATTTTTTTTTCTTCTTCCTCTCTCTCTCTCTCTTCTTCAGATTTGAAGACGCTAGAGCATCGAAATACAAATCTCGGATTTGAAGACGCTAGATCTTCATATATGAGTGTATATATATATTGTGTGTGTGTGTATTGTGTATATATATATTTTAAAGTTTGGTTTATTGAATTTTTTTTTTTATGAAATTGTTAATCTAAAAATAACTTTCTTACATTTTTTTATTAATGTTTGAATTACTACTCAAACATATATTTAGGCTGTCCAAATAGGTTTTACTATTTTCTATACTGTAAAATTATTTTTGAAATCATCTAACCAAACAAGTTTTTTATCTTAAAAAATATTAAAATTACTTTTTTAAAACTATTTTCAAAAATTGTTTTTGGATATTTATTTTGAAATGGAAACTAAATAGGCCCCGAGATCTCTTCCCACCAGAGTTCTTGTCCAATTACGAACTTGGAACGGGCATGGAGAAATTAATGACTTGGCCGCCTCATCGCCAATGCGGCAACAGGAGCTACTCACCACCACAGCTTTCACCCCTCATTGTTTTGCACAACTGCATCAAGCACTAACGACACTTTTACAGCATTGCTATCAGTACCAGCACTGCCACCAGTACCATCACCTTCACAATACTGCAAATCTGATCACCACCCTTGCCACACAACCATCCGAATTATACATTCTTTCATGGTGCGGAGTATATTCAAATAGAAATTAAAATAGTTAAATTACACTGATAGGGCATCCTTAATCTTGTCCACATGCAGTTCAGAAGTTCTAATCTTGAAAATTCTAGGACGTCTACCTCTCTACAGTTCCAAATTGGAAGGGTCATTATATCCCCATAAATCTATGGTGTTTTACTAATTTGAAGCCTATTTGCATTTTCTTATTCAGAAGACCCCAGAAAAGATTCTCCTGTCTTCCGCATAGTGATCATCAACAAATGGTTGTTAATTGTTCCTCCTGCATAGCGTCTTCATATTCTTGTCTTCAATTTTTTAACACGTTCTATTCTGGTAATGTGATTTTGTTGTTACAGTTCAGTTTTGGGGTAGTCCCACCTCTGCCTGAAGATGATAGCAGTCTCAAGGAGCCTTGCTTGCAGATGTGCCCAAATGCTAATCGACGCAAAGAAGTCTCTAGTAGCATTAATGCTTTGAAATGTCCAAAGGCATAGACTCTCTGGGAGTCATGTTATTATTTCTTACCAAAGTAACTATGCCTATCTAGCTGTACCATAAAATTCTTCCAAACTCGATCAATTCTGAGACAAAAAGAGGCCTTGATGTTATTGCGACTTTCAGCAATTATCAAATTTAAACCGTGTAGGGGGGGTATCATAGCCTTTGTGCTCGTGTGCTAACTTAGATTGTAGGGTGGGTGTTGAAAGATTAACAAAATTGAGTTCTCGGGTATGATGAAAAATATGCTCCCCCCATGCTTTACACCAAAAGAAAAAAATCTTAAGTAGGTCAAAAATCAGAAACAGATAGCATCACTGTAAAAGGAATCCAACATCAATCAACTTAAAAGTCACAATATCACGTACCAAGGATTCTCTATGCAACATACAAGATGCTACCAAATCTTTCAGCAATCTCTACAATTTACTTTAACCTGATGGTGGACTTGGTAAAAAAGAGAGAGTTTGAAGAGAAAAAAAATACATGGTCGATTAAGTAATAATATGTTCCAAATAATTATGATGGAACTTCTATGTCTAAAAACTAAATTATATCCTGACTTAGGAGATAATAAAACCCGCATAAAAACAGAAGGGAACTTACTAGGCATGTATAGAGATACAAACAAGCTCGAATAAAAGTTGACCTAGGAGATAAAAGTTTATGTTCATGTACAAGCTGGCAGACATTCACAATCTAAATCAACGGTCCCAACCAGAGGGCCTCCGCCTTTCTCTAGGTCTTTCTCTAGAACTGCAAAAACACCAAAACAAAACAAAGTTTGCAAAAAAATGCATGCATAAAAAAAAAAAAAAAAACCCACATGTTAAGCTTAAAAAAATTACCTTTCTGAGTCCTTTCGATTAGCATTGTCTGTGTTCTTACTAGCAGTGCTTCCACCTGATACAGGAGCAGAACTGAATGAACAGGGTGACTGAGCAATATTTGCATTTCCACCTATTGTACCTCCAGATACAAAACCAGGTAACGCCATCCTTTTGTTGGTGCCTGAATTGTTATTCATGCCTTGATTCTGAGCATTAGAGGAAGCAGCAACAAATTTGCTTTTGAACTGCACCATCATTCCTGTCCTCAGTGAATTAACAGCTGCAGTACGACTTGGAACACCATTAGATGAAGTCATACTCGATTCTGGATTATATCCAATACCCAAACCAAAGTCCACCCCACGCACACCTCGATTGCTGCCTCCCCTTCCCTTGGCCCTTTTTCCGCCTGCACAAGCATTAAACAGCTCATAAAGTATGGTCAGGTTTTTTAAGACCAATGTCAGAACAGCTCATTTCAATGATTTTTAATTCCACCGTTTTCCTTTGTTCTTGAAAATTAAATCACGCCATACCATTTTCCAATTTTGAACATGCAGTTCATTCTCTGGCATCCGACACTAAGTTATTTAATCAAGTGGATAGAACTCATGGGCATGTAACGGCAACATAAGAAGTCATACCTCCCTTTCTTGAATCACGTTTGGATCTGAACCTCCCATCCTAATGATTTACAAGGTAAAAGTGATTCAATCATAGCAACAGATATGCACCAACTAAAGAACTCCTACAAATATCTCAACTAACCAAAAACAAAAGTAAGGAGAGAGTGGATATCCTCCCCATTAAAAATTACCATATTAAACAGTTATAAGTATGTTTTCTTTGTTATTTGGGATAAGTGGCACATAAGAGAGAAATATATTCCTGCTAAGAATTAGGAGTTAATAGGTGGCCACTAAAATATTTAACTAATTTTTTTTGTTATCAGTTTCAGAATGGGATTCCATGGATATGCCTCAATAGTCAGAATAACTGCTAGGATACCTTTCCTATATGGTTGAACTTGAATCTTTGATTCATATACCATGAACAGCAGATTTTACAGTTAATAAGTATGTAACTTTAAGCCTTTACTGACTGAATATCTGGTAAAATAGGATAGCCAGTTCAGAAACACTTTCCGAAATAACGTGCTAACATGATTATTTTGGGATAACTAAGATGCAGTTAAGCCACCTCACCCTCTGTTTTCCATAAAAAAAAAAAACAAAAAAAACACCAGAACTAAAAGAAAAAAGACAGGCTAAAAAATGACTACTTAGTAAGAAGACATAGCACCATTTAAAAACAAGATGGGAGAAGAAAAAAATCTTTGATGGTTTCCCACGACCAACAAAAGCCAATAGGAGCTCTCCTCTGAATGGAGGAGTAACATAAACAGATGCGCATGATTCCCAAAGATCTAGCAGAAAATATGAGTTTGCTAAAGTTGAATTTCCCCAATAAAGCTGCTAGGACAAGGTGAACTCATATTGGCCAAGGTGTGGAAGAGAAGAAAATTGTACGGAGCACATAGGAGGCTAAAACCACATCTGGTCAATACTAACAAGTGAAGTTAACAACAAATTTCTCCAGTCCCCCCCCCCCCTCTTTTTTTTTTTCCTTTTTAAATGTCCTCCGGTAATAAGTTCAAAAACACCAAGTGGAAATAAATAAAATTATTTGATCGCAATGATTGTTCATGGGGATGGAAGCCTAAATGGGATACAATATGTTAGCAGGTCCCATCTTCACAGATTTACAACATGAGAATACGCATAAAGCAACTTGATTTTTAAAAGTACAAAAAGTGATCATGAATATTACCTTCATAGCAAGATCCATCAGTTCCACAGACACATTCTGACCAGCAGCTATTAAACTGTTAACCAATTCACCAGCAAACCGTGCCTCTTTCTGTGTGATCAGAGTATATGCAGTTCCGTCTTTGTCACCGGCACGGCCTGTTCTACCAATTCGATGGACATGCATGTCCATGTCTCTGGCTATATCAAAGTTGACCACTGACTTAATGGACTTGATATCAAGACCACGAGCAGCAACATCAGTTGCAATGAGAACATGATACATCCCAGATTTGAATTTTTGCAATGTTTCCATGCGAGAAGTTTGGTCTTTGTCTCCATGAAGAGCTGCAACTTTAAACCCCCTCTGAGCTAACTGTGACTCAATCTCATCGACTGTGGCCTTTTTCGAAGCAAAAACTAGAACATCACCACCATCAATCAGCGCAGGTAGCTTCTCAAGAAGCCAAGCCAACTTCTCAGCATCTGAAGGAATTACTTGAACAACTTGAGTAATATCCTCATTGGCCATTCCAACCTCACCCACGGTAACTCTTACAGGATCAGTGAGAATTTCCCTAGCAAGCTTTTCAACTTTGCGGGGCATTGTCGCTGAAAAGAGCAACGTTTGGCGATCTGGCCGAATCTGACCAACAATGGACCTTATTTGTGGCTCAAATCCAAGGTCAAACATCCTATCAGCCTCATCAAGTACCAAATAAGTTGCTCTCAACATCGTTAGTGCCTTCATTTTTAGCATGTCTATCAACCTTCCAGGAGTAGCAACAACAATCTCACATCCTGCCTTCAATTCTTTGAACTGATCAAGCTTAGACATTCCCCCATAAACTGCAGAGACACGTATTCCCTGTGATTTTGCAAATTTTTTGGCCTCCAAATATATTTGATGCACTAGTTCTCTAGTAGGTGCACATATAACCCCAATAGGACCCTCTTCCTTTCCAAGTTCTGGCTGATCCATAGTATGAGCAATCATAGGAAGCACAAAGGCAGCAGTTTTCCCTGAACCAGTTTTTGCTATACCAATGATATCCCTCCCAGAAAGCACAATTGGTAAAGCCTGGCACTGTATCGGCGTGGGCTTTTCATATGCTTGCTTAGCAATAGCTTTCATTAGCTCCACAGAAAATGCAGAGTCTTCAAATGTTTTAATTGGCCTAGGAACATCAAAACCTGATACACGAATTGCCAAGCTCTTCCTGTACTCAGAAACATCATGCTCACTCATACCTGGATAATGGGAAGAGAAAGAATTAAATGTTACATTTGACTCCAGATTTCTAACAAAGAAGAAAGGCAAAGACAAAGAACAATAATAATAGTGATGAGTAATAAAATTTAAAGGCCAAGCTTCACTTCCTTATGAAAATAATGAGTTTTGATGAAGCAGTGATGCAATCAAATTTAAATATGCCTCCGAATTTACATGCAGAACAAATTTGCAATATGAGGACTCGTTTCAACTCAACAATCATATTGTCACATTTGAATGGAACACATAGTAACTTAACACTTATCTTCATAATAAACTAAGAATTCTGAAGCATAGTCCAATTATGGCAACGGCACACAGTAGCCACATGATATTTCATCCTCGTATCAAACAGGATCAAGCTTTTTCGTTATATGCACACACACACACACACACACAAAATGAGAAGCAAGATTTTTTTAGATTCTGCAAGGCACGATCAGGAGGACAAACACCTTGTCCATCGACTATAGGACAATGGTATATTTGCACTTTGCCCCAACACATACGTATGGAAGAAATCAGAGTTCACACAAGCCCCCTAATCTTTTTTTGCAACAAGTTATTTCCAAAATCAATCCAAATCGCTCATCTTGACAGACATCCCACGTTGTTCAAAAGTAGCTAGTGAGATTGACTATCAAGATAGTTGCAACAAAACATTGTAATAGTGGGTAAATGTTTTGACAATGCATTCTCTACGTAAATTACTTAGGTTTACCTGATATTGAAGGTTGCTCCTCATAGAAATCCTTATTAAACGGCTCGTAGTCAATGGAACTATGATCCAAAGCCGGAATGGGTTCAATCTTCTTCTTATCAATAACAATCGGATTATCATCCGAATCATACTCAAGCAATCCCGCATCCACCGCCTTGGCCGCAGCATAGACCTCCTCATCGGAATCATAACCAGCATGAAGAGCATCCGAAGCCAACGTCAACCCTACATCCTTCTTCGCTCTTAAAAAACTCTCCATCGGATCATCCTCTTCATCGTCCCTATACTTCTCCGTCGCCTTGGGAGGCGGCGCGGCCCTCATCTCCTCCTGGATCCCCTCCATAAACGCGTCGAGAGGGTCAATCTCATCATTGTCACCGCCACCGTTGTGGTTATTATTATCGGCATCGTCCGAATGCTCACGGTCGTCGTAGTCGATGTTGTCTAAGTCGGTGTCTTCGTAATTGTCGTGACTACCGGAGCGCGAGGAAGGTGGTACGTAGAGCCTCTGCGGAGCTTGTGATCGTTCAAAGTTGTATGTGGTTTGGCGATTGATGCCGAAGCCTTCAAACCCGAACTTTCTTTTCGACATGTCAGATTGATTTGGGAGATAAAAATGAAACCCTAGATTGCCATTTAGAGGACCTTTAGATCAACTCCAATTCGATTCTAATACCGTCCTCTCCTCTCCTCTACAGGAAATCGGGGAGAACTACTGGGCCCAAACTCAGAGGATAACAGTTTCAGCGGCGAACTACAGTGCCTTGAAGCTGGTGAATGTCATGGTTTGCAAAAGGTCACCGATTTGCAAAACTACAACAGGTCGCGTCCGGGTCATACCCCTTTCGACTATTACCTTTATTTTATTTTATACTTTTAACTATAAAATTTATCACATTAACTTTGTTTTTTTAAACTCTAAATTTCTTTCTGTTACTCGAACTTCTTTTTTTTTCTAGCAACTATTGGATCGTAAAAAAAATAAAATAAAGTGATATTAGACACTTGACAAAAAACTCTTTGGAATTTCTCTTCCTCCTATAACATATTTTCAAGTTTGTCGTTTGTTTATCGGAGTGATATAAAATAAAATTGATATTTTAAAATATAATATAATAAATTTTACAAATGAGAGTATAAAATAAAACAAAGATAATAATTCAGAAGGTAAAGTGTAATTTACTCCATGGTTTTGATGGGTCTCTTGTAAAAACGATCCAAACAGGATTACTCAAATATTAATGCCACATTCTTTGATTTGTTTCACAAATTTTAAGGTGGGTTATTCTTCCCGCATATATATTCTCTCTCACCCTGTTTTAACGCACTAAAATCAAAACTAGTAAGTTTATTACATTTTCCACTTTATTATTATTAATGATTAAACCCACATTTTTTGTAATTACCTATTAGTGACTTTATTTTATGCGTACCTCCTCTAAGGCCACTTAAGAGCAAGTTAAGAATGTTAGAATTTTTTTTATATTGGACCGTCATTAATTGATTATTAATTTTAATTTGTGAAAAACGAACTGAATTTATGGTCTAATGAGATGAATCAAATATTATTAAGTGATCTATTTTAATGGGCTTATGTACATTTTTTAATTGACGTGATTGAGAAGGTTAAATGTAGGGCTTCATTTAATTGTGGCCCGTAATGGGAGAGGCCATTAAATTTCATTATAAATTGCAGGTTAGGTCCCTTTTCCACTTCATAACCCTAATTTGACTTGTCCCATTGAGAGCCGCCTATTGTTTTGAAGAATGAGAAGAACCTTACCCTTTCAATAAAGAAATTTGAAGATCGAGTATCATGACTCATATATGTATGTTCTAAACCTTGTAATTTAGGTATTCTAAATTTTATATACGAATCTTTAAAATTTCTTACAAATAACCCATAGAGAAAACTATTTCAACAAAAGACAAATTACTACCAACTAGGGGAGAAAATAAAGAGAAGCAAGAGCTTATACGACAAATCAACTTAATGCCTCGGGAAAAAAAGTGTGCAAGTATCTTATTTACCGTGAACTACCTTGATTTTAAATTGACAAGTTGTTTTATGTTGTAAAGCGTGTTTAAGTAATATCAGCTTTTTCGAGAAGAAACAAATATTTTCGTTACGTCGTGTTTTCAGATACAGACAATTACTAGTTGATTGATATTGTAGCAGTCAATTCTTCCTTTTTTTAATCAAACGTAGGAGTAAACATAAAGTTAGTAAAATCATCAAACTGATAAACGACCAAAATGTGGAGCTTTTATCATCATGATCAATCAATTTCACATCCCCTTCTTAAAGAAGATGGGATCCAAATTTAGTTAAGGCCACCTCCCCACATGATGTAGCTAGACAGATTCTACTGATACCTCTCAGTGAAACACAACAAAAATATGTGGTAAGATGGGAGTTTACCAAATCTGGAATCTATGTTGTTATAAGTGGATATCACCTTCAAGTGCAGCAGATGAGGATGATTTCAGCTGGATCTCATACATCATCGTCATTCCAAGCCTTTGAAGAATTGTGGAGATCAATTTGGAAAGTTAAAACACCATAAAAAATTCAGGCTATATTTGGTAACTGTGTTTTGTGTTTTTAGTTTTATTTTTATCAAAAATAAAAGTAAAAATATGTTTGATAATTATTTTTAACTTTGTTTTATTTTCGTTGTATTGAAAAGAAAGACGAAAAAATGAGGATAAAAAATTTTTATTTTAAGAAACACGCGTAACAAAAACACACGCTAAGATGGATTAATAAGATCCGAGTTTCGAACTCTCGGAGAAGCAAAAATAATTTTTTTCGTGAACCTATTTAACCCACCTCATTTCTCTCTCCTCAACATCGCTACCTCACTCTCTCGATTCTCCATTGCTGCCTCACTGTCTCGATTCTCCATTGCTGCCTCACTCTCTCCATTTTCTCACCATCATCGACGAGATCTCCTCTCCTCTCTCTCACCGACGGAGGTAAGCCCCTTCTCTTTCTCTCTCTTTCTCCCTCTCTCATTTCATCTCATCTCCTCGCTCTCTCTCTCTCTCTATATATATATATACGCACATAGATTTGTGTATATATTCATATATATAGACAGATCTGTGCACATATATGCACAGATCTATGTGTGTTCTGTGTGATTGGTGTGTGTGTGTGTGTTCTGTGTGCTGGGTGTGTGTGCGTTGTGTTGAATAGGATTCACACTCATCTTGAATAGGATTCTAGAGCACTCTGAGAAAAGATTGTTTCATATTACAATCTAATACCCAAATCTGAAATAGGATACACAATTTGTCCCAAATAGTTCACTAGTTCCAAATACTCCACATATATCGCCATTACCCAATTATTGATCAGTCGCCTCTAAATCTGATGGATATGCTTTCTTTTTCTGTTAAGCAGTAGTAGTTCAATTTTAAAAAAAAAAAATCGATGTTCTGTGCTAAAACCCCATTTGAAATTGTGATGGAACGTATTGACCTTTTCGTGTCTCAGTCGGTTGCCAGCTAATAATAAAAGATTAAGCAGCACGGTATAAGAAAGCCTACTAAGGATATTTGCAGTAGTCATGTCAAAAATTGTGCAATAACATGTAACAGCTGCAGAAAATTGTGGATGATTATTGCATTAAGTAACCTATTCTGAAGAACCAGGTTAAGTTCTAAACATAAGCTCAAAGAAATAGAGCAAGTCAGCAATAAGTAAAAAATTTGCAAGAATGCCTTATGCTATCTCTTTCACCTGAAAAACATGAATCATGCTCAGAAATTTCAGTAAATCAAACCATGTGCAGGGTAGGATTGCTCAACCCAAGCATTTTATCACTTCCATTTCCTTCTTAAACCACTCTTGATTGACCTTAGCCATTTTATGTAGAATACATACTCTCTGTACACATTCGCTTATGTGTGATTCATGCTTCCAAGTGAGGCGAACAAAAAACAAACAAGCATGAATAATGGGGAATGATAATGGGTAAGACATGATCCATTGACCACCAAGATAAAGAAACTCTCTTCTCTGTTCCATTTTTCTTCATAGAAAAGGAATATTTATATTAGCAAAGCCCTTATGAAAATTTTGTTAAAAGCTGTGGTGCATGTTGAAACTGAATATTGATGGTGCATCTAAGGAGAGTAGTGGTCTTGCAGGTGGTGGGATGGTCATAAGAAATTCCCAGGGGCATATGGTGGTGGCAACAGCTGCTAAATTTTACGGGGTTGGATTATGTTTGATACAAGGAGGATTGTGTTTGATAAAAGGAATGGAGTTGGATGAATTGATGTCTTGATGGGATGAAGTTGAGGGAGGAGGTTAGAGAGGCATTGTAACTAGATCGTGGCTGCAGCTGTTCAGGTACTGATTTTCTGAGCTGGGATGTTTTTGAGAATAGCTACTGGGGTGCCGATGTTGATGGTGAGGTGGAATTTGTTCTTGGCTGCTGGCTGCTGGCTGCTGGCTGCTGGCTGCAGTAGTTGAGTTATGAGTTCATAAATGCAGATGAGTTTTTTAGTAGCTGGAGGATGCAGGTCCAGGTTTGGGCTATTAGCAGGCAACAGTCTGTGTTGCTCAGATCATGGACTGGTGATGGCATGCTTTTGGTGTCTGGGCAGTTGGTGTGTGCAATCTGAGTCTCTACTTTGATTTGCATTGCACTGTTCTGTCTGCAGTGGACTGCACTGGTCTGGAACATGGAGTGTATTGGCAGTTTGTGCAGTACTGTATCAGGAAAATGGAGGGATTTGAGACCAAGAGCTGAGTTAATAGCTTTAATTCTTTTGAAGGATTAAAGCCAACTCTTGGGGGAAATTTCCTTCTGCATCAGGTCCATTGCAGGATGTCTGAAGCTGTGATGAGCTGAAGTTGCACTGGTCAGACAGAACAGGAACAAAACAGTTGCTGTACAGGGTCTTTTGTGGATAACAGGACAGTTTTTTTGTATTTTTTTGTAAAGTTTACTATTTTTGGTTGTTCAACTGTTACTGTTTTGCTTAAACAGTTTCAGTTTTTGCTTCTTGTAATTTTGGGTTTCATGAAATAAAATTCTCTTTTCTTAAATTAAAAAAAAAAAAAAAGGTGTATATGGAGGCAAATTTTATGGCTAATTTTTTCAAAAATCTGGTTGTGCAAGATTGGTGTTTTGTTGAAGGTCTTTAATTCATGGTTGTAAATCATTTTTCATGAAATAAAATGTTGATTTGTTTGAAAACAAAAAATGAGGTATTATAAGCATATTTAGGATAAAACTTGAGGTAGTTATTAAACATATTTTCTATTTTTATTCTCATAATTTGGTAGACAAAAATGACTATCAAATATGTTTTTTGTTTCAATGTTTACCACAAAACAGAAAGAAAAAAAATTGTTTATGTTTTTGATTTTTTGAAGACGCAAAAATAAAATCGTTATCAAACGATCCCTGGCGATCGGAGTTCTTGGAGTTCTTGCGGCTAAATGGGAATTGTGGAAAAGAAATGCAAGTAAAAGCCCAATCTGTCCTATACGTGGGGAAGAATAGGAAACTACAGAACATCTCTTTCTTCTATGCACATGGGTAAAGCAAGTTTGAGTGTCATCCCCTCTGGAGATATAGATTGATAGATGCCAAATTAGGGGAATGAAAAGTACTGATGCTTATAATGGAGGGCAGTCGCTTATAACCTACCTATGCTGATTCATTTAGAAGGCACGTAACGAATGGGTTTAATTATCATCACCGCCAACCTAGAGCAAATAGGGTAATTGGCCAAGCTTTATCATCCATACTAGAGATGCAGAAGCTAGAAGGAGCCCCTTGGCTATCTGGAAAGCACCTCCGTTGGGAGGGATAACTCTGAATTATGATGGAGTTTTTTTAGTTAAAACCCAAAAATGAGTCTATGATGTTTGTAGACCGTGATCATGGGGAAGCCTAATTGCAGGAAGAGCTGGTGTGATGGAATCTGCTTCATCGTTGGTGTCTGAGGCTTGGGCAGTCAAAAAGGCTTACAAGATGGCTTTGGATGAAGGATTTCAAGAGGTTTATGTGGAATTTGATTCAAAACTTCTAATAGATTCACTCAACAAATGACAACAAGCAACTCTAGGGGGATAGAGCCATTCATAAAGACATATAGGGATAGCATAGGTAGCTTATCATGTTTCTTGATTTTTTTTGTTTCTTTGCTTTAAGTTTTAGATGTATCCACTTAGTTTTTTTTTTTGCTTCCTAACATTATAATAATCAGAACAAAGTAATTTTTTCACGGGGATGATGCAGTGGTGGTGATATGGGTTTGTACTTTGTAGTGGTGGGGTTGGCTTTTTCTATCGGTGGTGTCACGGGGGTGTTTCGCCATACGTGGCAGAGAGAGAAGGGGTGAACAAGAGATGGGTGATTGCTGGGAGCAATGATGTGTGTAAAATAGAATGAACATAGTTAATAATAAAATGGTTATAAAATAGGGTAGGTATGATTGTCATCCATCATCACAATCACAAGAACTAGTCGCCTGACAAATCAACATCAACGCTGTAACCACGAGTGCTTTTAGTAATGCATGATTGTCCTCCTCCATCATGAGAACTATGGAAGAATAATTTGAGTCTTGACTGCTCGTCATATGCTTGAATTCACATTGCTCAATTAGAGGGATCTCAGTGATTTGCGGATGACAATATGTGAATAACTTGCTTGATTCCTTCCCTAACATTTGAAAAGCATCTTCCTTTAATTGACTTAGCATATCCAACTCTTCTTATTTTAACTTTGGACTACGATAACCTTGTCTTCCTATAAACCGAAGACCCTCTTTTTCTTATTTTTCGCTCTTATCTACTTGAACTCAAATAAGACACTATTCTCGTTGAATAAAAAATCACCCCATAGATAAAAGAACAAACCTCAAGTTTTGCAATTTTTCATTTGTAAAACCACGGAAGTTACTTAAAAACATCACCCATACCCACATATGGTACTATGCTTTTTTTGTGACAATCACAATCCTCGTTACTTCTAACAAAGTACGTGAACGACTAGAATAACCAAGTGTTAATGAAAGAAGGAGAAACTACAGAGGAGTGTCTTCCAATTCCAATTATCGGATAAAGCACATAAGAAAATATGAAGAGAAAGAATGTGAGATCTAGACGTAAATGAAAACGTAAATTTTGTAAAGAGGGTGTAGAAATAAGAGCAATGCTATTAGACATAATTCAAAGACATTATTTGGAGATTTAATGATTGTTGTTATTGAATTATTAGTAGGTCTTAACGTTAAATTATCATTGGATCCTAATACTATCAATCTAATGGTCATAATACATTAAGTCTCCAAATTATATCTTTAAATTATGTCTCAATATCATTAGTGACGAACCTAGATCTAATTGGGCTGGACCAAGTAAATCCAGCAAGATCAAGTTAACTAAAAGACCGGCCAAACTCGATTCATCAATCCGATCTACTCTAAGATTCAAGGAGCCCAGGAAGATAAGAGCATATGGGAGAGAGACTATCGAGATACCCACCTTCGAGGATCAAAGCTATCTTAATTGTACTTATTTTTTTGTAATTATTCTCTCCAAAGAATTAGTACCCTCACACTTATGTCACCATCTCACTATACCTATAAATTGTAAGCCTTCTCCATTGAGAGGGGCATCTCACCACAGCTCTTCACATCTCTTTAGGGGTGGAGATAATGCTTCTTGATACACCTAGTAATAAAGGGAGAGGATAAAGTTTGGTGTCTGACTTTTAAAATGTCTCTAATACCTTTCATTTATTTTTAAATAACTACCAATAACTTACATTTAACTCTAATCAACCGTTTGTACTCATAAAATAACTACATATATTCTTCATATCTTCTAAAATAACTATTAAACTATTTTTTTATACTTTATTCAACTACTAATGTTTTTCATTACCCGACAAGTTGTATATGTAAAGCATCTAATTTTAAATGACGTTAGAAAGCGTAATTACTTTTTTAATATTAGTTAGTGGGTGGGTGTATCTGTCATTGCACAAATGTAATTTGGATATTATTTTGAATTTTGTCGAAGATATCATACTCTCTCAATACCTTTGTTGATGTCCATCACAATGGGTGTGGATGTTACATGTTTTAAAATATCAAAGGATCTCAATTTAGCTTTTGAAATCTCAAAAAAGAAATATTAGTATACTAAAATCAAATATCATGGGATTTTAGCATTAAACAGATAATAATTTTTAATAAATATTAAAATTTATAATTAATTTAATAATAATAATAATAATTAATTAAGTCAACATTTTCTTTAATTAATGTGCTCCCCGATAAAGAGCGTCCAGGAAAGTACGCTGGACTGCACCCCAGAGTATTTGACCACTCAGTCTTCTTGCAGACACTTCAATGGTGACGTGACTGACGTCGATCGTCTTTTTACCGTTATGTTAATAAATTCCGTCAATGGCGCACGTTAAAAAAACATAAATAAAACCCCTTCTCAATGTCCGGAAAAAGAAAAAGAACAACAACGATCGAAAGCTTGAGTACTGATAATTACAGAGTGTAGCGAACGACATCTCCACCCCCACCACCAAGAGTCACGAATTCTTCTCTCTTGAATTTAATTCTCAGAGCTCAAAAATGGCAAAAATGTCTCGTGATTCTCAATTTCAAGTTCATGTTCAACGAATTTCACGCCCGTTGGATCCTCCAACAATGGAAGATACAAATTGTTTCACCTCATAGTGTTGCTTGGCGTTTAAGTTTCGTGCTTATCTACGGGGCGATCTCGTCGTCAATTCGGCCGAATCTCTCAGATCTGAACGGTTCTCGTTCAATCAGCTTCAGTGATGATGGAGTTTGTAAATTTATTCTTCGTTACTAACTGCACTGGTTTGTTCTTGTGCTTGTTATAAGTTAACCTTTTATATTCTTTAAAATAACTCGTAGTTTGATTTTGTTTCTGTTTGTATTAGCACGAGTTCTGTAAATTTATGCAATGTGAAGCATTTACTTAATAATTATTTGATAACTTGTTTTTATTTGATTTCGAGTTCACAAAAGCTAGGGTTAGTGGTGTTGGAAGTTATTGGTTAAAGTTTAAATTTATGCTCTGTTTTTTAAAGGACATATTGGAAGAATTGTTTCTTAAAAAGAAAATTCTTCTTCGAAGCTCATCCACTAGGCATCATGTTTCTAATTAACTTGGGGGAGAGACGTTTCTTTACACTGGAAATTGTCTTTTTTATATAGTCTTGGGCTGAGCTCTTGCTTGGAAGGTTTTAATTTGAAACAAATAGTCTTTTATCAAATATCTGGTTGAAGGTTTGCTTTACTGTTTTTTTTCTAGATGGAAACTAGCTAGTATTAAATATTAATTAAGCAAAGGACTAGAATTCGGCTTATTGAGTTGATGTTAGTTTCTTTAGGTTCTGAAATAATGAACAATATTGGTTTTTTAATTTACAGCTACATTTTGTACCATAATATTCTCAGCAACCAGACAGATAGTGTAGGCATATTATCCTTGTAGAAACTGGTACTTATTTCTTTTCCTGCCTTTGGCTCCCCAAAGGCTTGCAGATGTCTCTCACTCTTTATGTGTGTGTGCGCATGTGGAACCTATATTAGATGCCATTTCATGGTCCAAAATAATTGCTATGGAGAAAGTATTACATATTTGGTATCATTGATTGACTAAGAAATCACAAGCCAATCAACAATGCATTATTGATTTATTGTTTGGGTTTTGGTGTATTCTCTGTGTAATTCAAACAAGCCGTTTCAGCATACTGAGAGTATTTTTCGTTCTTGTTACATTCAACTTTCTGCAGGGATATTGAGAAGATTGCAGTGGTCATTGCTGAAACAGTTGTTTGTTCTAATTTATATATTATCTGTCACTGATGCTGATTTGCCTGGTAACCCATTGGAAGCAAAAAATATATCTCCAACTAGTACAACCTTGAATGCACCTGCTATGCCTGATCTGCCACTGCCAGCCAATCTGCCTTCTTTTTATAAGCCGCGTCAGAAACATTTTTCAGCTCATGTTGCACCAAAGCTTGGGATAGCACCAGCTGAGCCTCCCAACTATGGCCCACTGGTAACTTTTGCTCATCCACCGTCAAGCTCACGTTTGTCAAAACTGTTAATGAAGAAAAGTGGATCAGTGCCTCCCAGTGCTGGCCCTGCACCTCTGCATTCGGAAGAGCTTGCCCCAATCAGTGGTGCTACGATACCCGCTGGTTTAGCTCAGCCACCACTATCTCCTTACGCCTCAAGTAAGACACACCTACCTTGTGGAACAATTGAAACACACTCTCAATAGATTATACCTCTTTAAGTTTTTTCTCGTGCAAGAATGACTAAAATATGTGCTTCAGGCATAACAAGTCTTTAGAACTTCCTTATTCTACTTTTACTGAATTTTTGTAATGTTGATTTCCCCCCATCCAACTTAGACACTAATGTGGGCTTTTCTTTTTCATTCTGACAGACTGTTGTGGACCAGACATGGTACTAAAACGTGGTAGCCAGGGTTGCCACTGTGTGTATCCAATAAAGCTTGACCTTCTCCTTCTGAATATTTCGTCTAACCCAAATTGGAATGATTTTCTAGAAGAATTTGCTTCTCAACTTAGTTTACGGGTTTCTCAGATTGAGTTAATCAACTTTTATGTAGTCACTGTCTCAAGACTCAATATTTCAATGGACGTCACTCCACATACGGGTATCAGTTTCTCTGCCAGTGAAGCTTCTAGTATTAATTCTTCGCTTTCCATGCATAGGATTCGTCTAGACCCCTCATTAGTGGGTGATTACAAACTTCTCAACTTCACTTGGTTTCAGCCACCGGTTCCTTCTCAGGGTAACTTTTTACCTTTTCTGTTATGATGCTAAGATTTGCTTGTAATTGTGCTTGCATTCAATGGTATGCCTTTTTTTATTATAGTGAGGTAAATATTTTTGCATTGAGATTAGTAGAATTACATAATGGTATGGCTTCAATTCCGGTTCTTTTGGGACTACTTGCAGCTCATAGTCAAATTACCATCCATAGCTCTTGATATATTCTCTCATCTTTCCATCTCTTGACCTCTCTGTTTCTGCGTTAGCACATGCGAGCGTCATGATACAAATCACTTAGGTTTGAGATGCCATTCATTATTTAAGCCCAACAAGAACCGAGAAGCCCTTTTTGCAATTTTTGGATCTATGTCATGCTAATGCTATTATGAGGGTGTAATCCTAGTCTTGATCAAGATCGATTCAAATGTTCATGATTTCATCTCTCTCTCTCTCTCTCTCTCTCTCTCATCACTGCGGGTTGTCAGGTCATGGAAGAAGAGGTGTCTAGTGGTATTACTCATGCCAGCATGCAGATTTGTAATACAATGGACTTCTCTAGTAGCATTGTTTATTGTTTTTTAATATTTTTCATGTTCCCTTTCTAAGGAGTTTTGATCTGATTACAGCTCCTCTTATTTCAAGGCCACCAGAGGAAGCACCACCAAACCTACCGTCTACTCCTACATCTGTCATCACTTCAAGTTCAAACCAAGGGAACCATCTGAGCTTGATTCTTATTGTTGGAATTGGTGCTGGCATCCTGATCATTGCCATCATTTCTGTGCTTATAATTTGTTTACGTGCATCTCATCAAAGGAAGAAAAAGATGTCTCCCAAAGAAACTGGTTTGTACTTTGTAGTAATATTGCAATTTTAGGTCCTTATTTTGTTGCGTTAAAACTTTCTTCCTTCCTTGTTTGACTTTGACAAGCTTTACAAAGTATTTATATAAGAGCAAATTGCAGCCAAAACCCTCAATATCTGCAAAATATACTAGTAACACCTCCAGCATTTCCACGTAACTAGAATATATGATTACTTTTAAGTGTAATAATCTTTCCAGATAGTTGTCTGACATCTTTTATTAAGTGGTTAAACTTGTCACACAAACTCGACCAAAATTATTGTATACGTGAAGTCAGAATAACATCGGCCTCATGTTCCATATAAAATGTGTGTTCTACATTCGGAGTGTTATGAACAGAGGCTACAAACAAATAAAATGGAACGGAATAGAAAAGTAGAATACACAAAATTTTACATGGTTCGGCTTAACAAACAAGCCCACGAGTGAAGCACAATGACAAAGTTTCAATACTAATAACCAGAGATTACACAAAATTATCTTATCAAACATGGATGTCCAAAATTGGAGGCCAAAATCCCCAAGAGAAACTAAATGGTCTATAATCTATTTATAGTCCCAAAATATTGTCTCCTAATACAATAGCGTTTCTAATTGGTCTTTCACTTAAAGTAGAATTTCAAGACATCTACCTTTTCAAATTCCTAAGGAGAATAAATTCTTAACCAGTTTCCTACTAGGAGTGAAATACAAGACACCCACAAGGGCCACAACAAATCTCCATCTTAACTTGTATTCCATTAAGTCATCAAAACAAAAGCGAACAAATTAGCTGCCTTCTCCACAAATTCGATGAAGGAATACAAATATCATAAACATCTATAGCAAATCTCCACCTTGATTTGTTTGTCCACCAAGCCATCAAAGCAAAAATGAACTTGCTCAACTGTCTTCTTCATAATAGCAAACCAATTGAATCTCCATCAGTGCTGATAACACTATCATGTCAAGAATATTTGTCAAAAGACACTGTCATATCAACGTCACATACCTGGATCTGTCATAGACTTCAATTGTTCTAATTACCAAATTTTTCTACTTTGAATTTTATTCAAAACTAAAGCTCTGATACCAATTTGTTATGAATAAAGATCACAAACAAATAAAATGGAACAAAATAGAAAAATAGAAAATGCACAATTTTACGTGATTCAGCTCGACAAGCAAGCCTCCATCCACGAGCGACTCAAGCGCAACAGCAAAGTTTTACTATCAATAAAGGGAGATTACACAAAATTATCTAATCAAGAGGATATAACCAAACATGGATGCCCAAAATTAGGGTCCAAAATTCCCAAGAGAAACTAAATGGTCTATAATCTATTTGTAGACGCAAAAAATTTTGTTATCTAATACAATAGGGTTTCTAATTGGTCTTTTACTTGAAATGAGGAATTCCAAGATATCCCCAAAGAGAACAAAGTCTAAACTAGTTTTCTACTAGGTGTGGAATCAGGGATGGAACCAGGAGTTCATCATTGGGGAAGCCAAATCCTATGCATAGAAATTGATAATAACAAAGTGAAGCATATTTATACTTTGATTTTCAAAAATTTAATGTATAAAAATGTCAAGAAACCAATGCATATTCAATACAAACAAAGATACAACAAAAAAATAAAATGAACGGAAAGAATAGCTTACATAGAAGAATTTCATGAAGTTCAATAATTATAAGGAATAGAAAAAATATTCTAGAACTTCTTTTCGAAAGAATGACAGATACCTATTTCACTAAATTTTACATAAAATTAAGCATATCAAAAGTTATATATTCCCAATTAGACATAAACCTAGTTGAATTTTTCATAAAAAAAATAATCACAACATAGATTTAATGTTCCCAACTAGTGACAAACATTTAATCAAATATATATCATTGTTTTATTCTAAAAATAATGAACAAAGAAATATATAACAATATTTAAAATTTTATATATATTATTTAGTATTAAAAATATAGACCACTAACCTGTTACTCGATCGATGAAAAAAAAAATTTGTCTTCTTTTTTTCTGCACTTTTTTCCTCAATTGCACAACCATTGGGTGACATTGCTAAACTCTTTTCACGTCCATAGTTCTAGCCTTATTGGTGTAGAAGGTTTTTTTTGTGTATTAGAAGGTTTTGTTTTCTAATTAAGCTACGACTCTTAAGTTGATTTATTGGGATTTAGATATATTAAGAAAGTTAACATTTGTTGGTCTTGGTGACCGAGATTTAGGTTATAATTTCTGTTAATTGGTTGTTTAGAATTCTAACCTGATTAAAATAATATTAATCTACAAGTTTTTAGTCACTGTATGAAACTAAATGACTTAAAAAGGGATGTCTGTGTAAATTGGTTTTTTTTTTTTTTTTGTTTTTTTTTTTTTTGGGGGGGGGGGGGGCGTTGGACTTCATTCTCCACCTATTATTTCTATACAAGGGTTATGAGAAGTATGGAGGGGGCCATGGCCCTACCGTAGTTCTGCTCTGAGTGGAATATAAGACACCCGCAATACAGAGTTTTTACACTTCAAAATTGAAAGAAGGTAAAGGGTTTTGTATTGGGGAAATATAGTATTGAGTTCAGATCTTAACCATTATATTGCTCTGACTTTCTTTGCCTGTGCTATAGTTTCTTGCAACGACTCCACTTCTGTTTTCTAATGGCTGATTTATTGTCGATGCCGATCAAAATGACACTTTACTCATGGAAATGTTTAAGCCCTGATTAGAATGCGTTCAACAAAATTTTTGGACACTTGTTGGGCTAAATTAATTTGCCCGGGTATACTAAGTGCATGTTCTTTATTTTTCACTACTGCATTGGTAAACAAGTGCAATCGTTTGGTACAAATAATGCCAAAGGCAAGTCTGAACTCAGTCTAACCGTCCTAGCACCCTCAGCTAAGCGGACCTAACTGGGTAACATCCTTTTATTGCCCTTTTTTCTTTGCAATGTTTTATAAATTAAATAATAGCCAACATCTCACAAATTTCAAATTGGTGTTTATGAAGTCTATTAGGGAATATCTCTATGGCATTGATATTAGTGGAACTTGGAATGATGCTTTACTGGCTGACCAAGAGACCTTAAGGTCTATGATGGATTTTAACTTGTAAGGATGCTTAAAGATGATATAGAAATAACCACACTGTACTCAAAAGACAACTCAGAAGACATTTGTATCAAGTAAGCTTGCATCTAACCCCAATTTTTACAGAAATGGTGTACTATCATGATTGCTTAGATCTCCATTCTCCACAATATATAACACTCCTGACTTCTTGAATATGTGTAATAATTCCTCATCAAGCACTCGAGTTAGTTTGCATGAAACAAATGTTGAAGATGTCTCTGTGAAATACCTTACGCATATGACTTCGTAGAGAAGCTATTATCTCAGCTAAATAGGTGGTGTTAAGGTCTGTGATGACTGAGCAGATATGCATCAATTACCAAAATTGAAACTTAAATGAATTAATATATATTGTCAGTGCATTACCATTAGTAATTTTCCATACTTCTAATGGTTGTTTTTATATTTTTGTTCCTAATTTTCTCTTTTGTTCTCCTAAACAGCAAAGTCGAGGACTTTGGATGCGGTTCCAGCAGCAGGATCTCTTCGCCACCCAACCAGTACTCGATTTCTTACATATGAAGAACTCAAATCAGCGACAAATAACTTTGAATCAGCCAGCATACTTGGAGAGGGTGGCTTTGGCAGAGTTTTTAAGGGTACCTTAAGTGATGGTACTGCTGTAGCAATAAAAAGGCTTACTGGTGGAGGGCAACAAGGGGATAAAGAGTTCTTAGTTGAGGTGGAGATGCTTAGTAGGTTGCATCACCGTAACCTTGTAAAACTTGTGGGTTATTACAGCAGTCGCGACTCTTCACAAAGCCTACTTTGTTATGAGCTCGTCCCAAATGGAAGTTTGGAGGCATGGCTCCATGGTAAATTGTTTTCCGTGCCTTTTATAGACTCTTGACATCTTGGTATTGATGTATCAGAGTTACTGACTGAAAACTGAATATTTGCTGGAAGTCACTGAAAAAGAGTTTATCTATTGGTTAAAACTATAAATTGACTCATTCAAGTTTACCATTTTAGTGTGGGACAAAATGTTTACGATGACTCTATTTTGCCGCAGGTCCCTTGGGAGTAAACTGTCCTCTTGATTGGGACACCAGAATGAAGATTGCCCTTGATGCGGCTAGAGGACTTGCATACTTGCATGAGGACTCACAACCATGTGTTATCCACAGAGATTTTAAGGCATCCAATATATTACTTGAGAATAACTTCCATGCTAAAGTTGCTGATTTTGGCCTTGCAAAACAGGCACCTGAAGGCAGGGCAAATTACCTGTCTACTCGTGTAATGGGCACATTTGGGTTAGTCCCGCTCTGAAACATGTTCTCTCTCTTAGATAAATTGGCACTATGATGGAATGAACTTGATTTACAGGTATGTAGCCCCGGAGTATGCTATGACTGGGCATCTCCTGGTGAAAAGCGATGTCTATAGCTATGGCGTTGTCCTCCTTGAGTTGTTAACAGGAAGGAAGCCTGTGGATATGTCACAACCATCCGGACAAGAGAATCTTGTCACTTGGGTCAGTAATATTGCTTGATCACTTTGTCATTCTTATTTTTCATTTCCCTGAATTGTGTTTATCCATGGTCCTTGAGGGTGGGCCTTACCTTAGTTATACTTAGTTGCAATGTTACTTTATTGCAACTTAGGCATCATAGATTCGAGTCATGGAAACAATCTTTCTGCATGTGTGGTTAAGGCCATGTAAAACTGACATTTTCCACACTCCGCAGTAGTAGGAGCCTTAATTTTTAGCCATGGTTCCTGATCCTAATCTTTTTGAAATTGATGTTGCACGATAAAAAAATGGATGCTAGTCGGTACCGAACAATCATTGGGCAAAAAATAACATTTTGGGTTTTTATTTGTTTCAGGCCAGACCAATACTTAGAGATAAGGATCGTTTGGAAGAACTTGCTGATCCAAGGCTAGCAGGAAAGTACTCAAAGGAAGATTTTGTACGGGTTTGCACAATTGCTGCAGCTTGTGTTGCCCCAGAATCAGGGCAACGGCCCACAATGGGAGAAGTAGTGCAGTCACTTAAAATGGTGCAGCGTATCACAGAGTATCAGGATTCTGCAATAACTGCCAACACCAGACCCAACCATAGGCAGTCCTCTACTACCTTCGAGTCAGATGGGACATCTTCTATATTCTCTTCCGGTCCCTACTCTGGTTTAAGTGCCTTTGATAACGACAACCTTGCTCGCACATCTGTGTTATCTGAGGATCTTCATGAAGGACGATAAACAATTTCAGAGTTCAGAAGAAGCATTTGCCATTTGAAGGCAGAGAATTTGTAGATGATGGACACTGCCCCAAGGTTTTCTCTCTATTTGGTGACTGTTTGGAATTGTTATTTTTGTAATCACGTGTAGAGAACCATTGTTCAGTTTTCCCCGGGGGGTGATTATTCTTCTGCATGCTCGATGGAATTGTGTACATATGCCTGGTAGCTTTGTTTTGTTGTACTGGCTTCAAGGGTTTCTGATCAATTTCTTTTTTTAGTTGGCAGCTTATGATTTTTTGTGGTTCATTCGTGTAACGGTTTAGGGTTGTTTCCGCTAATTCCTGTCTCAAAATATGAGAAGTTGAAACTGCATGTAGTTGTTTGGAGCAAATTTCAGAAATGTGTTTGACCAGCACAGCAAAATGAGGGGGTTGTGATTTATGTCTTTGCTTCAAAAATAATAATAATTACCGTTTTAGCTTCTCTGAGTTTGGTCCAAAATCACTTTCACCTCTAATGATTAAAATTATACTTGAAATTCTCGTGATTTTGGGCCAAACGGAAAAACATATAACTGTTAACGAGTATAAGAAAATGATAATATACCCTTTTTCTTCTACTCTGTGATGGCTTTATCATTTTCAAACTTATATTCCATCATTGATAAGTTGTCCAATGTCAAAATTAATTTCCCAACATAAGACCAGTGGTCAGTTTCTTCAATTGAAAAATTAAATGTTTTGAAAAATGGCATTACCTTTATGAACATGAAGATAACCAGTCTCTTGTGGGAAGGTCCCACTTTCTTTAATGTCTTTTCACAACCAATTATGTCGCGAAAATAAAGAAATTTTTTTTTTTTACTACGACTTAGATCACTTATAATACACATGTTTTATTGCCCTCAATAAATAGTTATTTATCATATATAACAAAATATAATATAATTCAAATTTCAAAAGATAAATAAAATAATTTTTATTTTTTGTGGTTAAATTTTACTTTAAAATTAATCCGACAACTAATATTAACTCTCTAAATGTAATAAGAAAAATAGGTTCCCCTGAGGATATGATTGAGGTAACTTTTCAAAAATATTTCTAATACTTATAACTTCTTAAAAGCACTTTAAAAAAAAATAGTGTTTGGACCTGTTTCATCGCTTCCACTACTACCACCACCACCCCTACCACTTTCACAATCACCCTTACCAATGTCGCCACCCCCACCAACCTCATCTCACTGCCCTGCCACTGTCATCGTTGTCGCCACCTTACGACCACCACCATTGCCCCACTACCACCCCACCTTGCCCTCCACCACTACCATCACCATCACTATTACCATTACTATTACCATTACCACTATCACCGCCAACTTTGTCACAACCACAATTTCATACCCCACTGCCCCACCATAACTGCCACCTTACCACCATTGTCACCGCCACCACCCACTATCACCCCACCTACCACTGTCGTTATTTGTCGTTGCCCACCACCACTCAAATCCATCACCACTATCATCGTCGTCCATCACTACAACTCATTACTATCGTTGCCCTACCACCACCACAACTGTCAACCATTATCACCATCGTTTACCACCCCTACACCCACCACTTGTCATCCATGGTTGTAATTATCACCATCGTCACTTAAAAATCACCACCACTATTGCCACTCACGGTTGCCACGATCACCACTACCATCGCTTACCCTCATTACAATCGGTGTTTAAATTATTTTATCTCTCCTATATATTTGTGATTTAATTTTGGGTGTGTGTATTTTATATTTCAAAATACCATTCTGCATATGTTAATTAGGTGGTGTTTAATAAATTTGAAAGTTGAATTTTAAGTGTTGAATGCTAAATTTTTTAATTCATAGACTGTTTGGTATCAACTGAAATTTAAGTATTAAATTAAATCAAATTATTTGACAAATATAAAGAGTCGAAGTCTAAAAACTACTATTATTATAATTTTGTTCTTTTTAACCATCTCTTGACAATTATCTTATTCCTACCATTACCATCATAATGATAATGGTGGCAGTGGTCATAGTGGCAGCGGCGATGGTGATTGTAGTGACGATGGTGGGGGGGTGATAACGTAATGCTGGTAGTGGCAGTGACACAATGGTGATGATGATAGTGATAGTAACAGTGACATAATGGTGGTTATGACAATAACACAATGGTTGTGGTGGTGGTATAATGATAGTGGTAATGACGACGGTAGCACAATGATAGTAGTGACAACGACACAATGATGGTGGTGATGATGATGGTAATGGTGATGACACAATGGTCGTGGGGGGTAGTGGGTGTAGAGGTGATGGTATAATGGTAGTAATGACACAATGGTGATGACAATGGAGGTGGTGATGGTGATAATGACAGTGACACAATAGTAGTGGTTGCGGTGATGGTGGTTATAGCGGTGACACAATGGTAGTGGCAGTGGCGATGACACAATGGTGATGGTGACGACAATAACACAATGTTGGTGGTGGTGGATAGAGTGAAAATGCATTGATGATGCATTTGTCCATTATGAGAAATTGATAAAATTCTTACTAACATTTTCAACGTTAAGTGATAAGTAGGTGATTTGCTACTTAAAATTTTAGTTTATTTTTAAGAAGTGTTTAAAATATTAAGTGGTATGAATTTTAGGTTATCAAACAAATTTAATTCATTAATGCTCCGTTTGGTAGGAAGGATGAAAAGTAGAAAAGATGAAAAGAAGAAGATGAAAAGTGACTAATTTTTTTTTTAAAAAAAATTCGTGCTGACTAAGATTATGAGTGACAATCAAGTCGTGTCGTGTGAAATTCGTATTGAGTCATAAAATTATGAGCCTTTTTATATTTTTTGTTCAAGTATCAGGTTATTTTCAAGTTCGTATCAAGTTATAATCAAGTTTGTATTATAAAATTCGTGTCGATTTCGAGTCGTGTATTTTCATCCCTAGTTAAGATGAAAAGAATATTTTTTTAATTTTTTTTTAATATATATATATATATACTTATTTTCCTTCCTTACCAAACATAATGTTTTATTTATCCCTATAATTTTTCATCCTTCCAATTTTTCATCTTTCAATTTTTTCATCATACCAAATGGAGTATAAGTGTTTAAAGTATTCAGTTTTAAACTTTAATACTCTGTTTGGTAGCAAGGATGGAAAGTAGGAATAATACACTTTCTATCCTTCAAGAATGATAAATAGGAATAATTCACTTTCATTCCTTTATGTTTGGCTGGGTGGATGGAAAATAAAAATGATTAAATTTTTTTTAAATTTTTTTTTTGTGATGACTAAGATTAGTGTTGACAATCTAGTCGTGCCGTGTCAGATTCGTATTGAGTCATAAAATTATAAATTTTTTATATTTCTTGTTCGCGTGTCAGGTAATTTTTAAGTTCGTGTCGAGTTATAATCAAGTTTGTGTCATAAAATTTGTGTCGAGTTTGAGTCGTGTCATCGTGTTGAATCAAAAATTTTCACCCCTAGTTAAGATGAAAAAATATATATTTTTAATTTAAAATTTATATTTTTATATAAAATTAATGTATACATAATATATATAGACAAATAAGATATATCTCAACACAAATAATTAACTTTTCATCCACTTTTCTTCCGATTTTGGAGGGATTGATTTTGGTGAGTTAGAAGGAAAGTTAATTCATCTATTTTTCCATCTTTCATACTTTCTTTTCTTATCAAATATAATATTTTATCTATCCCTCAAACTTTTCATTATACGAAATGGAACATAAGTGGTGATCGACTTATATATATATATATATATATATATATATATATATATATATTATTGAAAATATTGTGAAAAAAATAAATTAAAGAATATGTTAATCAATATTCTCGTAATTAACTTAGAGCGTTTGTTCATCTTCTCACCAAACTCGAGGATAGCTTGAAAAAATTAGTCATGCAAGAAATTGAAAGCCAAATAAATAAAAGCAATATTATTGGGATTTAATTCATTAATCTAATATGCTGATTTAATTCATTATGACATTTAGATTCATTGTGGAGCCCATCAAATATTGAAATTTGTTACTGATTTAATGATTTTAATGCAGCCACATTATTAGGTCAACAAATTATATCAAATTTTTAGGTCCAAATAAAATTATTCAATAAATAATATTGTAACTTAATTGCAACCTATCCCATAAACGCAAAGTTTGGTTGGCAGATATGTGACTCCAATGAAGCAATTGAGAGCCTTCGTTTCGCACGTGCAAGATGATAGAACGAAAGTGGAGAGGGTGCGTAGCGTGTTATCCTGCGCACATACTTGCAGCATAACCGTGTCTTTGTGTAGAAGAAGAGGGGGAAAATAAAAACGAAGCGGAAGAGAGAGAAAGAGAGAGTCTGACTCGGAAGTGGGACTGAGTCGGGTCACCGAGGCAACAAAAAATCACAGGTGCTACGTATTGTATGTGATTTGTGAATAAGGGAAAAATGGAGAAGATTACGAGTCCTCTTTGCCTTTACAACTATGCTCATTCTCATCGTACTGACCACCCCCAAATCTCTAACCCTAACCCGAACGAACCATTATACATATCTTTCTCTTTCTCTCTCCTCTCACCGATCCATTCTGTTCTCAATAATATCGGCTCGCCTTTTCTCTCCCTTATCTATATATCTGAAACGCTCCTTCGCTTTTCTTTGTCCGCAAGGTTTTCAATTCATCTCCACGGTGACGCCTCGTTTTCAAATTGCCTTCAATCCACGAGGTATCTTTTTATGGAGTCTTTATCTCGCTTATGTTTCTGTTGATATGTGCCGGTTTTCTGGTAGGCGTGGTCTGTTGAAATCTTTTTTTGGTATCTGGTTTCTATATGTAGCCGCTGTGATCGATAATTGTGTAGGCGTTTGTGTGTGTTTATTTGATTTTTTTTTGTTTCATGTGGGGTTCTGTGTTGGTTTGATGAATGTGGGGTTCGCCGATTTTATTTGGAGATTTATTTGAGTTCTTGTATCACCTGGTTGGTGGATTGATAGAACTTGAAAGATGTCCATTCGTCTTTGTTGACTTACTTCTGTTATTGTTCTGTGTTTTTTAGGTTTTCTGTGTTTTTTAGGTTTTTTTTTGAGAACTTAGAAGTGATGTTTGCTCTTATTGTTACTGGATTTTCTTTATATTTTTGTCATGGAATGTATCAAATTTTGGTGGATTACTTTCTTGTTGGATCTAATGCATCGATGATGGGTTATTGCCTGCTCTCTTGTGTATATTGGTGGGTTTGTTTTTCTCAAGCCTTCGATTACAAGTTTTGACTAATTCATCATATATGCTGGTTTATTTTGCTTCGCCCAACCTTCATATGTGAATGTATTGGTCACTGGCAGTTCCTTTGTTAATGTTTATCTCTTCTGATTTTCCATTGTGATCAATTCTGGTTTTCTTTACTTCTTTTTGGGTATGTATGCTTGTAAATAATTTCCTTTTTTTGTTTGTTCTTTGGGTTCTTACATGAAGGGGATTACCTTTAACCTAGTTCTCAAGAATCTGTCTGACAAGATGCTTACTGTTCTTATATCTTGGGTGCAGGTGTGCAGCATTTTCTACCTTGCTGAAATACCTAGCACTTATACGTTCCTTTCATCTTAGTGTCTGGTCAGTACTCGCATCACAGGAATTGGGCTTTAGTATATCTGAGTCCGATGGATGAGTTTGGTGGACCCCGGTTTGATGTTATTGTGAATACTATAAGAAAGAAGAGGAGCCAAACTTCTCGCAGACCCAGACCTGAGCCTCAGCCGTTCCCAGAGAGTTGTGATCGGTCACCATCATCATTGACGCCGCCTTCAGATGATGTGAGCAAGGTGTCTAGTGATGAGAATACTGGATGTGATGCTAATTCTAAGAGGAAAGTGTTCAACCTTAATCAGTGTGCTTCAAGGGGTTTTTACACTACTAAGACTGAAGGTGAATATCACAAAAAGATTAAGAATGAGGATGGGGGATCCAATGTATCATATGGTAATGGAGGTCTGGGAGACGGATTTGGGAATGATAACAAGTTAAAAAAGCTTAAGCTTAAGGTTGGTGGTGTGACACGTACAATTCAAACCACCCATAGTGCATCAGGCAGTGGGTCTTCCACAAAGAGTGCGCGTTCTGCAAATGGTCCTCGGTCACGGCAGAAGCTGATTATCCAGGTTTATTACGGTTGTTAATTGTCAACTTACAAGTTATTGAACCTTCTGCGGGCACTCAAGCTTGTATTGATCCAATTCGAGCTTAGTGTTGCTTTGCCAAAGTGACGGTTTGTCATGTTGTTTGTACTATATGTTTATTGGGAGATTAAGGCACAATAATTGGGAAATGTATTTCATGTTATTCTTGTACTCGTTTTCTATTTTGTTTTATGTAAAGAGTAGCATAAATGGTGTAAGAGAATGAAAACTAAGTACATGTTCTTTGTTGATTTATTTTCCAAACGAATGACACAAATTTACCCTAAGTGAGCAAATTGTAATCGACGGTTTTGATGAGCTAATATCTTCTAGTCCTATTGGCAAATCCAGAATTTGTGCTTAAATATTTCTAATTCCATTGCATTCGGTTCAGCAACCAATTGCTCAAATGTTCTTTGGCCCAAAATTAAGTAAAAAGCTTGTTAGAAATTTGAAGTTGCAACTGCTCGACAAGTGTAACTGACAGATTTTCTAATTAACATACGCGGGATTCATCTATAGGACAGCCTATTCGTTGAGCTACTTGTATAGCAGGATAATATTTTGCATTTATTCATGTCGATTGTCATTTAATGCTTTATTGTAATTCGAATCCATCGAATCTTTCCATTTAACTTCCTTTTTGTTTTTTCTTTTAAATTTAGGATTATTCGGATGAAGACCATTCCCCAACTCTAGATAGGAAGAGCGGCTTACAAGGACTTCCGTGGAAGAATTTCTCTAGGGGTGGTATTGGTCTGGGGAAGGAGGATTCATTGATGGGGAAGAATTCTGGAAAGAATGTATCTGAAAAGCGGGGAGAGAAGTTGGATCCAGTTCGTAAGAGCAAGAGGGTTCCAAAGAGGCGTGTTTTGCAGGGAGCTTTTGAGGAAGATGATGAAGATGATGAGATTCGATACCTGGAAAAGCTCAAAACTTCCAAGGCTGCTTCAGGATATAAAGATTTTGAGGAAGAATCAACCAAGAAGCAAAGAAGTCTTTCTAGGGTTTCTAAGGGTGGTAAGTCTGAAAATTTGGAAGATTTTGGTTCTGTGAGGTCTGTTAAAGATGGTAAGAAATCCAGATCTGAGAGAGTTACTGATGACACAGATTATGAGGAGGAAGAATTGTTGTCTGATGGTGAGCCGGAAGGAATGAAAACGAAGAAACAAAGGGAGGATCCCTCTGATTCACCAACAGAAAGTAAGAGGGAAATGACTCTAACAACTCGCCAACGCGCACTTCTATCTGGCAAGGATGCCTCTTCTGCCTCTGGTGCAAGTCAAATTGAGTTCCCAAATGGTTTACCACCGCCCCCACCTCGAAGTGAGTATCAATTGTGTTTTTATTTAATACCTGATGTACTGTTTGAGTATTAATTTTTAATTCATTGAGATTGTATCGTCTTGTTTGTTTTGTTATAGAACAAAAGGAAAAACTTTCAGAAGTGGAGCAGCAGCTGAAGAAAGTCGAGGCTGCTCAGAGACGTAGAGTGCAAAATGAGAAGGCGGCTCGGGAATCAGAGGTTTGCCTTTTGCTGATTTATGTTCTATGTTATTTAGTTTTTTTGTTGTGGAAATGATTAGTCAATTGATTTCTTAGGCCGAGGCAATTAGGAAAATACTGGGTCAAGATTCCAGCAGAAAGAAGCGAGAAGATAAAATAAAGAGGAGGCAGGAAGAGCTGGCACAGGTGCTGTACACCTGCTTTTAAGCAGCTTTTTGTTGAAGTTTTAACGTTGTCAATGGTTTAATCTACTAACAAGTTTTGTCTTTCAGGAGAAGGCTGCCAATGCACAGATGCTTCCAGCAAACACCATTAGATGGGTTATTGGCCCTACTGGGACTGTTGTTACATTTCCGAAGGAAATGGGTTTGCCTCATATTTTTGATCCTAAACCTTGCAGGTAGGAATCCTTCCTTACTACCCCTCAACCAACATTGAACGATTTTTTGTAAGGTGTTTAATCACAGTTACCATTACCCACCAGCCCAAAAAGTGCAAAACTATATGTTCTTTGATTTTTGTGGGTTTGTGATGCTAGTTTGCTGACGGTTTAAGGTTTCTTGATGTGGACTTGCAGTTATCCTCCTCCACGCGAAAAATGTGCTGGCCCATCTTGTACCAACCCGTACAAGTATCGGGATTCCAAGTCAAAGCTTCCTCTTTGCAGTCTCCAGTGTTACAAGGCAATTCATGAAAAGATGCAGTCCGAAACTGCATGTTAATGATGTAGTTCATGTAGCTATCCGTCTACATATTGTTAATAATCTTGGAGAACAGTGAAGAAACATTGTTTTTATATCCTAATCTAAAGAGACAAGTAGGATTTGTAATTATTCCAGCACCGGAATTTATAGCTGGAAATATTTCATAGACAAAAAATCATTTTTAGTTGCTGGTAAAATGATCATCCTTTCGCCCTCTACTCTTTTTCTGGGTTGCCCATGTGGGCTGTTTTGTCTAAGTTCAGAAGTTGTTGATAGCTTTGGTCAGGTGCACCGTATCTGTGGTGGATTAATGCATTATTCTTTATGCTTGAGATCTCTTTTAAAAATTATTTGCTAGGGTAGATCTTCAGACAGTACTGTAGTATGATACACAGGCTTGTATATTTGCTGAAATTCTCTCTTTAATCATTGTATGCATATAGGTATGTACCAGCTTTCATCAATTTTCTCCCCTGAAGAACATTTGCATTATATTTCCAGTTTTTATGTTACAATCTATGATGTATGCTTGCCAGATTCTCTTTACATGCAAGCTCATGTTTATCGGTTTTGTTGTCTTCTTCCTTTGTGACAACAAAGTGAGATTGTTGTATAGTAGTTGATTGACACCTTTCTGACATGCAGATATGGTTATGTTTGAGTTGCTAGCTTTCCTTAAAGCTAGAGTTACTTGTTTTTGTCAGTCTTCAATTCCCTAGCTGCTGTTTGGTTGATTTAGTCGGTAGAAGGTTTTTGCTAATAGTCCGATGAATATTGACTTCCTTTTAGGGACAATGTGAATCGAGTGTTTGTTTAGCCAGCTTGTTTTAGACGCCTTCACTTTCCTGAATTGTGGGGAATTTTTATTTGCAACTCTTTTTGGTACATAGAACATGTGGTGTTAAATGTACCAAAAAAAAAAACGTGGTGTTACTCCTAAAAGGTTATATATATGGGACATCTTTGTATGGTCTTCACCATGGGAAAGCATGTGAAGTTGCCACCAGTTGGCTGTGGCTACTTCGGCTTTATTGATTTCAAATATTGGGTCGCTGAAGGTTAGAAAAATAAGTGCTTGTGCAATTTGATTTTGTTTTTGAAATGTGCTTGGGAATGAGTTACCAAAGTGTGATATTCAGAAGCCACTGGCAAAAAGAACGTTTTAATACATTATAAAACACTTTACATGTTAGAATTTGTTTTTTTAAACAAAATGAATGTGTCTCTGTTTTGATAGTAGATGTATCGTTTTTGATACGGGGATTGAACCATCCTCCACTTCATCTTTGACATTTTTCATGTTTAAAAATTAAAAAGTATAGCTTGAGAAGCGGCATAAAAGAGATTAAATTGAACATCTAAGGGTGACCGTTCAATAGAGGATGTATTTATTAATCATAACTCAATATATTTTACTAGTCTTATTGTTAATTCGACTTGTTTATTAATTAAATATTTCTATTGTACACAAACCACATTTAGCTAAAAAATCTAGGGTTTAATCTTATTTTGCACCCTAAAAGATTGTTCAAATCTCAATTTGCACCCTCAAAGATTAAAATTTTAATTTACACCCTCAAAGATAAATAATTTTTTTAATTTTATAAAGATTTGTACCTAACTAACTATTTTTTTAAATGATACTAATTAAATAGTTTATCCTGTTAAGATTAAATTATTCATATTTAATAACAACTTGAAGTCATTAATTATTATCATTAACCACTCGTATTATTTTTAACCTACTATCACACGACCATGGCGGTGTTTCGGGTCATGAGTCGGGGCATTTTTTTTTTTTGGGGGGGGGGAGGGGAGGGAGTTTTAACCCATGACTTCGAGAAGGTAAGCCTTCACAAGGTGAGTCGGGGCATTTTACAGCTGAGAGTGGGAGGGCCTTTTAGATCCTTTCTCACCCCGTCGCCGCCATTAGCCCGCGAAGTTTGAAAGAAACGCCTCTAAATTTAGCGCAACTCTCGAATTATGCAATGGCTCTTCCGTGCGTGTCGTCTCTCAGATTCAACTATTCTCTCCTGTTCTCTTCCACAAATCCTAGCTCCTCTTCTTCCTGTTCCGAGGTTAGAACCCTCTCCCTGCCCTTCGAACCACTTCGATCCAGGTATTCTTTCTCATTTATCCTCTTTCCACTAGTTGCCTTTTGGTTTGAGACTTCTATTATTTGCAGGAAATTAAATAAATTAGTATCTGGTAATCGGAAGAATCTCCGTAGTTCTTCAGCGAAGGCTGTCTATTCCGGTGAAGTTTGGGCGGCCGGAAAGAGTTCACCGCGGGGTATTTGGTCCATTAGGTAAGGTTTCCGTGATAAACCTTTGTTTTTCGTTGTTGTTTGAATCCTCTTATTTTTACTTCTTGATGAATTCGAATGTTTAGGGAGGACTTGCAAGTTCCATCTTCCCCATACTTGTTGGCGTCCGCGCAAGGAGGACAAGGACCGCCTCCGATGGTGCAAGAGCGGTTCCAGAGTGTTATCAGTCAACTTTTTCAATATGTAAACGATTGTTCTTAGTTTTCTTTTTTATATTGACACTACCACTTGAGTTTTAAGAATTAAACTGTTGGTGGTACTTCCTTGGAATATTAGAGAATAATACGTTGTGGAGGAGCTGTTGATGATGATATGGCAAACATTATAGTTGCTCAGCTTCTCTATCTTGATGCTGTTGATCCTAACAAGGTCTGTTTCATTCATTTATATAAAATTTTGGATTGTGCCGATGGAAAAATCTTTTGTTTTATTGATATTCCTGAATTTTCCTTAAACTCAACTGTGTTGTCATCTTTCATGCTTGATTGTATTCCAAAATCTCCTCTAAACTCAACTGTCGGCAACTACTTGGGGTAAGTTTTGTTGTGTTGAGTTGAGATGAGCAGGTTTCTTATATAAATTGAAAACCTCTAATGAAATAAAGAAAAATAACAGTCTCATATCATGAAATGGTAAAATCATTATGCAGGGTAAACAGTGGTGACTTAATGGCCTGTTCTTTGTTTTTAGTTTTTTTACATCTATTATGCATGGAACCTCAAAATGCAGCCCTACTCAACTAGTTTACAATATTGAGGCTTGAGAACAATTTTTTTTTTATGTGTACTGCTGGTTGTTTTTAGTTTTTTTTACATCCATTATGTAAGTCTACATGGAACCTCAAAATGCATCCTTACTCAACTAGTTTGCAATATTGAGGCTTGAGAACATTTTTTTTTGTTTGTGTACTGGTGGTGATTATTTTTAAAAATCTTTCAGTTTAGTCATTATTAAGTTGAATGTTAGGTGGGACTGGTTTATATATAGACCCGCTATAAGGAAAATCTTGCATGTGGCTGCTCTTAGAGTCGAACCTACTATCTTGTGGTTGCTAGCGAGAGTGTTCTAACATTTCTCTTGGAATTACTCTAATTAATTTTAATTTTACTTAAGACTTGTAAATAAAAATTCTCAAGGTTATATAAAGCAATGAAGAAATAGTCTTTTGCTAGCATACAATATTGCTTTAGGGCTTCTCAAGTTGGTGTTTGGATTGAATTTTTTTGTGAGAGTTTTCCTACCTCTCGTTACTAGAATTATATTATGATTAGACCATACTGCACTTATTGTAGTCATCCTCCTCGGATCCGTTCCGCACTCCCTCCAAAACAACCTACCAGTACACGGTTTTTTTTTCCTCTGGTTTCTGAAAAAAACAGACTGTCATTCTGATTTGAATTTTTAAGGAGTGAAAGGTCGTTGTAGATGTGATACACAAACCACATCTGACCTGATATTTTGTGCAGGATATTGTCATGTGTGTCAACTCTCCAGGAGGATCAGTTACAGCTGTTAACCTTTTTAAAAAAAAACTACTGCTTTGGCTTTCGGTGTTGATACTGTTCTATATAATGGGTGTGAACTCATATAACTGCTCTGTTTCTTTATAAATTATTAAATTCCACTTGGTTTCCTTTGATCTTCTTAGGTATGGCAATATTTGACACCATGAGGCATATCCGACCTGATGTTTCGAGTGTATGTGTTGGACTTGCGGCTAGGTAAAAGATTAATTGATACGGGATTTGTAATGTTTTGTGCTTACTGCTCAATACGATGCTGCTATGTTTAGTATTTCTTCTCAATTCTTCCTCCTTCGGCTCCTCCTTGTTTGACCTGGCAAATGACTATGTTTTGTCGTTTATATAAGACTTTGACAAGTAGAGCAGAGAGTCTGTGCTATTAATTAGTAACAGAACCTTTGGATGTAGAACTTATGGATAAACTTGTAATCTATACGTTGAAGTTATGCTAGAATTGCAGGTATTTTATTTATGGTAAATTTGTTTATATTCATGTATTTCTCCCATTTCTAATGCGTCAATAAGCTTAAGAAAAAGTCGGTGGTTCTAGTGGGTTTAATATGCTTAAAATAGGGGTCACATTAAAATGATTCAAAGAGAAGGGGGTACTTAGAAAATTTATTATGTATGAGGGAGTTACGTTTTAAAATTATGATCAGTGGAGTAATTAGAGAATGAGGCCCCCTTGTTCTCCATTTTGTCTGACAAACTATAACAAATAAGAGGCTATTGTTGTATCATTTTGACCATTATCCGTTTCTCCGTGTCAGGAAATTGAAGCCAATCAGGGTTTTCCCCCTGAGCATGGCTGCAGCAGATTGGGATCGTCCCTTATTACCCCTATCTGCTGATTTTTAGCTCTTCCCCACCCTCCCTTCTTTTCTATTCTTCAGACAATAAGCCATGGTTCAAGGTTCAGAGGCTTAATGTGGCCTTCTTTCACTTCAGCTCTTTGTTTGCTGCAGCTTTTGTTCACTAAGAGCTTTGCAAATGAGTGTTGATTCGCGGTCACATAGCCCTCACATTAGTTTTGCTGTGTTCTGCAAATGATAGCCTGCAGTTGTTTCCCTGGTTTGGAATCTTTAGTTTTAGTGCTGAGTAGAATTTTGTTTGTTCTATAGGTCCTCCATACAGTTGATGGAGTACAACCTGCAATTGGGTTGCAGTGTTGCGGGTCTGGTTTTTGATGCTTTATAGTGGATAGTTTTATAGTGGATAGTTTTCTGCCAATAAAAACCGAAAGTTTTGTTGCGAGTAACCTTGAAGTTCTATAAGAAGCAAATTCAGTCTTATCAAAAAATAAGAAACAATTGAGGTAATTTCAAGGATCAAAATATTGTTTTGAAATGTCCAAAATGTTTCCGTTTTCAAGTAGACTGAAACGAATTAGTGATGAAATCGAAATTATAGTATTTCTAGGTATTTCATAATGTTTCAAGATTTTTTATAATATTTCAATGTATTTGCACAATTATTTCGGAATGTCTCAAGATATGTCAAGATATTTTGATATATTTTGATTTATGTTTTAGAAAAATAATTTTTAAATTTTTTATTTTTTCATTATGTTTCCGAAACGAGTCGAAACGTTTTAGAAACACGTCCAAACGTTTCCGTTTCCTAGGTGACCGAAACAATACACTAAAACGAAATTTTGATCCTTGGATAGTTTCAAGTCTTCTATGAATGTATAGAGCTTATTCTATGTTTTAGTGGCAGATATAGAAATGTTATAAATAGTCAAAATCTCTTCGTGCAACCTGTTAGAAACATAGATCACGAAAAGTACTTCATGAAGTTCTTTTTCTATGCTCTTTTTGTACGATGATTGGCTAGGTATTTGTTCTCTCATATTATCTCTATCCTATGCACCGATTCCAATTCCAGCATTTGATTTTTTATAATTGTCGGATCAACGGTATATTGCATATCTTTGTTGTTAGTCATAGTCACAAAAATATTGAAATTTAATATTGGTCGTATTCTTTTGCCTTTTGAACAGCATGGGTGCTTTCCTGCTCAGTGCTGGCACCAAAGGTACATATTTTGGCTTTTGTTTTCAGGGGTATTGAATTCATTAACGGGGAATTTTCTTGTTGACATCACTGTGTGTTGGTTCCTTCTTCACAACAATTACTGAAGGAAAGAGATATAGCCTTCCAAACTCAAGGATAATGATACATCAGCCTCTTGGTGGAGCACAAGGTGGACAGCGGACATAGATATTCAGGTATGTGATTGTCCATCGTTTCTTACTAGGGCTTGTTGTTGATTTGTCTGTTACGTAAAGGGTATCTATTTAAGATAGCAGACACATTAAAATGCCTGTGATCTTCAGAAAAATTAGACGCGTAGACACGTTTTGAGGAAGTATGCTGTTTGTAAATATGGACATTCTTGAGGGCATTGTGGGCAGCAATTTGTATTGAACTAGTCCCATTTTTCTTTAAATCAGCTTGTCAGTTGCCCCCCCCCCCCCCGCGTGCATATTTGATTTTCTTTATCTTGTATTTAGGACCTTTGACAATTCAATGCTTTTATTAGCACTTTCTTGATAATTCCATTTCTCGTATGCTCATTGTCATCTGGTGTATATTTTTCCTTTCAAGATCCATAAAAATAGCAGTTAGGGATGTCCTCATGTCTTAAGAGATGTGGAAAGCAAAAGAGTGCTGTCATTTTCATGGTACCTTGAGATGGAACTTCAGTCAATGACAGTGTTCTTGAGACAGCAGAAATTCTCCACCACTGTTATATTATACCTTCGACATTTTTTTGCATTGCTCATGTTCCTGATTGGTAGTTAGCCCGTTGTTGCTTAGGCTAATGAAATGTTGCAACACAAAGCAAACTTGAATGGATATCTGTCCCACCACACTGGTCAAAGCCTAGAGAAGATCAATCAGGATACTGACCGAGACTTTTTCATGAGTGCTAAAGAAGCCAAAGAATATGGGCTTATAGATGGTGTCATCATGAACCCTCTCAAAGCTCTCCAGCCTCTGGCATCTACTTCAGATCAGTAATGGTGACCATGCTCGGTGAATAAACTTTACCCAATCTTATGCATGAAATTAAACAGCTACACTGTAGTGTCTGTCTGATGGAGAAAAAAGGAAAATGATGTTACGCTACATTTTCTTTGATGCTGAATGATGTTATTTAAATGGACCACACGTTACATGAAAACAGTTTTGCTTTGGGTTCCATTTCCAGTGAGGTTGAGATATAGATCATAATCTAAAATGTTGCAACCTTCCCTTAAGCTCCTCTGTTTGCCTTGATGCTTTTGCTGCTTCTCATCATTTTGCTCCAACAAACCTAATTCTTTGATCTGGTGAAAACTCCAGGTTATCCTTTTCTTCCAAATCATTCTAGTATCCGATCCTGCACTAAACCAGGTTGGAAGTCAAGATTGCCTGAGTTTCTAGGTTCCCTCAACTCTTCTTTACCCAGGCAAGAAACACCCCACCCTCCCCCACACAAAAAAAAAAGAGTGAGAAAAGGAGCAAGCGAAATGACCCTTCAATGTGTCTTCTAGAGTGCCCAGCATCTGCTTCCCCATGTATTTTTAGAGGGTGGCCAAGCAATAAAACTTTGAATGTTCTAGTTTGTTCTAGGAATTTAGGGTGACCTTATTTTACTGCCTTTGTAAGCTGTCTGAGGCTTTCTTTGGAGGTTTCAAAGGACAAGAGCCGAAGGAAAGAAAGAGAAAGGGGAAAAAGTATACCATTGCGGGGTGACTCTAATTTCTTGAACGTTCTGGTAGACGGTTGTTGCCTTGCTTGAAAGTGTCTTGGTGACCAAAACAAGTCAGAAGTTGCTGCGGTGAAGTGTGTTCTTTGAAACAAGCATCCATTATAGTAATTCATGGGTTGAGAACTCGTTTGAGAGTAATGACAATTATAATCAAACTACCTTGTCTTACAACAGAAACAGGTTTATCATCAATTTTTTGACCCGTGGGACAGCATTCTAATGGAAATGATTATTCGATTATGATAATTGTGATTGTAGGCTTTTTGCTTGTTTAATGAAGCTCTTCTATCTGCCTAGAAAAGGATAAGAAATAAGAATAGAACAATATCACACCTTTCTCTAAACATAAAATTCATGGATTTTTCAATTTACTGCAAAATTTATTTTATTTGTGTTAGTTTTTTTTGTACATATCCCATAAATGGCTCTATAGATACCCAGAATAAATATCAATTTTAAGCGTTTATTTATTCATCTGATGTCTTAGTTCGAACATAATCCTTGCTAAATAGATGCCTTACAGCAAAAATATAAATGAAAACTTGGAAAAATAAATGGAAAACCTGTAAAAGACCAACTCTGATGGTATCTGTGCAAGTTTTTAACTGGCAGTATGGCTTTGCTGAAGGAAACCCCCCTTACGGAATAGGAAAAGAGAGAGATTTTTTTTTCCAATTTTTTTTAATGGTTTTCTATTTCTAACTGTTTATATATATATTTTTAGTTTTAATGAAGGTATAGTAGTTTCATTGCATATTGATGATTTCAGCACAACATGGTCGGTGAACCAAAGGCCAACTCTCTAAATGATAATGATTGCTAGTTGGCTTGGAATTTCAAGGGTTTCTATGTAATTTCATAGACTTCAAATGATAAAGTGAAATAAATATAAAGTTAAGAGGGCAATTTTTATAGTTTACCGTTAATAACACCAGTAAGGCTGATGGGGAGAGTGTCCAATCCAATCCAATTCAAGGTTTGGCTTATGTTTAGGCACGTGTGCGTAGAGGAGTGTGAAAATAGATTTGTAGTAGCTGACAAAATGAAGACTTTGTGGAATCTTATGCAACAACCTCATCCACGGAAAAAAAAGATCTGTTGCTTTCTAGATTTGGCATTTTATAAAGGGGATCTGTAACTGGTAAGTGGTAACGCAGAGTGAGGGTAGTCCCGTGGGGGTATCCACTGAATTTTTCACTTTGTGGTTAAAGGTTTTAAGTTTACATTGGAGTTGATAGTTAACCGTTAGACTAGATTCATTTTTAAAAGAAGTAATGGGCGCAGTTAAAAATCTCATGATTTTAATAGTGAGCGCTCTTTTTTGCATCTATCCCTTTTGTCAATAACAAAAAAAAATAAAAATAAAAAATTTGGCAACGCGTCGACGGTTCACCAGAACCATTTCCGTCCCTCCCTCCCTGTGTCTAGCTGGCTTCTAGCTACAAGAAAATGCCAGAAAAACATCCTCTCTTTCGCCTAGTGTACACTACTTCAAGCAAAAAGGTAGCCTCAATCTCTCAAACATCTTTTAGCACTGTTCTCGTGCTAGCCATTGTCTTCTTCGAATTTTCATATACCAATGGGCAGCATTACGGATATACTTTTTTTTTAGTGACGTGTTTTCATTATTTCACTTATCGGCATTCATTTTGCATTCAATGAATATAAATGATTTAAATCAAAATTACAGTCAAATATGATTTTTTGATGTGGTATTGAAATATTATTTTTTGATACCATGGGTAATCTATGCAACCACCACCATTTAGTCTTTTATAAGTTTCTTTTTCTCTTATATCTGTGTGTGTGTGTGTGTGTGTGTGTGGTTAGTAGTGATTGGAGAGCATTAAACGCATGGCTACAGAAAACATCCTACCACTAATCTAACTTTTGCTTTTGGTGGGGGCACCATTTCCAATCTTTAAGCCAAAAAATGAATATTAATATTAGAAGCAGCATGTATTTTCAGTTTGGGGTTTGATTGCTTTTGAGACATACTATGTGAAATTACCAGTAAAGCGCTCTAATGTTTTTGGAAGCAAGAAAGTTGCTGCTAACGAACTACAGCACTGGCTACATTGTATATGAACAATTAATTACATTTTGTATTAAGTCACATAGAGAAGCATTAAAAGCTAGCACGCACTTATTAGATCAAGAAGGATGAACAAGAATCCTTTCCTCGAAGAAATTGCTCCTCGTGAAGCTTGAGAAATATGAAGATGAGGGTAATTCTTCAAGCTCGTCATAGAAGTCATTTTCCTCTGATTGGGGCGTTGTGAAGGTTCCAAGATGAGGATAAGAGAGGGGCTCTTCATGTAAGAGGACGCTTGGAGAGTTATATGTACTCTCTAGGTTTTCTGGAAAAGGGTTATCTTCTTGATTGATAATGATGTCTTGGGAGCTATTGAATGGAGACTTGGAGTAATGGAATTGATCTTCACTTTCTCCTTCATGACCGTTGATGAGAGGTTGTTGCTCTTGTTTTTGTTCTTGTTTTGGGGTTGTAGGATGGTCCTCGGTGAGTGGGGTTTGGTGTTCTTCTTCTGCCTGTTGAGTCTGGTTGGTGGTCGGAAGGTCAGGGCCTGGATGATTATGACTGCAAGTGTAAGTGATGATGAGCATCGAAGCATCTGTTCTGCATCTCTCTACTTGTTTTTTGGCTGAACAACCCTTTGATGTGCTACATTTGTAGTAACCCCTGCAGGAATCAAGTATATGAGAGAGAGAAGCATTTTCTGGCCACTTGGGGGAAACTTGTAGTGTGAAGGGAAAGAGAAGCCACAAATCATGATAAGTAGACACATGAAAAAAGGAGTAAAGATACTCTCTTTGGAAAACTCGATCGTAATACCGGAAGAGGAAAAGAAAAAGAAAAATAGAAGCCCATCAACAAGAAAAACTAGGTTTGCTACCAAATTCAGGACGTAGGGAGAGAGAGAGAGAACCTGGGATAAGGAGATCCTTTAATTGGTTTTTGTCCATATTTTCTCCAAGACCAACAATCAGAAGGCGGTCCTTCACTCTTCTGTTTCCCTTCATTTGCTTCAATCTTCACAGTGACCACTGTCTTTTGAACCACCTTTCTGTTACCGCATTAAGGAGAAAAGAAAACTGTTGGTTAGAAGTTTCCAATTATTTGTAATGAATATTTGGAATCAACCAGAGATGATCGCTAACTTTTTCCTTCTTTTTTTTTGGGAAGGGGAGAGGGGAGGGGGGGAAGAAAAAACACATCTTGCAAGTTCGAATCCCAAATTTTCATGCCATCAAAACCTCTAAGAAAAATTACATAACATTTACCTTTTCTTGGATGTCCGAGTTTCTGGTTTAAGTTCTTTTGAACTATCTGAGTCCAAACGTGTAGATTGATGGCCATCCATGACTGAATTATTTGTTGTTCTTCTTCTTCTTCTCTGTGTTAAAGGCTAAAAATGTTGGAGACAGAGAGTTGTTGAGGAGATGGAGTTGCAGAAGCAGCAATAAATAAAGAAAGAGATAGATATTGAACTCCAATTGATTAGGAGAGAGAAAGAGAAAGAAAAAGGAGAGGACGATAAGCAAGAGATGACAAACACCCACAAGTTGCTTTCTCTCTTTCTTTTCACTCATTAAGTCCAAAGCTACACTTAGGTTTGCATTTCACCAGCCCCACTACCCTCACAAACATTTAACTATAGTACACATTTGTTTAGCATTATTATTCACTTATTTGGTTGTATATACTAAGTTGCTATCCCATGAAGAAAAATGCAAAAACCATGCGTCTCTTCTCTTGCCATAGTGGTGGTGGGTTCCAATTTCCTTGTGGAATCCTTCAGTGTTGTCGCTTGGAGACTATGTGGTTCGTCCGTATGCCAAATTCTCAAACTCCTTTTAACCAATTCCAACCCTTGAATCTACACGCTAATGAGTTACTTGCAAACACACGACATAGGGTCAGTGCCATGGCAATACTGGATTTGGTGGGGGTGATGTGTCATGACTCATGAGTGCATGCTTGTAACTCTTCATTTTTTTTTTAAGTGGAATCCTTCTAATACTCTCATTTGTAAGATTGATAATTGAGTTGAACTTTGCGAATTTGAGTCGAGTTTATCAAAAAATAAACTTCAAAAATTATTCAAGCTCGGCTTATTTCTTAAAACAAGCTGAACTCGAGTTGAGCCCAAGTAACTTTACTATTTTACATATAAACGAGTCAAATTTTGCGAGATCGAACCGAACCTTTTTAAACGAGTCCAAAAAATTATTCAAACTCGTCTCATTTAAAATACGAGCTAAATTCGAATTGAATCCTATTTTAGTCGAGATTGAGTAACTCGATTCAATTATCACTCCTAATCATTTCACTTATCAAAAACTAACACAGCGACAGACGCTGGTTTTCACAGTTTATGATTCATGTGGGTAATACTCAAGACAATGAGATATGTACAAAAGGATTAAATGATACGACATTGACATGGAAAATGAGTAGAAATGAGACCATAAACAGTGTCATTTTAGCAATACAATGTCCTTAATCTTATTTTTTTTTACCGGTTTAGCATTATTCAATCGCGTATGCTATCGTGAGGTACCATTTTTGTCCAGGGTGTTTTTGGTTTCGATTTTAAGTTTCACCATGTCATGTGCGTAGTATGGCTGAGAGTCACATGATAGGATGGCTTGCATAGCATAATAGTTTCCAACACCACTAATCCAATCTAGTCTTAGATAACTAAACCTTCTGTGTATAATCTTTGTGCACGAGTTGAATCCAATTCGAAATTAATTAGAGTATTTTTTTTATTTAATTCTCATAGATTTGTGGCTTGCTTTCGTCTTTTCTTACTAAGATAATTTTAATTGCGGCTTTTGACTCAAATATATTTTAGTTTTTATTAATAATCAGTAAAATGATCCAAGCTTTGAGGCAGCAAGGATCAAAATTTTTGTTTCAATCACTTAAAAAACAGAAACGTTTCGAGGTATTTCATAAACGTTTCGATCTATTGCAGAAATAGAATAAAAAATATAAAAATTTAAGAAGTATTTTTTCAAAATTTTGGTTGAATTATATCAAAGTATCTTGAAATATTTTAAAACATTATGAAATAATTGTGCAAATACATTGAAACATTAAAAAATATCACGAAATGTTATAAAATACCACAAAATATTAGAATCTTAAAAACAAAAACGTTTCGATCGTTTTAAAACGAAATTTTGATTGTTGTGAATTGAAGCAATGGCAGTTTCGTTATTCAAGGTGGTCCGCATGCGAACAAAGCTAGCTCAACTGCACTGCCATGAGTTACACGTTAGGTCCATTCATCCTGTATATATATTGTTTTCAGTTGATTTTGATGGTTGTAATTTGAGGGAATCATCCAAAAAAGAAAGGCATGCATTGGTTAGGATTACTGAGTTGCCTCTAATCCAACTGAGCAACGACTCAATTGAACTCGCCAGTCATCAGGACTTTTGAGCAAGTTGCTGTGGCCCAACTGAGTCATGATGTGGACTACACCCTCTTAAATTTTATACATGCAAAAAATCTCAATGAATGATCATGATTGAGCCACCTTATTTACAGTAAATCAATGTGTGTAATTGGATTAGCGGCTTCTCTAACTTTCACTGATTTCATTCATTGCAGTATTGAGTTTGCTGGAGCTGATTTTTTTGAGTTCAAAATAGAGATTTAAAAAGTTAAATGCAAAAGTGAGAGTTAAAAAAATTATTGAACCGTTTGAAGTGATTTTGAAAAAATTCAATTGGAAGTCCTTGGATAAATTATATTTTTTAGTTTTTCCTAAACACTATTCTTACCTAAAAAATTAATAGAAAAGTTGCCTAATAAACTCGGGTTCAAACGGATCAAGTTTATTTTCCTCTGAAATTAAAAAAAATTAAGTTTTTAAACAGGTCCATTAAATTTGTTGATGGCGCTGACAACCGATAAGTCTTACTAGTTTTTCCTTGTTTCTAATAAAAGTTATTCTTGTCCAAAATATTGATGGAAAAGTCATCCAATAAGTCCGGGTCAAACGGATCACACTTTTTTTTTTCCTTTTAAAACAAAAAAAAAATTTAAGTTTTAAGTCAATTTTAAACAAGCCCATTAAATTAGTTGGGAGTTGTAAAGTGGGATGAAACCAATTTTTTTTTTTTTTTTTTGTAAAAAAAAAGTATTCTACAATACAGTGGACATATATAACTTCATGATATCACCATTCCTTCCTGAATAAAGTAGTTGTATTTCGCGTTGCTAACCATGATTTGTTAACCTTGGTGTAAACTCGTCTACTCCTACTACTACCTATGGTGGACACTGTTAAGATGTAAGCATCTTCTTAATGATTCAATCTGGTTGGCATGGAACTCGCCTGATAGGCTTACTTTCGTTTAATTCGATATTAATCATCTCATTCAAACATATACCTTTCTTTTTCTTTTAAAAATTTATTAGATGATATAGACTACTGAAAAAATATCAAAGTTTCTGACGTATGCGACTTTGTCGGAAACGCAATATTTTAGTTATTAATAATATATTGTGATTTTAAGTTTGAGACTCGTAGAAACACTTTAATTAATTAATGATTTATAAATTAGCGTCATATATTAACTAAGTCCAAAAAAAAATAAAAAATTCAAAATATCGCACGTTTGACTTGAGATAAGGATGGGACACCATAGTTGACCCATTTTATATTATAATGGATAGCAAGAATTATTAACAGATTCCTAGAGGTTTGTTATTTAATTACTCGTATTCTCGACCAACTAAGTCCATAACTATGGGTTCTAATACACGAGATCTTGTAGTACTTACCAACGAGACTCAATTGATTAGTATTACATAAAAGAAATTAATTATAGACACTAATACAATTAGATCTGTTATTCATAGACTATCTGAGATTTATACGTGCGTAACACTTAAACTCTTGTCGTCAGTGTCTGTTAATAAATTACACTCAAACCCTCTAAAATTTGTAAATTTATAATACTTAAACCCTTCAAGTTTAAAATGTTATATTTAGACAAAAAAAATACTCCAATTAAAGATATAATATTAAATATTTTAAATTTACAACCAAAATTTATGTTCTATTATGACATTTATTGGAATAAAATCAAAAATAAAAATTTAATTTTTTCTTTAAAAAATTATAATTAGTATACAATTATATGATCTATTAGAATTTAATTTGGTCATTTAAACGACCAAATTAAACTACCAAATTATCACAATTAAAGGTAGAAGATATTGTGTTCATAACAATTTGATCTCTTATTTGATTTTTTAATTTTATTCCAATAAATAGTATAGCTGTATACTGATTATGATTTTTTTTTAAAAAAAATAGATTTTTATTTTTTATTTATTTCGATAAATGACATAATAAAACATGAATTTTGGTTGTAAAATTCTTGTTCTATTATAAATGACTTAGACCCCTCATTTGATTTTTTTAGTTTTATTTCAATAAATAGTATAATTGTATACTAATTATGATTTTCTAAGAAAAAATTAGATTTTTATTTTTGATTTTATTTCAATAAATGACATAATAATTTATGTTCTATTATGAATGATTTAGACTCATTGTTTGATTTTTTAGTTTTATTCCAATAAATAGTATAATTGTATATTAATTACAATTTTTTTAAAAAAAATTGAATTTTTATAAATGATACAATTGAATATGAATTTCGGTTGTAAAATTTAAAATATTTGATATTCTATCTTTGATTAGAATATTTTTAATCTAAATATAATATTTTAAACTTGAGGAGTTTAAGTATTATACATCTATAAACTTCAAGGGTCTAAGTATAATTTAACAAACATTGATGGAATGACTCTAAGCGTTACGCGTGTACAACCTTTAGGGGTTTATATATAATATTTTAAATATTAAGAGGTCTGAGTGGGTAAGTGATAAATCTCAGAGGATCTTGATGTAATTCTCCCTAATAGATATAATAAAATTCAAAAATGTCAGCAAAGACACTTAAAAATAGATAATTCTACTTGCATCAAAATTTATATCAAATCAATTGCAATTATTAAATCAGTAATGAGACCCACTCATCCAACGACTGCAAGTGATTTAGTGTAAATTTTAGTGTATACTTTTGGTACACATATCATTGCTCCATTAAAATTAGGCATTTATCATATGGAGCATGCAGAGAGAAAGAGGCTTTATGAGACCTTTTTAAAGTGGACATTAACCCTATGCTTTGAATTGTCTAGCAAGCATCAAACTTACTGCTAATAAAAGACCATGGGCTGTATGTAAAAGGTACACAAAATGAAATTCATTGATGTTCAGAAAGTATAATAAATAGCCTTGATTTATTTCTTCCAAAGTCAGCTGAAAACTTGGAAAATGAAATCCATGGCTTGTGCAAGAATTTCAGAACTTCTGTGTTGAACAATTAAAATTAATAAAAAAGAAAAATCAAACACAGAAAATTCAGACAGTAGTGTTTTGGTAAAGGCAGCAAAAGTTCTTTTGACAATTTTTGTGGAAATTTTCTTTCTGTGTGACACAACTATTATACCGAAAAATAAATTTTTTTGGTATCATAATTTCACTTTTCTTACGAAAAAAGCGTAACACGGGTAAAGTTCTCGCATTGGTAAGGTACCAAATTGGTATGGTAACCTTATCCATGTTGTTAATACATGTTGGTAGTCTGAGTCTCTGACCTTATATGCCTGATGCCACGGCAGTAGGTCCCATGTCACAGCCCACAATAAGCAAATATTTCATGCTAATGAGGCTGTAAACATGCCTTGTCGGACATCATTTGGTGGCAGGTGAGGTGACCTTTCAGTTTCCAGTCACCTTCCATGCCTGAAAATAACCCTTCCGCGACTTATACACAACTGACCTTTATATTATGATGATCAGAATATATGTCAATGGTTTTTTTATATAGATTTACAAATGAAAATATATAAATTAATTGAAATTATTGGGTTGTTTCCCTTTGTATATGCAATAACATATGTAACCACCAGGATATGGAATGAGACCATGTCGTATGTCAACTGTCTAGCTCGTGGCAACAACCACTAATAATATTCCTTTAATTTTCTCCAAGTTCACAATTCTTCGTTTCATCAAATATATAGACCTCGTATTGTGTTCTTCCAACAATCTGTTTTTTTGTAGTTATTTTTGTTTTCGGATCAAATGGGTTGGAAGATATGGCAACAGAGTGAGAAGAAGCTGCTGGATTTTTATGCCACCTTGAGAGATCCCTTTCAAGTCCTTACAATCACCCTCCTCAGCCTCCTTCTCCCCCTCTCGTTCCTCCTCTTAGCTAGGCTCTCTACTGCTCATTATCTCCTAGCCTTTACGGCCTATTCTACGCCGCCACAATCCTCTCTCATATTCTCTCTCCTCCTCAACACCTATCCATTTCTTCTCCATGGACTTGTTTCAATCGTTAGTGTTACAACTTTTGTCCATTGCTCGACCGGTCGGCTAACGCCTATTACTGAATTACCGGCGCTGATGCTTCGACCTGGTTTGTACACTGCATGGATTTTGCTTTGCACTTTACAAGTTTGTGTTGGTTTGGGCATTGAAGGGACTATAGCTGCTGGCATTGATGGTTCTGACTTTGGTCAGGAGAGAAGTTTGCTAGGTAGAGTTATTTTCTTCCTGGGGTTACACGAGACGATGCTTTACTGGTCGAGAACCGTCGTGAAGCGGGTTGTTGATGACACGGTGTTTGGTTTTGCAAGGGAGGAGCGGTGGGTGGAAAGGGTGGCGATGGGTGCTAGCTTTGGTGTTTTGTGGTGGTGGAGGTTGAGAGGTGAGGTTGAGTCCCTGGTGGTTGTTGCTGAGGTTAAGAGAGAGCTGTTGATGGGTGTTGGTGTGGCTGACTTCGTTAGTTGGTGGTTGTATTACCTAACTGTGATGATTGGAATGGTAAGGTTGGTGAAGGGTCTTATTTGGCTCGGAATGATATTCCTTTGTAGGAGGGTTGAAGGAAGCCTTGGTGACCCCAGGCCAAACGTCGACGAAAAGGTTTGAATTGGACCCTTCCCTGCTGACGAAAAGGTTTGAATTGGTGAGCCCAGGCCAATCCTATGTTGTTCAGTTTTTTTTTGTTGTATTTGCAACCCACCATCTTATTCCAAACACTAATATATTCTTGTTCATACCACCAAGTAATGTCTTGTTCTATATATAAATATATGGAATCAGTTCCTTCAAGGAAGTTGACTGAGTTTCATGAAAACAACATAGAAAGCAGGCCACAACCATGAATACAAGGTCAGTTCCTATCTATATGTCATTGATGTAATTGACAATATTAAGGTCTTGAGTCTTTTTTTTTATATATTTTTCCTTTTTATGTTTGAGGGAGGGGGTGCAATATTTGCTTGCCTCCAACTCCAGCTCATAGGCTGGTCCCCTTGAACCACAAACCCAGGGCCTACAGGCAGGGTCGGCCCAATCATTCAATCATTAGGGCCCACTTTAAGGAAGACCCCCAAATTGTCTCAGGCCGCCCATGTCTACAGGTTTCAGGTCCAGCCGCCCCAAGCCAAGCACAGTCCCATATATGGCCTGCCAAGAAACTAACTGCTATATACGTCAAGATCACAACATAGGATAAACGGAAAATGATCTTCAAGGGCACTCCCAGCACACAGCCTTTTAATTTGTCGTGATAACATTGGAACTGAAGGAGAATCAAGAAATTGACATCATTTTTGCTGTAAAATTTGGTTCCAGAAACCACATTTTCTGGTCAATTGATCAATTGTGCATGTCCAACAACAAACTCATCTCTTTGATATTTCATAACCTTATACAATCAACTAATCATCGTCTTCAAGAATCATACATCCAGATCAAAAACTATAATTGACATTAATGGGCTAGGCCTAAGAACCCAACTCACATTATAAGTCTGGTCTGAGTTCATAGTCCAATTCCAAGAGGTCCAGCAAATTAAGTATAAAGTGCTCCACGCCCGGTTAAAATCATCAAGTTCAAGGAGCTACAACAGCGGGGAGTATGCAGGGTCATCCAAGAGTTTTATCCTCTTCCCCTTGGAAATAGTCAACACCCACGTCATCATTTAACCGAATCTCATGGAGAGCACCACAACTGCTTCGCTTGTTGAAAAGAGAACGTCGGCTCCAACAGACAAGCCACTTAAATACTAATATCTCACCCAAATTTGTTATGGGGCGCTTATAAATTGTGAGCTCCACCAACACTTGGGGAGCAGATCACACTCTGTTGAGCACGACTCTCTCCTCTCCCTCTCAGCCTGTAACTCTCTGCTCTCCTGCATACTTGAGTTAATAAAATACCCGACGACCCTAGCCATTCAAAAGTAGACGTAGGTCACATTGACCGAATCACTATAATTCTCGTCTTCTCTCTACTTTAATTACTGCATTTATTACTTATACTTGACAGGTGGTGCGCAAATCCAATTTGTGTATCATCAGTTTGGCGCCGTCTGTGACAAAGACAAAAAATTCTTACTTCTAAACATTATTTTTGTTGAATTTATGGCGATCACCACTAGATTCATGAATCAGCCTAAAGATAACCCACCACGAGAGGAGGAGGCTGCTCCTCCACCAACCAATCCTACCCCAAATGCACAACAGATGCTGGAGATCATGCAGCAGCTTGTGGCCCAGAACCAGCAGATCTTGCAATTGATGCTCGCTGGGCAAGGAAGAACACAACCTAGACCTTAAGTCAAAGGAGCTCCACGCCCTGGGCCTCAAGGAGCTCCCCACATAGGTGCTCCTCATCTGGGCTCCCACTTTGGAGCCCCCTTGGGCGTCCCGCACAAGGGAGCTGCCCACGAGGGACCTCCACCTCCTCCTCCAGCTCCCCCTTCTCATGGTGGAGATCCTCTTTTTCAAGAGGACGAGGGTGAGAACCAGAGCATGAAAGTCATTTTCAAGATAATTTCAAAGGAGCTCCTAACCACTGTGACCAAAAAATAAAAGAGGTGCAAATCAATTGGGCGACATCTTCAACGCTATGAAGGCACAAGGACCCGAGATAGTGGACTACTTTGTTAGGCAAACTGACACACCCTTCGTACCTGATGTGGCGAACTACTCGCTTCCCTAGAAGTTCAAAATGTCATCCGTCGAAACCTTTGACGGTACAAATGACCTACTTGATCACCTTAAAACCTACAAGACCTTAATGCAGTTGCACAACGTCCCTGACAAAATTATGTGTAGGGATTTCCCAACTATTTTGAAGGGATTAGCGCGACAATGGTTCGTCAAACTCACCCCGGCTTCCATAGGCTCCTTCATCGAACTGAGCAGATCCTTTGTGACACAGTTCACTGGTGGGCGCTGCCAACAGAAGCCTATCACCCATTTGCTCAGCATAAAATAGGATCGAGGTGAGATTCTAAGGAGTTACCTCACTTGTTTTAACGAGGAGGTCCTCCAAATTGAGAAGTCCAACGACAAAGTCACCATGACCGCCTTCCTGAGAGGCCTCTGCTCATCGAATTTCCTCTTTTCAGTAATGAAGTGACTACCAAAGAGCATGTCAGAACTATTGACAAAAGCTCAAAAATATATGAATACTGAGGAAATCAACAGGTCTAGGCGAGGTGAATCATCTCGTGAATCGCCAAAAGCTTGACCTGCTTCTGCACTGTTCTCAAATAGGTAGCCTATCTGCAACTTAGCAGCTCTCTCGTGGGTCGTCAAAAAAACTTGGTATTTGCATTGTTCTTAAACAAGCAGCCTATCTCCAACTTAGTGGCTCTCCCACGGGTCGCTAAAAAGCTTAGCCTCTACACTATTCTCAAACAGGCAGCCTATAACCAGCTTAGCGGCTCTCTCGCGGGTCACCAAAAAAGCTTGGCCCCTACATTGTTCTCAAACAGCCAGCCTATACCTCAAGCTTAAAGACTCTTTCATGGGGTCGCCAAAAGCTCGGTCTCAAAAGGTGTAGCTTTCTCACTAGCAGTCCTCAAACTCTGTCTTTGCTCTAGCGCAAGCAACCTACCTCTCTCTCTCTCTCTCTCCAGATAATTATGTTAGATATTTTAATGTTTGAAATAACATTGTTTTCGTCATCTCTAACTAGAATTTTGAAACTCAGGTCGTTTGCAACCCAAAGGACTACATTAAAATTGAATGTCAACAATTGGGCCTCATCATTTTGTGTCCATCTCAACTCGATGGCACATCACAGTCGAAAGAATATGGTAGGCAGAGACAATCCACAAAATATCGGTGTCCGTATTTAAATTTCTGGAGGTAGTACTTACTTTGGACCCATCATCATCGAGAGCTATCTTGCCTCAGTGCTTTTTGGCTCAAGGACGTGAAACTTTGTCAAAGTCACTGCTAGGGAGGTCTTGAGGAATTTGATTTTGAGAAGTTATACTTAGAGGAGTCGGATCATCACTACCAAAAGTGTTTGACGTGCTCTGCCTTTTGAGTCCAGAATCAAACTTGCACAGGGCAGCCCCAAGCTCTTCCAAGGCAACCCCAAGCTTGCCCAAAGCGCCCAAGGCATCCCCAGGCTCGCCCAAAGCGCCCAAGGCAACCCTAGGCTTGCCCAAGGCAGCCGAGGCTCGCCCAAGACATCCCCAGGTCGCCCAAGGCAGTCCTAGGCTCGCCCAAAACATTGCCTGCTCGAAATTTTGACTGTAACTTTTGCTAAAAAAAAAATTCAGTTGTTGCTCGCCCAGGAGGCCCTTTGCTCACCCAGATCAGTGCCTGTTTGCCCAAACCGCTCGCCCAGCTGTCTGCTCAAAATTTTGATCGTAACTTTTGCTCTGTTACTCCAAATGAAGCTTATAATATATCAAATCGAAGCTCTCGGCGACCCCTACAAAACACAAAGCCTTTGGTTGTGATTAATGTTGTTAAAAGTCCAAAAAATTCCTAAAAACACAGGTTTTGGCCTCCTGAAGTTTTTCCAATTTTGCCGATCAACTAAAAATTCAAACTCAAACTAAATGTCCTCCTTTCCAAGCTCCATTGGACGCAGAGCATTGGGGGCAAATGATGGGTCAGCCCAGCTCAAATTATAAGCCCAGTCCAAGTTCATAGCCCAATTCCAAGAGCTCCAGCAAGTCGAGTCTAAAGTGCTCCACGCTCGGTCAAAATCATCAAGTTCAAGGAGTTACTACAGCGGAGAGCAGGCAGGGTCATCCAAGAGCCTTATCCTCTTTCCCTTAGAAAGAGTCAACACCCACGTCATCATTTAATCGAATCTCATGGAGAGCACCGCAACTGTTTCGCCTGTTGAGAAGAAGACGCCGGCTCCAACAAACAAGCCACTTAAATACTAATATCTCGCCCAAATCTGTTATGAGGCGCCTATAAATTGTAAGTCCCACCAATACTTGAGGAGCAGATCACACTCTGTTGAGCACGACTCTCTCCTCTCCCTCTCAGTCTGTAACTTTCTGCTCTCCTGCATACTTGAATTAATAAAATACCCAGCGACCCTAGTCATTCAAAAATAGACGTAAGTCACTTTGACCGAGTACCCGACGACCCTAACCATTCAAAAATGAAGGTAGATTATTTTAACCAAACCACTATAATTCTCGTCTTCTCGTTACTTTAATTACTGCATTTATTAACAAACCTAATTTGTGCATGAGACATCAAATATCAGTATATGATCTACAAGCCATCCACGCCACCAACAGCAGCAAATGAGGAATTCTGATGATCAAGAATCCTTGTTTTTGTGCCCAATGGTCTATTAAGCTGCTAGTTAGGACGTGAACACGACGAGAAGTTCTCAACCGAGCACTAAAACCAATTCTAAAGGGACCATCATTAGAATTCCAAATGGACCTCATGCACATCTTCCCCAATCTGATCACTGTCCTCCTCACCCTTAGGAGAGAGAGAGAGAGAGTAATTCTATGACATAGGTAATGGTGCAAGCTGGGCTATCATTAACTTGGTATCCTTACCAGACTGATTTGGTTCAAAAGACTGTATTTTTGTTTTTTACATGGCTTTAATAGTTTAATCCGAGGAATGCCCTTCCAGAAATTCTCAGTGTTATCAAAATCGAACTGGTTCAATCGTGAACCGGACCTAGATTAGTCTAATTTTTTAGTTAGACTGCATAAGACAGTGAACCGACTATAAACCGAAAAATTAGCCGATTTTTATAAAAAATCGTGAACCGGTGATTTTATAAAAATTGAACGATTTAATACCTATTTAAAAATTAAATTACATAAATAAATTAAACACAAATTTGTACAAGATTTAGGGCTTTTTTTTTTTTGCCCTAAATTGCAGAACAGAAGGCTACACCACCACCAGGCTCCAGCAACATCAAGGCCTCAGGCGACTTCTGGACTTCAACTGCGATCAGCGGTATCAGCCACAGCGATTAGCAACCAGGGAGGGATCTTCGACTGCGACTAGCGATCTTTGACTGCGATCAATCACAGTGACCAGCGATCTTCGACTGCGATCAGCGAACCCAAATTGCTATTAGCCACTGCGACCAACGAACCCTGACTGCGATCAACGACTCAGGCAAACCCGGCGAACTCAGGCGTCATCTCCTCCCTTTAAGGTAAAAACTTTCTTTCATATCTTATACAATAAAACTATGGTTTGTGTTTTTGGGCATAATATGATCTAACCAGGTTTGTGTTTATGTTTTTGACTGTGAGTCTGTGACAATGTGACTACATCTTTTATTTTTTAATTTTTTAGGATGATATGTGATGTTTGTTTAATTATTTAGTATTTAATTCTGCACATTGTTGGGTGATAACACTGCAGTTAACATTGTTCCTTGGTGATTTTGATTCCGTGAAGTATTTGATTAAAATTCGTGAACAATGTTAACCAATGCCCATTTTTAATCTGCACATTGTTGGGTGATTTTATTATATTTTATAATTATTATATTTTTTTTATTATATAGCCAGTTCAACCAGTGATCCATCAGTTGAACCAGTGAACCATTGATCCAGTCTCCTATCTGGTTCGATGACCGATCCGGTTCTGATAACATTGAAAATTCTCTATGGCCTGCGCCCTGTGAAGCATATATAGATAATTCGTTAAAGTTGACGTGTCTTTATCAAAAATCGTATTGAATACAATATTCATTGAATATTCTAAGATATGTTTCGGATATACACTAAACGTATCTAATAATAAATAAAATATATGAATATTTCATGTATACTTTTGTATGTGGAGAAGTATATGTAATTTTTTATTTTAATCTTTACTTCTTCCTTTTGATTTCACATACAACACAATACATCAATAAAATCATATGACTCGGAAAGACATGCCGGTGTTTCCCAAGAATTATTCATTATCACATGTCCAGAGAGTTTAAATGAGTCGATTACTCTATGATCAATAAATATTTTTAAACAAACAATACAATTAAATGTTAGTTCTTATTCTTTTAATGAATCATGTTTATTTTGTAGATGTACTATAGTGAGACGATAAGTAAATTTTTTAAAATAAAAAATTGTTAAGATTATTTATATTTGTTAAAGAATTATTAAAAATTATAAATATCAAGTTATTATATAACAGTAAAAATATAAAAATATATATTTGTAAACGTATCTCGGTCCTACTTGTATTTTTTTTTTTTTTTAGTGTTATCGTATTGTCATATCCATATCCATATTGTGTCGTACTCATATCTCGTATTCGTATCTATACTTCCTTGCATGTGCCAAACTCAGCCCAAAGATAGGGTTTTGAAATAGTTTTCAACCTGCAATTGACGTGCCTCCTTGCTTATTACCTCACTGCCTCCTTCCTTGCATCGCACCATAAGAACCAAACTCCATAAACTTGGACAGAAGGATACAAACAAAAAGAATCAATTATCCTTACAAAATTGCCCATAGGCAATATTCCCCACCCCATCTGGGCAAGGTGGGTTCGAGGATATTTCCCAAAGAACATCAGAGATATTGACAAGCAACTATGCTATCAAGTTAAGGGAACAACAAGCATGGAGACATGTCATTGCTTTCTTAGGATAGATTCGCTCTCTGAATCTAAATCGTGAAACGGAAATATCAGATATAACTTTTTTGATTCAGATAGAACTAGATATCTTTATTTTTTTTGTATTTTATTATAATCTTGATTATAGAATCAAAAAAAGTTCGTAAATATGAAATATGAAATATGAAATCTGAAATCTGAAATCAAATTTCCTTTTCGCACCATATATGCTTAGACTTTACTTTTTCTCCTAATTAGTGCATATATGAATTGTATTTACATATACATAGAGTTTCAATGCACAAGAATTCTATCACCCACATCCCCTTTCTCGAAACTGCACTTGTGGCCAAATCATTTCGTTTTCTTCAGAAGGCTCCTGCGAAATGATCTGAATGAGAATAACAAATCAAATTTTTTCATCAGAATCCTAAACTCAAACCCCCAATATTCCACAATCCAATGAAAAACAAAAATTATATTCCCACAAACATATTGCAACCAACAAAAGCTCCTAGCTTATAGACAGAAGAAAACCTCATCCACAAATAATTCAAAGCATATTCACCTAAAAGGCATACTCAGTGCACGAGACTTCCATCATTGTAGGGTTTGAGAAAGTTAAATATACACAGCCTTACTTTTGTAAGTAGAGTGGCTATTCCTGCGATTCAAACATTTGACTTTTAAATCACAATAAAACAACATTACTATTTGTGCCAAGACTCACCGCCCTCTACCTAGCACATATATTCCAAAAGTCACGGTAAGGTTTCCATATACAAACACAACACAAAACTTACTGAAGCCAGAAGAAAGATTACATTTCATAATTAGAAATGACTACGTCTTACTAAAATCGGCCTTCTCATGACTGAGTCGGCCGCTGTTATTCAAAAACCAATTCATTGACTGATAGTTGTGAATCTTTCAACCTACTACCAAAAAAAAAAAATCTAACTTGAAGCTTTGAAAACTTCTTGATATTAACAAAAAGGCCCCCCAGAAAAATCCAACTAACGAGCTTTAACAATGATATTGAACTAGATAGTGATAAATCAAATGATGACTAGGCCGTTTGAATTTTTTAATGTCCATTTACCATATACGTCATCCTTATTTCTTCGAGCTTTTCCTTTTTTCAATCAACTACATTTTTTCATGAATGATAACGTTATACAATCTGACATTTCACACAAAAACAAAGTAAAATTCTTACAGACTGCTCAAGGAATTTTCACTTACACTACGATGTTGAAGTGAGAGTTTTTCAAAAATTCATATTACCGAAAACTAGCAATGTCACTATATATAATCCCAATAGGCCAGAATAAAAAAGTAGATGATTACGGCCCGATTGTATTATTGTTTTGCTAATAGCATATTGTCACATTTGTCGGTGACATTTTATTTTGAAATAATGAATATTCTTGGGTCACATCATTTTGCTTAAAAAAAAAAAGAGTTTCATCACCCTTTCAGTCCAATCTTGCACTTTTAGAACGCCCTTTGAATCTCATTTGCCTTTACTATAAGGCATTAACCTCTCTTGTGCTTCTCCCTGTCTGCTGCATCCTCCCTACTTTACGAATATCTTAAATTATTCGGTACCTTTTGTCCAGCCAAGAATAAATCTTTAATACTTTAAGAAGACGATTAAGATTGTCATATGTTTGGCTCATTGTCTTTGTTCTTGCACTGAAAACACCGCCAAACTTCTATTTAATTGTCAGCATGACTAAGGTTAGCAAATGTTTTTTATTGCACTCAAAGCTCCTGAATTTTGTATTGCATTCAAAGCTCTTGCCATTCCCGGCCACGGGCTAAGCTGAGATAAATAACTCCTAAATTTCGCCATCACGGTGGTTATTTTCGATATAATCAATAATCGATTATCTTTTTGGCAACAACCGTGGGTGGGGCCTTTTGTATGATTTTACTCATAAAACGGTGGATTCATAATACAGTACAAAGCTTGGTGGTCAGATTCATTTTACATTGAGCTAAATTAAATAGGTTGCTCGTTAAAACTTACTGCATTCAAATGGCAAACACCATCTTCTCTTCCTTCAATCTCAATGAATCTCCTGTTTCTTACAGCTCGCTCAAAGGGTATGAAAACGATGAAATAGTCAGCCAAGGCAAAGAAGTTCCTTGGTTTGGAATGATAGGCTCTGGGAGGGTTGAATTTTTAGGTTCTACATATGGTCTTGTTCAAGAGAATATGGCCGAGAGAAGAGTCCATCAGTTTGAAGATCAACGACAACAACCCGATTCTGATTTCCTGATTCAAAATGATTTCCACCACTATGGTTGGCCCCTGCCAGTTCAAACCATTCATGAAGCTACTACAAAGCATGAGCATGCCCAAAATCTGAATTCTGAGCTTCCTGAATCGATGAGGAAAAATCCATATTCATATTCTTTAGCATCATCGTTTGAGCTCCTCGGTAGTTGCAGAAGTGAGTTCAAGAAGTCAGAAGGGGAGAGTTTAAGCAATATATGCAACGAGATTAATCGGGATAGGCAGAAATTATCCACTGAAGAAATAATAAGAGTAGTTGGAGAAAGGTACATCCAATTTTCCACCCAAAGGGTGGATGGTCTCACCATGTCTATCCACCCCTATGGTTCTCCTCTCTTAGGTCTCTCACTCGAAGATGCCCGAGACGTGGGACTTGCCGATCTTCTTCTTGATGCAGCCGAGAAGGTAGGAACCCAGCAATTCGATCGTGCTAACGAGTTGCTTACTCGTTGTGAATGGTTAGCATCAGATTCAGGTAATCCAGTGCAGAGAATAGTTTTCTATTTCGGTGAAGCTCTAAGAGAGAGAATTGATAGAGAAATAGGAAGAATCAATACTGAGAGAGCCAAAAATGAACAAATAAGATACAAGAAGACTATTTTATTGGGTACTAACCCTTCGTTCTTGGCATGCCACAAGGAACTTCCATTCAATCAAGTGGTACAATTTGCAGGAATTCAGGCAATAACAGAAAGTGTGAGAATGGCAAGGAAGGTCCATTTAATTGATCTCAGCATCAGGGGCGGAGTTCAGTGGACGACCTTAATGCAAGCTCTTGCAGAGCAACATAACTGCCCGATTGAGCTCCTCAAGATAACTGCTATTGGAACGACAAATAAAGTGAAGATTGAGGAGACTGGTAATAGATTACTGAGTTTTGCTAAGTCTTTGAACTTGCCTCTGTCCTTCAAGGTAGTTTTTTTATCAGACATGAAAGATCTAAAGGAAGATATGATTGATATTGAAGCTGATGAAACAGTGGCGGTTTACTTTCCAACAATACTTAGGACAATGATCTCGACCCCTGATAGCTTGGAAGATATAATGGGAGTGATCAGAAGGATCAAGCCATCAGTAATGGTGGTCATTGAAGTAGAAGCAAACCACAATTCGCATTCATTTGTAAATCGCTTCACCGAGGCACTTTTCTTTTACAGCGCATACTTTGATTGCTTGGAAGAATGTGTGGAACGAGATGATAAGCATAGAATGACAACTGAAGGAATTCATCTCCGTGATGGGATCCAAGACACGGTTGCAAAGGAGGGCGAGGAGAGATTTAATCGAAATGTGAAGATGCACGTGTGGAGAGCATTCTTTGCAAGGTTTGTGTGCGTGCAAGATCCTGCACAATACAAATACTAGAACAGATCTCTCCTGTAGTGAACACGTGTCCGTCGATCGGATGGTCGATCTTGCTACTTGGAACAGGTTGTGAGGGTCGGAGTTGGATAATGAATCATTTGTACGAATCGCCTGAGTGATCCTAGAAGGTTAAAGGAGGTTCTTGGAACAAAGGAAAACAGGTTAGAAGGGCACCAGAGTGTTTTTCCAGCGTATCCCCTTTGATGATCAAGTCAGTGCTTTGAGAGAGGGGAAGAAGAAAACACTGTATGAGGTTGAGAGAGGGTTTATTGCATACCCCTTTTTTTGTGTTGGCGAGGACTATTTATACCTTAAAAACTCATCATTGCTGACAGCGTAATTAGCAGGTAATCATTGGGGGTGGGCAACGTGCACATCAATCTCTATGAGTAATAGTCTTATTCTTTACTGCTCGGGACCCCGAGCAACTAATGCTTCCTCCTCGGTCCGTCGAGCATTTAATGATCTTCTCTCGGCGGGGGTATATTAAATGCCCAGGCTTTGGTACATTTATTACCTTTCACTTCCGAGCTCTCATGCATTAAATGTTGTCTCATCAAAGGAAGGGTACATTTAATACTTGTTTTTCCAAGTTGTGTGTCAGCAAGGGCATTCTGGCCTTTTCGTCTCTGATCTGACACAATACGCCACGTGTCCATTCCCCTTTGGTTGAGTCTTCTGCTTCCTTGTGCCTCCTGACACCATTTGACTAAGACGAGGCCATGATGGCTAGCCTAGCCTTGCCTAGGCTAATGATCTGTCCATCAATAGCCCCTGTATGTGCAAAAAGGCCCACGCGGATAGATACCCCTCGGTGCTGAGGGTCTTAGCACGACTTAGGACCGATGTACCCAAACTACCGAGGAATACGTGTCGGTCCATGGTAGTTTGGGAATCCTTGATCCATGTGAATAGCATCCCTCGGGGCAGAGGGGTTAGAAACCGACGAAGACGTGTCGGTACCACAGCGAAAGGCTCTTATTGACGTCGAGTATACGCATCATCATCTGGGAGTGTCTGAAAATGTCCCATCAACTGCCCCTCAGCCTTCGATATTCTAACACCGAGGACACGCGTCATAAAGAGACGAAGGGTTCTGCAACTACCCCAACCACTCCATCATTGCTTCCAGTCGTTTTTCCCTACTTAGGGGGTCGTGCACATTAAATGCACCTCTTCGTACTTCGCGCCTAATGATAGGGGTGGGTACTATATAAACGGGTTCTCTCTCTCTTTACCACACTTTTGTCATTTCGAACTCAGAGAGCTTTCGCCTGAAAAACTTCGCCGGAGACCCCTTTAGCACGTCGTCTACCAGTCAGTCGTCACCGGAGTTTAGGCCAGCAAACACCCTTTCACTTCAGAACCTTCTGGAGAGAGGAACCACTCCCCAGTCCTTCAAAAGCCTTCGTTTCGCCTTCTGGTGAGTCTTTGCATCTCCCTTCTTTCTGGGTTTTGGTGTTTTATTCCCCGGTAACCGGAGGTGTTTCTGGTTGTCATTGTGTGACCAACCCTCAGGAAATCCCTCGGGGATCTTCGTAGAAAAATTTTTTCCTTCCTCTTCAGTTTTTATCCTCTTTGGAGATGCCCCAACGTCGCCCTATCACCGAGGATCCCCAGGTTGGTTCCTCGAGGCCAGGGGAAGTACAAAGTGAAGGGAGACGAGCAGATCGATAGGTTTAGGGCCCGATACTGTATCCCCCCAAACGTAGGTATAGAAGAGTACGACCCAGTTTTGCATAATCGTACTCTTGGGGTCGAGGATGAGATGCCCTTTTTCACCAAGGCAATTATAGAGGATGGAATTAGGTTCCCCCTGTCTCCTCTACTCCTGCAGTTCCTCGCCCATTTCCACCTGTTCCCAGGGCAGTGTTGCCTTAACGTCTTTAGGATGATAATGGGGGTCTTAGAGCTTAACAACCGTCTAGGGGTAAACGTTGGGCTCAACGATATCTTTTTTTGTTACTCCCTATTGAGGGTCATGCCTCAGCAGAATTTCTACCTCAAAGCCAGGGATCCCTCCATGTACCTTGTAACTCACCTCCCTGACTCAGACAAAGGATACAAAGATGACCTTCTGATCTTCAGTAGATCCTGGCAGCGGGGTACCGGTCCTGAGTACAACGGTCTGATGTGCCCTTTTGAATAGAGAATGACAAGTACGTCGATTTCTCCGAGTCTACTGTTTTTGTCCTTTAGAAGTGATAATAACCTTCTTTCTTGTGCAGACGTCTCCGCCCGGGAAGTCACTCCTTGGTGAACTTCGCTAACCTCGTCATTGTTTGGAGATTTGCTGGCGACGACGGGTTCGATCGGGCTGCTCACATTCTTTTGAACTACTCAGCTAGGTACAAAAAGTTCTCACAGCTTCCCCAGCCTTTCGACCATTTGCGGTGGTCTGAACTCTTCTGTCAGACTGCACAACAAGAGGCCGAGCAGGACTTGGAGGAAGACTCTGACAGGGCTACTGAGGAAGAAGTAGAGGGTGCACTTGAAGTTGAGAAGTCCGGGGCCAGAGAGGCTTTAGTTCCTTCGCACGCTGAGGTGGGCACTTCGGGGAGAGACTCTTGGCCTGACTTCCACATCCTTCAGTCCCTAGACGCAGAAGACGCCTTAGAGGTAGCCATGTCGTATATGCCTCGTATAGACCTGGGATTCTTGAGGTAGAGGCAGGTCCTTGCCGTCATCGAGGAGGAGAGGAGGGTCAAGCAAAGGCACGATGACCCAGGTAGGGGATCCAGGACCCCGTCCGCTCAACAGCAAAGCAGGAGGGGCCGTGGGTTACTCCCACCTCAACAGCAACAGCAATAGCAGAGGCAACAACAGCAACAACAACAGAGGCAAACTCTGCCTCCCCCTTCGCAAACGGTGGAAGCTGCAGAGTGGAACCCTCAGGCTACTGATCATATGAACCGGGTGATTAGGCTCGACGATTCCATCCTGTAGGACCACCATGTCGCCAACATAGTGAGCGAGACGCTCCATTTCGAGGCTGATATGGAGGCTCACAGGGCGCGGACAACGAACGCGTTGTTCCGCTCCATCATTCAAAATTTCTTGCTGGTAAGTTGCCCTTTTCTTCAGCCCTTTCTTGCCGCATCACCTATAATTGACCAAGTTCTTTCCCTCGCAGGCCACCAAACAAATTTTCGTAATCGCTGCGAGGTATCATGCAGCCAGGATGAACCTCCAACGAACCTAGGAGCAGAAGGAAGAGGTTGAAGGAACCCTGGCCACTACTAAGGAGGACATGGCTGCCAGGGACTCCACCCTCACGGTGCAAGCTACTCAGATCGAGCAACTCCTTAAGGACAGCAAATTGGCGAAGGTCGGCGCTGAAAAGCTAAGTGCTGCCTTGGCTGACGCTGAGAGGAGGATCACATAGCAGACGCAGCGACTCTCTACGGCCGAAGAGAGGGCTGTTGGATCATAGGAGAGCTGTCTGGCCCTGACCCAGGAGCTGGACAGGGTCAGAGCGGAAGTGGAGAATAGGAAGACTGAGGAGCAAATCCGAGAGGAGTTTGCTGATGACATACTGCCTACCCTCAAGGAGAACAACAAAGAGTTCTTCAAAAAGGGGTGGGATGATGCGCTCGGAGCTGCCGGTGTTCTTCCAGACTCTTCACTCTTCCAGATGCATAACTATGTGTCGTCGATGGAGATGGCGCAGGCTGAGGCCGAGATTGCCGCCGAGGGTGTGGCCCCAACGCCGATGCAAGTTTTGGCAGACCCACCTGAGGTGGTAATTCTCGTCCAATCCGATGAGACCCTGCCGGAGTCGGCCCCTTCTCTTCCTGAGTCCGATGTTCCTCAGACCCTTCCTACTGCTGGTTCTGCCCCCGGTCTGCCTGCCCACGAAGCTGCTCACTCCTTCTTTCTCCCATATCTTTTAATCTATATGATCCGGAGCCCCCTACTGACACCACTTTGTAAGGTCCTTTCCAGTTAGGTCTCATCTTCTCATCTGCTGGGTCTCGGGTATTGGTCGTCACCCTTCTGAGGACCAAGTCGTCGACTTGAAATTCTTGGGTCTTGACTTTTTTGTTGTGAAGTTTGGAAATCCTTTCCTGATATTTGGCCATTTTTAAGGCAGTCATTTCCCTTCTTTCCTCTGCCAGATCCAAACCCAGGCCAAGTTGTTGGTCATTGCCACCTGTGTCGAAGGCTTGAGTCCTTATGGTGGGGAGACCCACTTCCAGAGGTATGACTGCCTCCATCCCGTAAGCCAGGGAGTAAGGGGTCTCCCCTGTCGAGGTCCGAGGGGTGGTCTTGTATGCCCACAGAATGTTCAATAGTTCATCCGCCCATCTTCCCTTGACTTTTTCTAATATCTTCTTGATCCCGTTAACGATTATTTTGTTGGAAGATTCTGCCTGCCCATTGGCCTGGGGGTATGCAGGGGTAGAATAGAAATTACAGATCCCGAATTGCTCGCAAAAGGATTTGAAGCGTCCGCCCGTGAATTGAGTCCCGTTATCTGATACAAGCGCTCGGGGAAGCCTAAATCTGACGACTATGTATCCCCAAACAAACTTTTTAGCGTCTATGTCACGGATATGGGTCAATGGCTCCGCCTCGACCCACTTGGTGAAGTAATCCGTTGCTACAATTAGGAACCTTTTGTTCCCAGGAGCCTTAGGTAGGGGTCCAACCAAGTCCAGCCCCCACTGGACGAATGGTCAAGGGCTGGTTAACGGGTGCAAGTCTTCTGTCGGTCACTTGATTTCCGGAGCGAACCTCTGACACTGGTCGCATTTTTGGACATACGCTTATGCGTCCCTCTGCATCTGCGGCCACCAATATCCCTGAGACATGATGCGGTGAGCCATGGATCGCCCCCCACATATTCTTTCGTGGACTTCATAGAGGAGGTCTTCGACCTTATCCTCCTGAACGCATAGTAGGTAAGGTCCTGAGAACGACCTTCGGTAAAGCTTCTGATTCGGGGAGACCCAAAATCTGGGGGCTTTGAGCTTTATCTTCCTGGCTTCTTTCGAACA